CAGTGCAAAGAAAGACTGATAACTGCTTCTTACTGGACACATAAATCCGGTTTAAGGCAAACTCTAGGGGGATGGAACTATTTTGTCTATTGTCTATAAGTTATATAAGAGTAAATTCTGACCACTGTTCGTTAAGTTTAGAGTCTCCTGTCAACTCACACCAACGTCACATTTGCAAGTATGTTAAAACTGTTCTGCATATAAACTTAATAATTTCTTTAGGGTGTAAGCAGCTGATGAGAATCCATCGAAATAAGTGATAATACTATCTTATTCTTCACAAAGCTTTGTTTTTGCTTCATTCAAATGAATAAAGGGGAATAGGTGTGTGCTGTATTTCTTAAGACTTTGACGTATTTGTAAGCATGGCTAGTTGTGTGCGCCTTTGACCCAACTAACTGACAGTGTTGCTGATAGACACTTAAATTCGTGCAAACAGCTGGGTAACATCATCTTATCATAGGCGAAATACCCTTTTTATGAACAAGTTTCTCTTTCTATCCCTTCAGGAAATAAAATTAGAAATAATTTCATTACGATTTATACTTCTATGGTTAAATACACTAATAAACCTACTTTAAAATGTGTTGAATATGCATCTACTTATGCCTAATAATCATAAATGTGTCAATGTCGCCTACATTATTAGTTTTCAAGCATTAGTTTGCAGGGATTCCCTTTGTTTCAGGTGTGACCATGGGTTGATATCAGTTAGAGAACCATTGAAAACCACCATGGAGAACTGAACAGCTGTTCATAGGCATTACGCACCCACTTCCAGGGTTCGAACCCACAACCTACCAGTTACAAGTCAAGCTGACTCGTATGCCATTCAGCCACTGGGACCCGACTAGGATGAAACAGCTACCGAGTACTCCCTGCTTTTAAATGGTTCTCTAACTGATATCAGTCCGTGGTCAAACTCGGAAAACAAATCAAATCCTTACGAATCAACTCTTGAAAATTAATCTGATGCTCGCTAGTGACTTGCTACAGAACCGAGTTTCCTGCAGTTCTAGTGAGAAGTCGTGACCAGTGAGGTCCATCCAGTCGGGAGTGAGGATGGATTTCCCACCGATGACATTGGTTGGTGCCAGTTGCGCTAAATCACGAACTGGTAGAAGTTAGAATTCATGAACTGGCCACTTAATCGGCTGGGGTCAGCTTGACTTGTAACTGGTAGGTCTTGGGTACGAACTCTGGCAGTGGGTGCGTGCTGCCGATGATTCCCAAGCACTAGGATGTAACAGCTGTCCAGTACTCCCAGTGGTGGTTTTCAATGGTTCTCTAACTGATCTTAATCCGTGGTCTAGGCTGAAATGAATTAATGGTATTACTGACTCCAGGTTTTATGGCTACCTATTTAGGTTTTATGCGTAAGAGGATTGAAAATGTTTCAATATGAAAGTGTTTAAAGGTCTATCCTCCATATGAATCACTGTTTGAAGTAAAATGGTTACTATTATTATTATTATTGTTATTATAACCCTTTTTTACGTATCAGAGGAGGATTTACCTTTGTATACTGTGTATTTCTTTTTGTTAGAGAAGAAGGCACAGTTCATACAAACTGAAACCTGTGTGCAGACATTGTTTAAAAGAGCTCAAACACACTGTATCACTCCAACGTTGAAAAGAATGGAAGAAAAATACCTATTAACTGTCTTCAAAAAGAATGGATCCCCTCAGAATTTTATCAAAAAGTGTTTAAAAACGAGTCATAACACCAACAAGAAACCATCATCAAAGACTACAAGAAAATTCATCCTACCATATATAAAAAATATCTCTGAAATAACAGCTAGAATACTGAAACTGTTAGATATAGATATAGCACACAAACCAGTAAAATCGCTTAATTCGATATTATGCAAACCGAAAGATCCAACAGAAAAAGGGGATAAAATTAATACCATTTACAAAATAAATTGTATGAACTGCAACAAGCATTACATCGGTCAAAGTGGGCGTCCCCTTCGAATCAGAATCCAAGATCATAAATCAGCCGTGAAAAGACATGATATGTATTCTTTAGTATCAATGCATATAGACAATTATGGTCATCAATTTGATTGGGATATTGTCGAAATGTTAAACAGGGGAAACACCAAAAGTGCCAGAGAATTCCTAGAAGCCTGGTATTCAAGTGAATCAGCCAGCAATTAATAAACACACTATTATAGACCAAATATACCAACTAATAAAAAGTAAATCATGTGACGAGAAAGTTTAAAATCCAAGTCAATAAAAAATGATCAATGGAGATCTAAAGATGGTCACCAGGAGATGCAACTCTATCACTCGTGGAAAATTTAAATCTGTTCACTTTATGCTAAAAATTGCGATGGAGGGAATGTTGTCCAGAAGGACGACAAAAGCTCCGCAACTAAACCAACCAGCTCAGAGAACACTACTAACTGAAAATCATCCACCTGAGGTGCAAATTTTCTCTATTATTTCAAAGACTGAAACCTTTTTTTACTAATTTTACCAGCCACAATAAGGTTGAGTAAAAGTAGAGGGGTATTTTTTCAAGTCAGCATAATGTTAACCAGAATATTAAATACCAAATAATTCAATATGGCGTAAGGTACATATTGAATAACTATCATTGTGGTAAAATACTGGATAGTTTAGTTAAGATCATTTGAAACGTACACTAATTTAAAGATGTTAACTGGCGAATATGCCAGTGTCACTATGATCTATTTCGATTAAATTCATAAGAATTCTTCAGACATTGACTGGTGATAACTTCAGTACCTCAACTGTTTAATTCACACCCAATCCTATGTTTAAGATAAATATCTAGAAACTCTATAAATTTGGTTTACAAGGTAAGACTACGTGAATGAATACACTAATAAAGGCACCCAAGAGAAAACACTATACCACCATAAAAAGTGACTTCTTTAACGTTGAAAATAATTCAATGGAAACATTCGAAAATCATCAATCAATTTGACATCATAGTGTTAAGGAACTAAAGCAGTATCTTAAAGTATTTTTACCTATAAATGTCTAACATTGGGGGAAAACTAGCCAGATTCACTACAAAATAGAGTAGAATAAATGACAGTGTAAGAATACTGAGAATAGTTAAGAAATCAACGAAATCGTTAACACAATATTCATGATGGCCTGTTTGAAACTTGGGCTACCGAAAACTTCCATCTCTCCGTTGAATATATTTTCTCTCGTTCGGTTTGTTTTAATCGATTAAGATATGATCCCTAACAGTATTATCTGCTCTTGTATGTATTCAAAATGGTTAAAAGCTTCTGATTCTCAATTTTCTCCTAAACTTGAGGAAAGGCCTGCTTGTAGGTTGCAGCTTCTTCCAATACATGAGATAACTGTTCTTCAGTTAAGTCCTTAGGTCTCAAAATGTACTTCTGATCATCCTACAATTGGATTTCAACTAGATATCGTGTGTTTCTTGAAGAAGACAAAGCAGATATATCCTAATGAAATGGTTTGTGCTTCGGCTTAGAGATCATTGTGTGACAGGATATATTGTCAATTAATATTTTACTTAAAGATATTCTACAAAGGGAAAATATCATGCAATAAACTCCTCTCAAAATTCTGTACATTACGTAAATACTGTCCAGAATAAAGATGTTATCATCAGTATTATAGATTTTGTGGGGATATTAGATGGTTGAATGCAATCGGCAGGAAGCCTACTCTTGGACCTAGGTTTCGTGCTAGTTGGCACTCATCAGTAAGGCGTATCTGCAACCTTGAAGGAACTGATGTCCCTTCTGAGATTCGAACCCGTGTCACCCAGTGCAGCGCTTCAGTCAGAGTCGTTACCACTGAGCTATTCAGGCTCGCGACTGACCTCCTGTAGGACTGTATTGGATATTTTTGATTGCACACTAGTCAGTAACTAGTGTAATGTGTCTAGTCCTACCCTCGGCGCAGACTGAATTCTACCAGTCATGTTTGCAATGTGGCCACCATGCTAGGTGGCTCGTCTCTGACTGCAGCGCTGCACTGGGTGACGCGGGTTTGAATCTCAGAAGGGACATCACTTCCTTCAAGGTTGCAGATACGCCTTACTGATGAGTGCCAACCAGCACGAAACCTAGGTCCAAGAGTAGGCTTCCTGCCGATCGCCTCCAACCATCTAATACCAACAATTCACAGTGCACCGTAATTGTGAGCTACCTAGAATGGTGGCCACATTGCATACATGACTGATAGAATTTAGTCTGCGCCGAAGATAGGCCTAGACACATTACTTACTGGTTACTGACTGGTTTGCAATCAAAAAAATTTTGTAGGGATTTTGGATCAATTTCATTTTTTAGGTTCTAGTCAGAAACAATGAGATCATTGAAAGTAAGGGAGCACTGAATAGCCGTTTCGTCCTATTCTGAGGCTCATTATCAGTGCGCATCCATGACCGCACCAGAGATTGTATGCGTGACCCAAAGGTTACGAGACTAAACACACTTGGGCTGGGATTCAGTAACCCATGAGTTCTCACTTTGTCAACTCACGATATAGCACTATCCTCACTAATGCCCTCAATGGACCACCTGCTTCATCTTGGCACAGTCGTGACTTCTCAGTACAGCTACAGGAAATTCATCCAGTAGCCGTCAGTGAGCTGATTATTGATATTTAGGTTATGGCATTTATGGTCTTGGGTGTACATTACTGAAGAGTCTCTAAAGACAGGACAAAACGACTGTCCAGTTCCCCTAGACTTTCAATGATTTCTGTAACTGCTGCTAGTTTGTGATGAAATCTAACAAATAAAATTAAACAATAATATGGAGTCTTTTTAGATGAGGTGAAATACCAATAAGCATTGCTTTTTAATACTAAGATATATGAAATAAGTCGCGTTTTGAGACGAAACAAAGTAGGCCTACACGAAATGATTTTAACCAACCAATCTCCTTGACTTCTGATTACATTTTTCTTCATACACTACTTAAACACTTTTATAAGTGGTATGCTTCGCTTTTCTTTTGTACAGGAAGTCGTTTCAATGCTGTACTTGATCGAGGATTAATTGTTTTAGAAATTGGTTATTCTCTAGTAGATGACAGTGGAAAATATGTGTGTGTAGCAACAAATGCAATTGGACGAACAGAGAGTCAACCTGTAGAGTTAAGGTAAATCCATGTGTTTAATGATAATGTTTTGTTTGAAAACACTCAAAGTTTCAACAACACAGTGGTCTTTTATTTGTTCTGTTTTGTTTACTTCGACCCTAGAATGTAACTTTTACATGGCGAAAAGATATGAGTATCAATTTACATTGGTCATTTGGGAATAATTTAGACAGAACAATAAGAAGACGTTATTTGTCTCAGTCTTGCAATGTATTTGCGTAACAAACCTCGAACAATCTGTTCACATACTTGCTTTTCATAGGTATATACATGAAAATAATGAGGCTTTAAGGGGTAAGACAATAGACATAGGTTACGTTAAAAGGCTATATTTAGTGTGAAAATAACAAATGAATAGCAATCAACCAAAGTAGAAAGATAATAGTACATCTTTCCTCATTTCAAAACAAGATTTAATCTGATAACTGGTTGTTTTTAAACACAAATGTCTATCGACAAGTGACCTTCAAATGAACTGACTTCAGTTAATGTAAAAAAGTTTTGACTACTATTTTGATTGAACACTAGTAACTAGTGTGGCGTGTCTAGTCCTTTCTTTGGTGCAGACTGAATTCTATCAGTCAGGTTTTGCAATGTGGCCACCATTCTAGGTAGCTCGCCATCACGGTGCACATTGATTTGATGATATTAGATAGTTGGTGGCAATCGGCAAAACCTGACTGATAGAATTCAGTCTGCACCAAAGAAAGGACTAGACACGCCACACTAATTACTAGTGTCCAATCAAAATACCTACTACAGTCCTACAGGAGGTCAATCGCGAGCCCGAACAGCTCAGTGATAACGTCTCTGACTGCAGCACTGGGTGAAGTGGGTTCGAATCTCAGAAGGGAAATGAGTTCCTTCAAGGTTGCAGATACGCCTTGCTGATGAGTGCCAACTAGCACGAAACCTAGGTCCAAGGCTTCCTGTGGCCGATTGCCTCCAACTATCTAATATCATAGTTTTGACTACATATTTTGACGATTAAAAAAATCCAAATAATTCTGCTGAAGAAGCTGTGGCTTTTACAACGAACCGTTCAGAAAAAATCTTGTTTCGGTTTTTTCTTAAATACACTGGGATTATTTTAAAATAATTTATAGTGATTCAGTCTGGCGCGTCGCTCAAATTATTCCAGGAAATTCGTAACATCTACTGTCTGGAAACATGAAGTTGGTTTAAAATTCTGATTCTCTAGGAATTCCACAAAATTAAGGATACACTCCCCTTCCAATTACGTCTTATAGATAGGTTGGGAAGAGGTGTAAACATCAATTTTATACCCTGTTTCCACTATATATTCTACATTGAGAGAGCTAGGTCGTCTCGTTTCACCATAAATGGGTTCAGGGAATTTGATTTGCTTCGGAAAACACTTAGGGATATGCTGTGATGCCCTTGCTTCCAAAGATCGATGGGTCCTCCCATGCATATGTAACCACACGTATATTTAAGTTGGTAGATAGAGCGGAATTTGATATTACTTACGCTGTCATGGCTTAGATGGATATATAAGATTCGTCTGCCATAGCGTTCAATCTTCGTCTAATTACCAAACTGCTACGATTACCCATGTATGGTAGCTTGATATAAACATCCTTTTTAGTGGTGAGTTACAGAATAGGTCTTGGTGTTCTGGTCACTTCACACGATTCAGATAAATTATGCTTTTTTATTATTTTATCGAAATAATGTGGGCAAAAAGTTGTCAGCCTACAATCGAACTGTAATTATAATCAGAATTTCAGTCATAATCTTATTCTCTTCATTGATCTGTTAGTTTCTTATCGTTTAACAGTTATTAAGTTTGTGTGTGTGAAGAACCTAGAAGACCAGGATTTCGCGGATGATTTATGTCTGATGTCACACAAAATCGAAGATTTACAAGCGAAAACCGACAAACTGGTCAAAGAAGCAGCAAAGACAGGACTCCATGTGAACATAGACAAGACGGAGGTTATGGAAATAACCAACCAACAACAACAGCAGCAGCAACATCCAGCGCCAATCACCATCAACAGGAGGGATTTGAAAGAGGTTACTTCATTCACTTATCTAGGGAGCATTGTCTCATCTACAGGAGGAACGGACAGACGAGGATGTCAAATCGAGAATCGGGAAGACGAGAAACACATTCATCAACCTGAAACCAATCTGGAAATCTTCGTCACTCAACTCAGCATCAACAACAAAATTCGGATTTTCAATTCAAACGACGTCAAGTCAGTTCTTCTATACGGATCAGAAACTTGGCAGGTCACAAAGAATATTGCAGACCTTCATCAACAACTGTCTTCGCTGGCTCTATACTCAAGATCAGATGGCTGGAAAGAATCACCAACAAGAAACTATGGGAACAAACGAAACAAGAACCAATCGCCTAACAAATATGCAGGAGAAAGTGGAGATGGATGGGACACTCGCTGAGGAGGCCACTGGGTGATATCACGCGTCAGGCCAGTGCTCGAGTGGAACCCGAAAGGGAAGCGACGAGTGGGACGTCCAAGGGTGACATGGAGGAGATCGTGTGAAGAGGAGCTGAAAGAGTATGGACTAACATGGATGCAGGTGAAAAGTACAGCAGAAGCCAGAAGCAAGTGGAGGTGTGCAGTTGAAGCCGTATGTTCCACTAGGAACCCAAGGGAATAATAATAATAAGTTTTCGTAGTTCAAGCGTTTGCTGTTAACCAACCAATTACACACTAGTAAATGAAAGTCAAAACTTTCTGTTGATTATTTTCATACATGCAGCAAGAAATACAGAGAATCGTTTTCTTGATGATACTTAGGTTGCTGATCGAATTCTTTTCCTTAATCAGTGAATGTTGGCGGTTAAATGATCAGAATTGTCTTCTGTCTTTCCTAGAATTCTTCTTCACTTTTTTTGTTCAGTATATGTTGTATATTGAACTAAGACACTCCTTTCGTTATCCATCTTTGCACTAGTTCATATTCTAATTGGAAGAAATGTTAACTCTTGAAGCTACTAAAGAAAGGTAAATTAAGCCTTTGAAAAAACTGGCATGGAATCATTACCCTGTCCACGGTAGACAAATTGTTAAATTGCGGCGTCCTGGAACGACTAAAAGTTACTATGTATGCAAAATTCTGACCGGAACAAGCTGAATTCAAGGAAATAACAAATATTTTGCGGATCTAGTTACAACTCTACGCATCATCATCAAACGGAGTATAGAATGGCAGTCAAATCTGTACTTCAGACAGAAGTAGCAACAAGGAACTCTGATACGCAAAGTTACAAACAAGAACCAATAGCCCAACAAATATGCCTAAGAAAATGGAAATGGATTCGACAGGTGCTGTGGAGACCATTCAGTGATATTGCGTATCAAGCCCTTGAGTGGAACCCGAACGGGAAACGAGTTGGGTGGGAGTAAGAGGTTGACATGGGGAAGATCTTGTGAGGAGTAGATGCCAGCTTATGAGCAGTAGTGGGAACACCTAAAGAAGACTTCCAACAGAAGGACATAGTGTTGATTTGCTGCTGAAGCCCTATATTCCACTCAGAACCTACGGGAATTATAACGTTTAATATAGTAGTTCTAACTCTGTAAGGAAATATCAATGCTGTCATGATTCCTAAATATCTCCCTTGAATATCTCACAATCAAAGTTAAAAAAAACAATTCAGCTAAATCATGAACTCAGCTGTTTTTACAACATGAAAAGAATTCCTGAAACTAACGACTTCTAAGCGAGAGTAGTCCAGTGGTAACATGTTTAACCTCAGCATCAGATGAAACTGGTTCGAATCTCAGGGGAGGGGGACATCACTTCTTTCAAGTTTGAAGATAAGTCTTCCTGACAAGTACTAATGTGCACGAAAACTAGATCTTTTTAGATATCATTCATTAACATTTGTCGTTTGAAATTATAACTGAATTATGAATAATATTCAACTATTTATTCATCTGCTGTTGTACTGTGAAGTACTGGAATACTTACAACGGACAGGAAGACTCTTTGTAGACTTTTTCTATGTAACATGCCATTTAGAAAAGAAAATAAGAATTTTATGACTTTACTTTTCCTCTTTTTTTACAATCATCACAGATGTCAACCAGAAGATAGAATTGTTACAAAATCAATTCTTGATCAACAATCAATAAATCATCTGAAACAGTTGGAAGAACCTGGAGAAGATTTTGATTAGTATGTTTGGTTTATTTGGTTGTCATTAATTAGCATGTTTTCATACCTTTAATTTTTAAGTAATGGTTTTCAAGTGCTGCTTTGCAGAGATTCCACTGGCTTCAAGTTAGACCATGAGCTGGCATTATTTAGAGAACCATTGAAAATCAGAGTGTACTGGACACCTGTTTCTTCCTTGTTTGGCTTTCTTCTCTCCCAGCGGCTGGATGATCAGTGGGATCACCTAGATTCGATGTCTGATGGGAGTCACAGATATGTATTGTTGAGGAGTCTCAAAGTAGAATGAGAAAGCTGTCGAATACTCTCTGGTCTTCAATAGATCTCAAAATGACATGAGTAACTGTAATTAGTCAAGTAATAGCTGTAGCTAGAGAAGCCTCAGTGAAACATATTAATACTTGGTGGATTGTTACCGTAGTAAGTAGGTTAACAGCGACTGTTTGTATCTACATAAATTTAGTATACCATAGCTCCAATGCTGTATTTGCACATCTTTTGCAAATTAGTCGAATATCACCACATTCGATAGCTTGTTGAGTTTTGCGCACTGTTTCTAACGTTCCTTTTAAAGTTCTGTTCTTCGATTGGTTTTTCCAGTGTCGGAAACATATTTTCGCTTTTCTGAACTCGTTTACTGATATACTACTTAAATCTGATTATAAGTAGCACTTACCACACCGTGATCATTATAACTCGGGAAGAGTCTGCTGTGGTTACAGAGTTGAAATAAAATTGAAGAAATGAATGTTTAATGAGTTTCTAATGATTTTTGACAAAGCTTCATATTAGCTTTTAAACGGCTTTTTTTGCCTCTTACGAATATGAAGCATCTAAAAGGAATTTTCCTTTGGTTTTCGATGGTTTGAGTAATCCTGGGGATAGTTTTTTGTTTTCTCTTAATATCTTTTGTTGTAGGCACCATTTCTGTTTATGTTTAAATTATTTTAATAAAACTTTCCACATCATTTGTCTGTCCTGAGGATGACTACTCGTGGGGTTATATTTGAGTATTGTAGAAGAGTGTCAAACGAGTACAAAACGGCTTTTAACAGCGAATCGGTTTTCAATTGTACTTCAGTTGATGTTGATCTCAGACTAAGAGAAGGAAAAATAATCAATATTTGAAGAAGCTACTCTCAAAAAAACTTTTATTTGTTTACGTCAATAAAAAATTTCTATGTAGAAACAACGTTGAAGCGTCTGTAGATTAATTTCTGGTTTAAAATACCAGCTATAAACCATGACCCTTTTTATGCAATGTTAAGTTACTTTTTAAACTTAGTACCTTCACTTAGAGGAATTCCGGTGAGAGACAATAGTAGTAGATGTTGACGAGAAGTCTCTCTTCCGTCTTTCTGTGGAGCAAGTATACCTTCATTGAAAAGTTTTCTTGTGGCATAAAGCTGGCTTTTTCAATAGTTGGTTTGTAAGGATTAGATTTGTTTTTACGAGTTGATCACAGATTTATATCAGTTAGAAAGCCATTTAAAACCACCTGGGAGTACTGGACAGCTGTTTCATTCGAGTTTGGGAATAATAGGCAGTACGCACCCAACAGTAGGGTTCAAACCCAAGACCTTCCGGTTACAAGTTAAGCTAGCTCGTATACTATTCAACCACTGGGACCCCACCCGATTCAGCGGCCATCCCATGAATCCTAACTTATACCAAGTCGTGATTTAGAGAGACTGGCACCAAACAATGTCATCAGTGGGACATCCATGCTCACACGTGACTCTATGGACCTCAATGGTCACAACTTCTCACTAGAACTCCAAGAAACTTCGTCCTGTAGGAAGTCACTAGCGAGCATCAGCTTAATTTTTCAAGAGTTGGTTTGTAAGGATTAGATGCGAGCTTGCCTTGTAACCAGGTCTTGTGTTTGAACCCTGACGGCTGGTGCGTACTGCCGATGACTCTTGAAAAGTAGAATGAAACAGCTGTCCAGTACTCCCAGCTGGTTTTCAATGGTTCTCTTACTGATATCACTCTGTGATCAACTCTACAAAATAAAGCTGGCTATTACACCAAAACTGTTTAATGGACATAATAATTCTATTTCACTATTCTCAAATAATGAATGCTTTGATTTTATTTATTCCAGTGCACGTGATGCAACTGTACAGGGCATTCCACCATCATTCAAAGCTCATTTAGAACCATCATCAATTCAAGTGAATGAAGATGAAACTGTTATCTTTTCTGTACCAGTTGATTGTGGTAATGGAGATCGTGTTGTTGTTGAATGGAGACGTGATGGACAGGTTGTTATAACAGGTAATAGCATACATTAACTTTTCTTTTCTTTTCAATGATATGATAACACATAAGCTGTATCCACATTTAAACCATATACCTTGTATTGTTTGACTTTAAACCAGATGTAATCATTTATATTGATGAATTAATATCCTAATGAATCCTTCAATGACATGAAATTCACAAGAGAAGAAAAATCCGAGAACAAAATTCCATTTTCGGAAGTCTTAGTCAGGCGAACAACCATAGGGAAATTAGAAACTAAAGCTTAAAAAGAAATCAACTCACACATACCAAATACTCAATAAAACAACAGCAACAATCCAATAACACACAAAAGGAATTGTATACAAACACTATTCAAGAGGGCCAGGACTCATTGCAGCACTCCCACCTTAAGGAAAACTGAAGAAAGATATTTCATGGACGTCTTCCTAAAGAATGGATATCCACGGGATTTCATAAAAAGAAGATATACCCCCAAGCCAACCTACCGAATCAAAGGCCCTCAAGGAAATCATAAAGAAAATCGCCCTACCATATATAAAGGACATCTCAGAAATCACTGGAAGACTCTTCAAACCTTTAGGAATTGAAGTCGCACACAAACCAACAAAATCACTTCACTCAGCTGGCTCTAGGTCAACCAAAAGACTCAACAACGAAAGTAGATAAAACCAAAATCATCTACGTAATAAGCTGAAACGACTTCGAAAAACACTACATTGGCCAAAGTAAACGTCACTTTCGTCTTCGTATCCATGAACATAAACCAGCCATCAAAAGACATGACATCACCCTCGCTCATATTGCTGCATACAGACAACCACGGACATCAATTTGACTGGGACAACGTTCAAATATTAGACAAAGGAAACACTACGAATGCTAGAGAATTTTTAGAAGCCTGGCCTCGTATTCCAGTGAATCTTCAGTCAACAGAAACATCCAGATAGACAAAATTTACCAACCGATAAGAAGGAAACCTCACACACAAAAAGTCAAACTTCAGGTCAAGGAAACAATCAGCACCAATACCGATACAAGTAGCCTAGAAGGTTTGAAAACACACAAAAACAACCAATCACGTTCAAGGTCACCCACCGGGAGAGATGACTAATAAACTCGTGTAGAAATCCAAAATGCTCACTTCAAATTGAAGTATGCGCAGAAGATGTTGCCTAGTAGGGCGATGAAAGCTTCGCAAATTAACTATCCAGCTCAGAGAACACAACCACATCGAAATAATATCCTAATGAAATCCAGACACATTATGGGTAAAAATAGATTAATATCTGTGGTATTGAATTACAATCACCTATATTCCTGATTTGAACTCACTGTTTACATTTCACAGGTTGAGTAACTTAAGTTGTATTGATTGAGACATCAGAACAGGATATCGCTCAATGAAATATGAAAAAAGCATGAAAAAGATCACCTTAATCATCAATATTTTTCTCTTTTTCTTCAATGTTACCGAGACTTCCATGTACCACTTCGTCATTTGACTTTTTTGAAGGGAACTGAATTCATCACTCGTAGGTTACTGGATGTTAGTTTACTAAAATTTACAGAGATACACTGAGATATTTATGATAGAGGTATCTAGAAAAGATTTAGATGATTTACGGTAGCTGAGAGTACGTTGACTTATTTCTAAATTTTAGAAAATATCAGTCCATTTTGTGGTGAGAGCTGTCTGCAAGCCAAAATTGTAGACAACAATTTACGTCAATGTTTACATCCCATATTGGGGTCATGAGAAAAAACGATAACAAAGCTTAACCTTGAGGAACTCACCAACCAATCACAGCAGATTTAACGTGTGCAAATACGATTCGCAGATATATGGCCTGACTTTCTAAGAAACGGTCACAAGCAGTGCAGAATAACCTTGAGCAAGAAAACAACCAATCAGAATAGATTGCTCCTCTGCTGACAATAACGCTAATAATAACGCACATAAAAACCTATAAATACCTCTTGATTTTCTCAATAAACGATCTGTTTCCTGGCCCTTGTCTCCTCTCGTTACACCTTTAATTATTTTGATAGGGTTATTAAAAGATGAGTTTACCTAAGGAATGCGATGTATGTACGCAATACATTCGGAAAAATCTCATAACAAATTTGCCTACCCATTCAAGTGGAAACACTAAGTAAAAAGAACATTACTATGACCAAGATAAAGAAAGGGGTTTAACGACACATTTTCGGTTACATAGTTTAGGTATTCGTCCACATATAGCTAGAGACTTGGCTACACATAAGTGAAGAAAATATAATCTTTTAAAATAACTGAATTTGGCCCTGTAGGTAACGTTAAAAGAAAGGTTACTTGGGGCATGGTGATTTGACTCAAAAAAGAGTTCTCGAATAACAGACTTCGTGGTCCTGTGTTTGCCCTACCACCAAACAAGCTGGATAGTGTTCAGCTACACATTTCTGGGGAACCCGCCTACAACGCCCAATGTAATCAGCTCCACAGGGACATGTGAAAGATTAGATGCACATATAGTGGTAGTTTATCTTTGACGCATTTTCGAACTATACTTTGGCTGGAGAATACTAATTGTAAACCAGCAGCATGAAAGGAGCCTTTAATACACTTAGATAGATGACTTTTAATCACTTCAGCAATAGCGTCACCTTTGAATGCCAAACTCATAAAGAGCGTCTTCTTTATCAGTATGATTTGTCTAGAAGAGGTTTCTTCCATCATTTTCTGTCAGCAACGTATTTTGTTAAATCGCTTTCTTTACTTTGGTCATAGCCATGTTCTGTTCTGTAAATTTTACCACGAAAAATAAGAAACTTGAAGGTCAAACAAATTAACCAAAACAATATGTGATATAGACATAAGGAGGATAATCCTTGTTACTGCTGCTCATAATGTAATGAAACAAGGTTTACTAAGATAGTTATTAAACAGTTAGAGGCAGTCGGCAGGAAGCCCTGAAAGTAGGTTTCGTGCTTGTTGGCACTCGTCAGCAAGGCATATCTGCATGCGTCTAGATGCATGACACCAGCTACTTGCCACTCAGTGTTCAATCAGAGTATCTAATACAGTCCTACAGAAGGTCAGTCGCGAGCCCGAATAACTCAATGGTAAGGTCTCTGACTGCAACATTGGGTGACACGGTGTCGATGCTCAGAGGGGGCATGAGTTCCTTCAAGGTTGGAGATATGGTTTGCTGACGATTGCCAAAAGGCATGAAACCAGGTCCAATGCTTCCTGCCGATTGCCACCAACCATCTAAGAACAACAACTCAGAGTGCACCGAGATGGTGACCTACCGACCTACCAGCAAACTTGACCGGTAGAATTCAGCCTGCACCAAATAAAGGACTAAACATATGACATTAGTTACTTGCTGCCTAGTGTTCAATCGAAGTACTACCAAGGTACATTAAAAGGTTACAATAAATCGCTTTTGTGCATACATAAGGGGATTAATTCTTACATACCCCTTTATCGGTTTTTGTATATAATTCTGAAAGCTGGTTGACATCAGCCTCGTGATTCATATCAGTAAGGCGTTTTGCTATAGACAAGGCTAGTAATCTATCACTTACGTTTACCAAGGCTTTGGAATTAAGTTGTTTTTCCGGCTATTCAGCTACATGTTCTCCAACTTTCCTACTTACCCTGGATAACGATATCTAAACTTCTTTCTAAATTCCTTAGTTATCTGCAGTAAGTAATGTTAACTTTGTGTATTACTTGATGACAAACCTATTCACCATTTCAAACGCTATTAGCCTTTACGGTTTATCCTGTTGAAGTAACCATGACTTTAATTTATTTATTGTCATAGGATCTAGAATAACAGGAAGCTTAGAACTTGGAATTGCTAGCTTAAAAATCCACTATGCTCAACCAACAGACACTGGAGCGTACACCTGTCACATTTCTACAGAACACGGTTCAGCTGACTGTGGTCCTTCAAATTTGTTATGCGAAGCTACAGGAAGTATAATTGCTGCAAGTCAACTCCCAGGAAACAAAGAAAAAGGTAAGACTTCTTTGTGGTCTCCCTCTTTTTTGTCATGTAGTCACGATACCTAGAAATGGAGGAATAACAGTCTTTTCTGTAAAGATGTTCAATTTATTCTAGTATTGTTTTTCACTTTTTCATATTAGGTCTTCAAGCAATAGAAGCCATAGAAGCGAATTTACATGCCCCACGCGGAACTGTATGGGAAGATGATGGTCCACATGAGGCTCCAGCCATTATACAGCATCCACAACCTGTTGGTGAAATTGAAGAAGGGACAGCAATACACTTTGATGTACAAGTAGAACCAGCAGCAGATCCTTCATTGACTGTTGAGTGGTAAGTGGTTAAAAAACATTCATACATTAAAAATTGGGGGAACAAAACTATGAAAAGACTTTATGTGCATTCATTGCCTGATTTCAGTCAAATGGAGAATAGTAATGTATTCCCCATATGCATCAACTGATGCACTGTCACCAGTGCAGCGATGCAGCTTTAAGTTCCGGTGAATTTCGTTTATTAATGGCGATTTTTCACTACTAAGCCCATAATGATTAACTTCAGATATGGGACAATAATTATGCTTCTAAATATTCATTGGTATTTAATTTGTGGATAGTGACTAGCAGTGGAATCCAGGATGCGCATTTCGTCCTATTTGGGACTCGTCATCTGGATGTACATGCATTTCCCAGTGACGGGAAAATCTAAAATTCAATTATATTCATAGGTATCTTTTATCATACATTTCTACTGTCTATTTTAATGTAATAAAACGTTGAATAGTATTTTTAATGAACACATATATTTATATGTTTATACATGCATTTGTTTTAAAGGTTTAAAGGAGGAAAACTGTTGACAAGTGGAACACGATTTAAAGTTGCCTATGAAAGAGGATTAGCTACGCTGGATTTGTTATACACTATTCCTGAAGATAGTGGTGAATATTGGTGTTCTGTTTTTAATAAAGTTGGTCAAATGGAGAGTAATCATGTACACGTTGTGTAAGTTATTTGAATAGTCTTGTTGAGTAATCTTTTGTTCATTTTATGTGGAGTTTTAAGTTTCCAATGTATGTTTCTATAAGTAAGCGCCACATGTGAAACTTCTATGTATACGAAATAATTTTCTAGTATTGATTTTGTTTGATTGGTCCGAAGATTTCATCATAAGCGAACATCGATTAGAGAATCATTCGAAAACCACCTGAGGGTACTGGACAGCTGTTTCATTCTAGTTTAGGAATCGTAGGCAGTACGCAACTCCTGGGGTTCAGAAACAGGACCTTCCGGTTACAAGTCAAGCTAACTCGTATACCATTCAGCCACTGGAACCCCACCCGATCCAATGGGCAACCCATGAATTCTAACTTCTACCAATTCATGACATAGCGCGACCCCTTTGCAATGTCTTATTCAATGAGTTACTGCCTCATCTTCAACGTGCTGTACTCTACTGGTCACGGCTTCCCACTAGAACTCCAGTTCGCTGCCTAAATGGGGCAAGTAACTAGTGAGCGTCAGATTAATTTTCAGGAATTGATTTTGTAGGAGGGATTTTGTTCGATTGGTAGGAGGATCTCATTATAAGAACCATTGGAAAACCACTTGGGAGTACTGGAAAGCTGTTTCATCCTAGTTTGGGACTCTTCAAAAGTATTTATTTAGGCTCAACAAGATAGATAACTGAGAGATACTGTGATTTATAAATCTACACTAGTAAATATGTATTTCACTTGAATATCCGTAATACTAAGAACTAGTTTACTAAAAATACATTCATAATTGACAGGGTCTCACATAAGTAAACAGGTATGTATCTTGAAACTAGAATATGCTGTATTTTCCCTTGTATGAATTCTATATTTAAGCAGAGTCAGAACTTGCTACTTCCCTATTCAGGCATATTTTACTCTCAGCATAGAATCAGTAAGCTTCCTAATCTCCGTATATTATGAAGTGCAAGATATTTTTTCTCTTGGACCCTGGTTGTTTCAGTTAGAATTTCACAGTTTCTCCAGCAAAAGTAATACATAATTGACAGTAATCTGAGTAAATTCCTTAGAAGTGAGTGACATTTCGTTAACGTAGATAAGTTGCAACTCTCCTCTTTCATACAATTTGACGTTTCACTGCACTGCTGAAATTATACGAAGCGAAAGAGATTACTACGTGTTGGCTTACATTATATTTGATTGGTATCACGTCTGATGACGAACTGACATGGGTTAAGTAACCATTAAAAGTCAGGAAGTACTGGTCACCTCATTCACTGCAGTTTGTGACACTTCACCAGTACACACCTTTGTCACAAGACCTTCAGGTTATTTAGCGAGCCCGTTGACCAATGAGGCCCACCAAGTTGGATGCGATTTCAGACACACGCTGCTGATACTGGCTGCCGGTAGCTTTATGTACAAGTGGAGAATTACCAGAAGTTAGAATTCACGAACAACTGGGTCCTTGTAAACTAACGGTCCTGTGTTCGATCCCCATTTGCGTCATAGGGGCACATTGCTGAACAGTCTTGATTGAACTAGATGGGAACAGCTGTTCAGAACCCCCTGTCTTTTAATCGTCCTCTAAATGATGTCTTTTAGTGTTCAGAGTGCAGAGTTTTATTTAAAACAGTTAATGACAACTATTTAAATAACAGTGTCCACATTGAAGTACAAGAGATATCGGCTTCTACGATGTGATCCTGAACTTCAACTGGAAATATCCAGATGGATACAAGATTTTGTATTTCTTCGATCAACACATCTCATTTTCAGTTGAGCTAGTAATACAATATAAGGTGGCTAGCCTACTTACGTCGTCTTTTAGGTTCAGTAGTCTGAACCGGTAGTGTGGGGAGTGCGAGTTGCAGCCTACTGACATTAAAAGTCCATTGAATCGACCTTCTCAATTTGTTGGTTACTGTATCGTTTGTTTCATCAACTTTAAATTTATATTTATAGAATTCTTGTTTAAAGATACAGAAGAATTCTTCCCTACTCTCTTGGCCACATGTTTTACGATGAACTTTTCAGAGTAGCTGTTTTCACTTAACGTGTTGTAAACAACCTTAAGTTCGTCTTCTTATCAGTAGGACGTCTATAAAGGCAATTTTACTTTTGAGAGTGTTCTTCGCACGTCCAAATCATTTTTACGAAAGATGGATATATTACCCATATCAGCAATAAAATGAAAAATTTCTGATTAAACTGTTTAAAGGACCTGTCAAATATCCAGATCGCTGAGATCCTGGACCTATCTCTCTGGTTTCACAAGATTAAGCTTAATACGTCCAATACTATGCACTGTAACCTACCCGGAACAACACAAAACGGTTGGGCAACACGATTATTTATTATTCAAGCGATAACAAAACATATTTACACTGGTTAATCAGTGCTAAAGTTTGTAAATAAACGTTAATATAATATACAGCGATACTTCTGATCGTATTTCTCCAATCTTCTGCCAACCAGTATACAATTAAACGATGACAACCTTCATATCTCCCGCCAAATGGAAACCAATTCGAACAAACAAACGAACAATTCAATGTTCAACAACATTGATATGACCATTTTCTGTTTTACTTTAGAAAGATATCCGCTAACATGAGACCTAATGGAGAGCAGCATCTCACCCTCAACCAGCCTTCAGCTGTAGAAGTGGATGCAGAAATTACTGGAAAGCATATATTCTTTGTTCTCCAAACTCTGTCTTTTACAGGTTTATTCAGCTTTCAATCTACACATTAAGTAGTAACTGATTATAAAAATAACAAAACACTGTTTAAAAGACAAAGAAATTCGATAGAGCGAATAATATCCGCTATTCAAGCTATTGGTAATCTTGGTTATATATATATGTAATATTTACACTTCCTAACCTAATTGTTTGATACTTAATCTAATTAAAGCCGCATAGTATTCAACACTCGAGAGAGACAAAGAGAGAAAGAGGGAAGAATTATCTAGAATATCATCACCTTTCGATATGGTATATCTGTCTGCCAATTCACATTTATGCGTGCAATCGCCTACCCACACATTTACACAAATGCATATATGTGGTGTATATTTCTCCTACATGTCCCAATACGTAATAACAATAATAATAATCATTAGTGAAGGTTAGGAAAATAAGAATGCAGGATAATTTACACTACACCAAAATGAACATAAATCAATCGATTTCTTTCCCTCCCCCCCCCCAGAAACACACACATAATATCCACAGTTTTGCATAAAATATGGTTAATTAAACAAAATTTCTCAAGACAATGAATAATTCTCAGGTTTACAAACTGAAAACGCAAAAAACAGAAAATAGTTCTTTGAGAATCAGAATGGGAAATAGGTTGTAAAAATTAGTTAAGCAATGCATATTTTCCCATCACTTAATGTGGATAACCCAATTACATAAGATTTAATTCGGCTGGTAAAACACATAACCTGCTTTTGAGAAATGACTTTTTCTAAAGCAGTTGTGTAAGAAATCTGAGCGAATTTTAAGCCTATCTTTTTCGTGATCAGTTATGTTTTTTTTACTTTCAATGGCCAATGATTGCTTTCAAGTTTGGTCAGGAGTAGATATCAGTTGGAGAAGCATCGAAAACCCAGGGAGTAGTGGACAGCTCTTTCACTTGGTCCCAGTGGCTGAATGGTCCATGAGCTCGCCTCGTAATCTGAGGGTAGTGGGTTCGATTGACGGTGGTGTCATAGATGAATACCTCTGAAGAGTCACAAACAAGGATGAAGTAGCAGTTCATAACTCGCTGGTTCTCTAAGTTATATCAATGCATGATCAAACTTGAAGTCTATTAGATCCCTCCAAACTATCATTTGAACACTTCTGAGATATACTGTCTAATAAATCGCATAGAACATCGTAGATATAATGGAGAAGATCTGTAGCTCAGGTGGATGATTTTGATACAGTTATATTCTCTGAGCTGGATGGTTTACTTGCGAAGCTTTCATCATCCTACAAGGCAACATACTTCAATTTAAAGTATGCGCTGAAGATGTTGCCTAGTAGGGTGATGAAAGCTTCGCAAGTAAACCGTCCAGCTCAGAGAATATAACTGTATCAAAATCATCCACCTGAGCTACAGATCTTCTCCATTATATCTACGATGTTCTATGCGATTTATTAGACAGTATATCTCAGAAGTGTTCAAATGATAGTTTGGAGGGATCTAATAGACTTCAAGTTTGATCATGCGTTGATATAACTTAGAGAACCACCGAAAACCAGCGAGTTATGAACTGCTAATTCGTCCTTGTTTGGAACTCTTCAGCGGTATGCATCCATGACACCATCGTCAATCGAACACGCCACTGAACCATCCAGCTCAGAAAACACAACTACATCAAAAATAGAACTTCTTCTCAGTGTGAAATTTGAACAAAGAAAAAATAGTAAATGTTATAGGGTATTATTTACCAGTTTTTTTCTCAACTGCTCACAACCTAAATAATAGTAAAATAAAGAAAATACAAAAAATTATTTAATTGAAATTTAGATTTTCCCGTCGATTGATTGGACCGAAGTGCTCGGTCTCAAGTTGACATGTCGGCTTCTTGTGCAGATGCTTCGATGATTTCTGCGCATGTAATTAGAAGATAATTGGTGGATGGTGGCTAGCAGTGGAATCCAATGTGCGCATTTCGTCCTATTTGGGATTCATCATCTAGATGCACCTGCATTCCGCAGTCATTGAGTGATGATGTTCCCACCGAGACTCGAACCCAGTACCCATAGCTTCAGACACCAAGGCGTTTTCCACTAGATCACTTGGACCACGAGAGCCTCGGTGGGAACATCATCACTCAATGACTGCGTAATGCAGGTTTATCCAGCGGATAACGAGTCACAAATAGGACAAAATGCGCATCTCGGATTCCACTGCTAGTCACCATCCACCAATTATCTTCCAAAATACAAAAATGTTTTGAACAAACTTTAACCACACTGACAAAGAATTATTCACAGGAACTATAAGGATTGTAAATCCATAATGATATAAGTAGTTAAACCTATTTGGTGTTTAAAAAATTGACAATTTTTAACATTACTGAGAAATAGGCACAGAGTTTAAAGTTTAGTATTAGAGTAGTATGGTAGTATGACAAATCGCGAAATTATAGGATATATATAGGAAGAAGTGTAAGTCGAACAACGTTCAAATAGGAAGAACAAAGTTTCAAACACAAAAGATGATACAGAAAAATAAATGACTTCGTTAGATTGCATAACTTAGTTTTGTGTACTTAATTACCAAGGTAAAGCATGGTTCGTCTGAATGTATGACTGACTGAGTGACTAAATTTCAGCGCAGAACGTTGCGAACAGGTGCAGTAGATCACGTTGCCACACTCCAATTAACACATAAATGTAGAGAAAAGAGGTTCAGAAGAACTATAGCGAGCAGAAATGTATGGGAGAAGGAATAGTAATATGGTAAAACGGTGGGAATTTAACGGATGTGGGCGATTATAATGAGTGAATACATCTCCTCTACTGCCAACTGTTTTGAGCCACATCACCAACAGTATCCGACTGTTGGTTCTCAGCCTCCGAAGGACCTCAGTCAGGCAGTCAACACCTCCTTATATATCTTAAACCAACCGTCAGAGCTTCCATGGTTTTGGTTTGACGACTTCTAACACTTTTCTAACCTAATCCTCCTTCAGCTAACATTGCTTGTCAAGGAAGGCGCTAGCTTGGCATGCGCGCAACACTACTCTTAGTCGTCTCAATCACAATGTAGTCTCACAACCCCAGCAAGTGACTTCCGCCTACTTACCTAGGTGCTTAGATTTGCTTCTGGCTACTTGATGGTGATTACTTCAGCGAAATGCAATAGGTTGGGTCGATAAATCATGTAACACATAGGGTAATATGAAATATTGCAGGGATAAGGGATATGCATGTGCTGTAAGTCAGTAAGTCCTTCAAGAAAACTATTATACTATACTATACTGGAAGCAATTACTTAATATGAAGTACACTATGAATATATTATAAAGCGTTTAATCTATTGCACTTACTGACACATAAATCAAAAATAGTTTACAAATGTTGAATATTACTAATAATAGAGTAAGTAATTTAACATAGCCAACATATTATGAAAGTTAGAGAAAAAGATGTCTAAACTAGAAGCCTATTTACTGCCCACACAAAAACAAGCCCACTAAAAGCCTCTTGTTTATTAGTTCACATGATACAACATAAATGTTGCTAATTGCGCCTTCACAGAGTGCACTAACCACAAGATTTATTCGATCTATTAAGACAAATGTGTGTACATTCGTTATGACTGTTCTACCTTTCTTTAAGTATCCAGTTAACAGTAGTTAATTATACACAATAGTGTTCAAGTAGTTCACGAATTCTGTGGATAAAATATATATATATATTTCTATATGCCGTGGAGTAATTTTTAAACTGGCTATCAAAAATATAATGATAACTACTACTATGGAGCTATTGTACTCTATACAGTATAGATATTTTTGCCGGTATAGTAGGCGAATTATATTCAGGATATTCAATTATACTTACTTTACTATAGTTGGTTTGTAAGGACTAGATTTGTTTTTACGCGTTTGACCACGGATTGATATCGGTTAGAGAACCATTGAAAACCAGCTGGGAGTACTGGACAACTGTTTTGTCCTAGTTTGAGAGTCATAGGCAGTAAGCACCCAGCAGCAGGGTTCAAACCCAGGACCTCCCGGTTACAAGTCAAGCTAAGTCGTATACCATTCAGCCACTGGGACACCACCCGATTCAGTGGCCAGCCCATGAATTCCAACTTCTACCAATTCGTGATTTAGCGCGACTGGCACCTACCAATGTCATCGGTGGGACATCCATCCTCATACTTGACTGGATGGACCTCAACGGTCACGACTTCTCCCTAGAACTCCGGGAAACTCCGTCGTGTAGCAAGTTACAAGCGACAGTTGGTTTGTAAGGATTGGATACGAGCTTGTCTTTTAATCAGAAGGTTGTGGGTTTGAATTCTGGTGGTGGGTGTGTACTGCCGATGATTCCCAAAAATTATACTTTACATCATTCAAAACTTTTTTCAAATCCCTTTATAAGGTAGACTTTATAGAGAAATCTATGTATTTGAAAGATAAATGTAGAGGCTATCGTCTTCTATCTGCTATAAAACTTTTACTCATCAATACTGGAAACCACATTTTATAAAGTTTATCTTTGAAAATACTTTTATTCCCTTAAATAACTATCTTTTTTGCGTTAGTTCAAGTTGTTTTGTATTTCACGTCAATTGCTTTTTATGAGATCGAAATGTTTGGAGGTTGTTTTCATGTAAGCTCCTGGTTAAAAATCTTTCCATACTGTATAAACGTTAGATATTGTTATTTATTTGGTAGAAATGAAATAAAAGACTCAATTTTCATCCTATTTGAGACTAACCAGCTGGATGACAATGTTCACACTGAGACTGGAATACAGAAGCCATCGCCTTAAACGGTTGTTCACTAATAATAAATTTACTGTCATCCATTGAATTATTTAGCCATACTAATGAGTAAATTATATGGCGATACTCCTGTGAAAGTGAAGCTTAACATTTATACCGTAAAATATGATTGAAACGGAACTGAAATTCAGCCTTCATGATTTGATACTTTGCAACTAGAGTCAGGCATCCTTGAGAAGACTTGAAATTCACCTATGTTGCTACATTTTTATACAAGAATTAGAAGGCAGATGTAACTGAATGACAAGTTAGCCACATTGTCTTGATGAAAATAGTTCACTGCTAATATGAAACAAGATAAAAATACACTTTATTGCTGCCTTTTGAAGTCTTCTACAATATTTTGATTGAATTATTTTAGCTACTCTTGAGTAGTCGCTTTTAATTAACGAAAATATGACAAGAGGCTGCAGTGGGCCTTGCTATTTACCCTTTATACTGATATCAGTTCCAAAGTTACTTTTGATATCAAAATAATCATCCTCATTTCTTAAAATTTATTCTTCAGATGCAATGCAAGCGCTTCTGTTATTACACACAGTAATCTGCTACAAGGTACAGAAGGTTACAATCTGATAAAGGCTATTGAAGATATTGAGCAAACGTAAGTATATATATTTCACAATGATCTATATTACATTTTATACAATAATATGCAGTCATTCCCGCGTATCTGTCTAATTTAATGTAGGAAATACTGTTTATGGGGGCCAAAAGTAAACTAGAGAGTGATCACATCAGACGACAGCATGACTACTAAACTGAGGCCATCCTTTTCAGTAGTCCAAAATAAGAATAATCATAATAACGACAACTTTATTCAGAACAAATTGTTTACACATTGTGCAGAACTGCCAGGGTATTCTACTCTTCTTCCAAGACCTTTAAGTAAAACAGAAATCGTCAAAATATCGCTTGATGTAATGCCGTCCACTCTGAGGCAAAAACGAATCAGTTAGGATAGTTTTCCTTCCCCTTCTACAGAGAAATCTTCAGAAGTAGGTTGAAAACCAATTAGAAATTGACGTGGGTACATTCTGTGAACTCAGATAACTGAATGACTAAAACAATGAGTTGTGGAGAGAAGATAATGCATAATACTCAAGGGAAATTCGAATAATGCGGTGATTTAAACAGGGCATCAAAAAGAGACCAATCTATTTCTCTGAGTTACTGAAAATTGTAAGTGCCAGCAAACGTTTATTGAAGTTTATATTATGTGAAGAATCAACACCAGCTAGAGGATCATTTAAAACCAAGAGACATTATAAAACGGTTTCGTCCTTATTTGAGGCTCTTCAATAGTGCACACCCATAATCTTATCAGGAATCGAAAAGACTAGTAATAATGAAGTTATTTAACCAATCTCTCTTTCAGAAATGGTCCAGAATATAATTATATGGAAGAAGAAGAGGTTGATGCAGCACCTAATTTCGATGTTAAACCACAAGCTGCTACTATCAGTGAAGGTTCTCCAGTGAAGTTTTTAGTACGTGTTAGTGGTAAACCTACACCTCATTTGACATGGTATCTGAATGACGAGCCAATTGAACAAGTGAGTTAAATAAACTTAGTAGTTTACATTTTTTTAAAGTCATTTCTTATGCCTCACGTATCAGTAGGTATAAAAATAATTAGATATTTGTTTCTTAAATGTACCATTATTATAATTATTATGTTATCATTAATCGTCCTTTTGGGTACCGACAAAGCATAGGGATTCATCAGCGCAGGTTCTGTTCTTTGTAGTCCATTCTATCTGCCTTCATAATTTCCCATAAGCTTTCATCTACTCCCTATACGATCTTATCTATATCACCCTCGAAACTACACCTAACGCGTTGCTTCACATTCGGGTTCCACTCGACGGTCTACCTGGTATGTGAATTCACCTGAATGTCTCCAAACCATCTCCATTTCCTCTTCCATATTTGTTGGGTAGTATATTCTCGGTCATTTCTTGTCACTTATCATTTCTGGACGGCCTTGTGGTCTTCACTGTCGAGTTAATGAAGGCAGGTTTTGACGAAAATTTGAAGTAAGCTATTGGTAATACTCCAAAACATAAAGAAGCGGTGACCTAACATTAACCGTAAGAATTAGGATCATATTCCTTGTTCTGGGCGCATCAGAAGGATGAATGCTTCTATCTCGCCTTTCCGATTCTGGTTAACTTTGATATCCTTAACCCTACCGCTGCCCATAGTTAAAACAATGTTGCCTAGGTAAGTGAAAGAGACAACGTCTTTTAGATTTCTCGAAATGCGAGTGGTTGATGCTTCTTGTTGCCAACTGGCTATCTTCATCATCTCTATCTTTTCTATGTTTACCTAAAGTCATGACTTCTTCCGTAATTAAATGTACTGACAGGATTATAATTATCATTGGAAGTCTTAAAATTGTTATTTAGCGCTTTGATTTTTATCTGTTTTTTGTCGGAGAAAGAATTAGTTGTTCTATCACTTGTTTTTTTGATTCCTTTACGTTCCCAGTGGAACATAAGGCTTCAAGCTGGAGCTTTAAAGTCTCGAAAGCAGTAGTTAGCTGGGTGGGATTGCTAGTCTTACGCCCAACCTTCCCTCTTTGCCGGGCTTATTACCAGCCTAAGCGTGGTACGGGAGTGCGTCGGCTGGGGATCGAACCTCGGACCACCTGGTTGGCTTGCGAGTATTCTACCTCTGTGTCACCGATGCACACTTGTACTACTATCAGTACGGAAAGTGAGTCTGGCATGGAAATGTGCTGATTTGTTGGAAACAATGCAGTGAATCATTTATAGTAATGAACTGAAAACATGTATTTCCAGTAAAATTTACCAGCAGATAGTTATTGTGCCCTCAGAATTTTCTTACGAAGACACTTTTGGTTAGATAAATACACCAGCTATGCGAATGAGGCATGAAATACATAACTCTCTCTCCCCCTCAGTATACTCATCTCCAATGACATTTTTTTACAATTTTTGTTACTTTTTCTCTGTCTAGGATTCAATTACAAAGATATATAGCGATGGTGCAATCAACTATTTAGAAATGAGTCGTTGTCCTGCTTTACAAGGAAGTAATAGACTACACGTGATTGCAGAAAATCAATTAGGAAGAGCTGAAGCAGAAACTGTTCTTACAGTTGTATTAGCTGAAGACTTCAGACCAGATTTGAAACATGTTAAGCCAGGTAATAATAACAATAATATTATTAATAATAATGTTAATGAATTATTCCAAGCATCACTTAATCATAACTGGTTCATCCACACCTACCTTTGTTCAGATGTATGTGTCGGATGCACTGTAGCATTTAAATTTGAAGCCTTCGTTGAACTTCTAGACAACATATTGAAGTTTAACTTCATTGGTCAATATCCGCACATCTTCAGATGATACGTCTATCTGAAAGCTTAGTTTCCAGGAACTCTCTGACACTTTTCGTGTTCTTCAGTATCAAGAGCATCTTGCATATTGAATTTAGCACTGAGAATGCTGTCTAGAAAGACATTACAAGGTTAGCAATTAAATCATATAGCCTGCAGAATACAATAGCATCAACTATAGATTACTTTAGTTTGACCAAACAATACAAAGTGAGCTTATGATTCAATACTATACCAAATATTTTCATTAAAGCCAAAAGTTCGACCTTGAAAAAAGAAAGATGAGTAAAATTCGCAATTTACACAGTTTGACGTGGCGAAATCTCATCAAAATTTTCTTTGTAAATCAAAATTATTCACATCACAATGTGTGATCTGCTTGACACCATAAAAGGTAATCAAGAAATCAAGCACAGATGCGTAGAACTATATACTACTGATTTATTGACATGAGTAGTTGGACACCATTCACATCAACCAGTAGTGTTTGCTAGCTAGATTGAGGTGATTTGATCACCCACCGGACGGTCGGTGCACCCAGTATGACTCATCTCATAAAGCCGAATTATTTCAAACCGCCTAATTTCTGACTAGCTACTTGGGCGAACTGGTGTCAGCAGAGATCACATATTAGTAATTCGCAACTAAATGGGTAAATACTGAGTAAAACAATTTTATATTTATTGTTTTACTCTACACTTAGTTTACATAAGACACAGAACTAAGTATAACAGATAATAAATGCAGAAAACATTAGCAGATGATTTCAGACACTAATAGAAAGAATTAATTCATATGACGCAACATAATAAATTAGAGCACCATTTTACTAACTGAGTAGACATTTCGGACAATGAGTAAACTAAGGTGATAACTTTTAATAAGCATATATTTCCTAGTGAATGAAAAGCAGAACAAGAAGGTTTTTACTGTTTTTTTCTGATTAATAGTAACAGCTTTCTAAAGACGATCTATAACAGCGAATGTCTGTTTCATTTCAAAGAGACGTCCATTCTATTCTCACAGACGAAAGGATTCTCTTTATGGGCAGTAGTTTAAATGACTTGTTTTAGTTAGGCTGAATAAAACTATGGAATCAGATGCCATCAAATAGAGGAGTTATATTTTTAAAATCAAGGCCAAGAATATTTTAGACTTCAGACTATAGTATGCGTAGATTTTTATGTGAATTAAGGTCGACGTGCCGTTCATATGAGCTTTATTTGCGATTTGTACGTTAAGAAACTCATACGAAAACTGTATGCTTGAAGTAATTTGGTGGATGGTGGCTAACGGTGGAATCCAGGATGCGCAACGTCCAAAAGATATATCTGCAATCTCCAGCTACTGATGCTGTCCCCAGTGAGACTCGAACCCAGTGCCCATCATTTTAAAAGCCAAGCATTATCCATTAGACCAATTGGAGCACTGAAGAGTTGACAAGTTCGAAGTAGGACGAAATATGCAACCTTGATTCTACTGCTAATCAACATCCACCTAATTACTTCAAGTTAACCCTCAGAAATCGTCGAAGCGTAAGTAAAAGGAGCCGACATTTCAACACAGGATGAACATTTCAGTCCAGTCTGAATTTAGCAAAATAATTTTTAAGAGTTGGCTTAGGATTAGATTGATATCAGTTAGAGAAGCATTGGAAACCAGCTAGGAGTACTTGACAGCTGTTTTGTCCTGGTTTTGAAATCATCGGGTGCGTACTGCTGATGACTGCCAAACTAGGATTTAAAAAATGAAAACCTGTATTTTCACTGTCTTTTTATTTGAGTCAAATACATTTCTCATATCTGGTCAAAAAAACACCAGAAGGAATAGTCAAGATCCACTATTATCTAAGATATTATAGAAAGCCAAGAAGCTTTAAGCAGATGTTTATTCAAGCCTAAAATGTTTCAGATGGGAACACTCGCAACACTGTAGTTTATCAAGTGTCAGTGCAAAGCTATATTTATGACTTCATGAATAATCGCCATCCAAGGATTATTGAAGAAATAAAAGAGGATTTCAGTGAAGAGTTTCTTTTCAAGGATTTCATTTCCAATGGCTTTATAATCTCATCTACGTAGACCTTACTCTCGCAAAAGAGGATAGTAGCGAAAGAGATGGGTTTCCATAGGTGTACTTGGTGATATTAACGAGCACGTAAGAGAAATTGAATAGAAGTAATGGAGTTACGTAATGAGGTAAATTATTTTATGATTGGTTTGCAGTTAAGGTGAACATAGAAACAAACGAAATGTGATACCACGTAAGAGTTAGTTATAAATGGTCAAACAACAACAGAAACTAGCTGAAACACAACTGGACCATCTTTTACATTCAGAAGTCTGGTTTCTCTATCTGGATGAGTAGATTTTCAGCAATGTAAAGGCGTTGAAAGCTGATTACCTTTGGCAGGTTGCTATTCACTCTGTAAATCACTTTAAAGAATGAATTGGTTCAGATAGAGTGAGTTCGGTTACTGTGCCACTTATGGAATCAAGGTTACCTTAGCGCAACTATGAAGGATAGTACCCTTGGATTCTTTCAGAGAGGATTTGCGCCGAACAACAGACATACCTGGCTCGACAGGAACAGGTAACGTGCCAAATGTACCGTAGTAGTGATTTTTGTGTGATTATAACCACTGTCTAACTTAACTGTTCAGAATTTAAATTTCCTGAAAATTAGTTCCTATTCTCTAAGTATCTTAATATTGATAGTTATGTATTTTCTCCCTATATGACTTTGTTCCCATCGAATTCATGATTTTTTTCAAAATTGAAAAATCACATGAACTTCTTATACTGATACTCATTTTCGAAATAAACTTTTTATATTTCTTATTATGGTAGATATCGTAATGGTTACGCAGCGGTAGAATGCTCGCCGACCACACATGTGGTCTGGGGTTCGATCCCCGGCCAATACACTCCTTTACCTCGCTAAGCCAACAATGCGACTGGTAAAGAGGGAAGGTTGGGCATGAGGCTAGCAACCCCATCCCGTAAAAATAAACACCACTGCTACAGAAACTTGAATCCTCTAGCTTGAAGCCCTATGTTCCACTGGTAACGTAAAGGAATGCAATAATAATATAATAGTAATAATAGTTGATGTGTATTGGTGATTCGATGATAAAAAGCTCACCAGCCACGCACATCATCATGAGTTTGATTCCTAACAAATTCACGCCTACTAGTTAGCTTGGAAAAAGATATTAGGTTGGGTGTGAAGTTAACCAAACACCATCACTTCGGAAACTTCAAAGCCTAATACCCTATGTTTCACTCGGAATGCAGAAGGAATGAAAAGTCGAAAGTAGGAAAATTTATAGTACATGGCTATAGTAATTAAAAAATGACTGGTTTTATTAACTGGATGAATTGTCACATTGTGAGGTTAAAGTACATCCGTGTGTGCTTCGAACTGAATATATTATTTCCTGCATTACCATAGCATATATATATATGTATAAAAAAAGAAAATGTCATCTGATTACATTCAAATACCAAAAAAAAACATGTTCCATATTCAATGATAAACTGATCACAAGGCTTTAACTTCCACCAACGTGAGGTAACATTAAAAACCATTAAAAACGCCTAATAAAGTAAATGCCACACACAAACACATGAACACAACTGTGTGCTTCCTAATTAAAACTGACTACTTGTTTCTGAAAACCAAAAGGATAACGGAAGCAACTGTTTGTAAAAAGGAAATCTAGGCATGTCATTAATTGTTTATTTATAGTAGGAATGAATTATTTGTAGATTAAGCATAAAAGTACTTCTTTGTATAAAGAAAACATTCATATTTTTAATTTTTATCACAGCTATCCATCCATCATTCTTTGCGTCTTGAAAGGAATATAGAGCTTCAACCTTTGAAATTCCTGTGATGGTGGTGGTGCTGTTTTTCTTATGCAGTGAGGTTGGTAGCCTCATGACCAACCATCTGTTTTCCCCGGGCTTCCTAAGCGAGGTGTAGAAGTGTATTAGCTGGGAATCGAACTGACTGACCGCCACTAAGTTTCGTTTGTACATGCTAATAGGACATTTGAAAACTTTCAGTTTAATTTTCAAGTATTGGTTTTGTAGGGATTTTGTTTGATTGGTCAGGGGATTTCATCATGAGCTGACATCGGTTAGAGAACCATTGGAAAACCTGCAGGGAGTAATGGACAGCTGTTTCGTCCTAGTTTGGATTGAGTCCCAGTGGCTCTATGGTCTGTGAGCTCGCCTTGGAACCAGAGGGTCCTGGGTTCGAAATCTGGCGGTGGGTGCGTACTGTTGAAGGGTCCCAATCTAGGACGAAACAGCTATCCAGTACTCCCAGGTGGTTTTTGCAATGGTTCTCTAACTGATGTCAGCTCATGATGAAATCCTCCATTCTTTCAGTTTAAATTAAATTGGGAGTTAGCATGTGCCACAGAGTTCACAGTTCATTGGAATTTATTAAAGAATCATTCCACACCATCTAGGTATAAGAAAAACACCAGAAAGAATTCAAACTACTGTAGTAACCAGTAGATGGATCTTTAGTTAAATCATCTCAAATATACAACAAAGTTTTGTAATTTTTATATGTTTTATCGTTATCGAACTGCTAATTTATATCTTCTTTAAAAATTTAATTAACTTTCTTTAAACGTCTTTATTTTAGAAAATCCCTACAAGAAGATGGTTGGTTTACGTAAAGTAGAGTGTTCACCAGAATTAAATAAGGCTTTGACAAGAACTAAACCATCAGCTGAAACAATTATGGAAATGGAAAGAGGTGAGTCTAATTTTATTATTTAAAAAAAAAATATGGTTCACATTTTGATTGGACACTAGTTTGTCATTAGTGTCATTTATATCTAATCATTTATTCGGTGAAGATTGAATTCTATCAATTAAGTTTGGAATATGGCCTCCATGCTAGATGCCTTGCCATCACGATGTACTCTGAATTGTTGCAGATGAGTGTCAGTAAGCACTAAACCTAGGTCAAAGGCTTCCTGCCAACTGTTTCCGACCATCTAATGGTTCACATTTTAATGACACATTTTTGAAGATAAATTGTGTGTGTAACCTATCAGAGTTATTTTCAATATCTGTTTATTGTATTGTAACACTGACTCACCGATCACTGTTGACGAGATAAATCTCAAAAAGGTCACTTCCTTCACTTATCTACATAGCATCGTTTCAAGTACAGGCGACAGCAGGGATGAGGGTGTCAAAACCGGAATCAGAAAGGCAATACAGACATTCATCAATCTGTAATCAGTCTGGAAATCTTCGGCATTCAGGATAGAGAACAAGATTAGGATTTTCAACACCAATGTTAAGTCAGTCAGTGATTCTATATGGTTCAGAAACTTGGCACATCGAGAAAAGCATTTCCAATAGACTGAGCACTTCTCTGCTTCAAAACTGAATATCAGATGACCGGAATAAATTGGCAACTAGACATTCTAGGAATGAACACACCACAAACCAAGAACTCAACAAATGTCTCGAGGAAAATGGAGATGGACCGGGCACGTAGTGGGGAGACTGTCAGGTGAACTCACGCGCCAAGTCCTTGAGTGGGACGCAAATAGAAAAGGAGGAGTTGGGAGTGGATGTGAGGGTAACATTGGGGATATAGGAGGTTATAGGCAGTTGTGGAGCCAGCTGGAAAGGACTGGAGGGGACAGCACAAAATAGAGGTGTGCTGTTGAATTCTTATATTCTGCTTAGTATCCAAAGAAATAATAATAACAGTAGCATCATATAAGTTTACTGTCAGCGTGTTCAGTGCTATTATTTGTCCCCAAACTGCTTCATAAACCTCTTATGGAATAGTGACATTTATTAGTTATCCTACGAAAGTGACGAATTTACTAGTGGAAACAGCCTATGGCTTCACACACTAAACAACAAATGGAAGTATTCTATGCAAGAGCTATCCATGTTTTCATCAATATATTGAGCTATTTGATCATCCAATCATGTTTCTGAGTAATTTCAGGGCTAAACTTCGTTACGAATAGTATGATGCCCAGCTCAAACATTATACAGAACTTTCATAAGGTATTAGATAATGTTAGGAACTTTATGGTACTTCTACATATCTGATTACGACTCATAATTCACCTAAAAGTGTACCATAACGGTACGAACGGAATCTGGAAAGAATAAAATTTTAAAAAGGTACCACTACGGTAATACTAGACATGCGTACAAAGCGATGTAATTGATTACTGGGAAATTACTCAAAATATAAATTCAGAACAAGAGTTATTAGGGTGAACAACTGTTTCCAGTGAATTCTTCTTCAGGCTCTGTAGTTATGAATCCATTCCTGCGAGCTTCATTTATTGGACTATATAATTTTCCACAGATCATTATGTTTCAAATTTCCTCACTTTGGCATTGTTTTAACCACCTAATTACGTCGTTGAAGATTAATCTGTCCTCATGTGCATTTTTGAACAGCTTCCCATAAACCGATAGGTTTGTTCTGAAGGGATAAAGCCATCATGGATTAGAGCATATTGCAGACAGAATAATATTTTTTCGAATGATATACTGTGGACTATGATTCCACTTGAAGATTCTGCACAAAGAATAAATAAATACCAAGCCAAAAAAACTGTACTGCATATAAACGTAGTGTACAGAATAAAGTTATTATTATCACTAATAATAATGGGTATTTTTATTCCCTCAAGCTCCCCGTTAAACATAGGGCTTCAAGCTGGGAATTGAAGTTTTGGTAGCAGTGGTGTTTATTTTTACAAGATGGAGTTACTAGTCTGATGACCCACCTTCCCTCATTTTCAGTCTTATTACTGGCTTAGCGAGATAAGGAGTGCGCTAGCTGAGGATCGAACCCCGAATCACATGCGTGGTTGGCGAGCATTCTACTGCTGTGCCACGGAAGCACAATAATGGGTAGTAACGATAAATTATTGCGTTGGTGGCGCAGCGGTAGAGTGCTTGCCGACTATGCATGTGGTCTGGGATTCGATCCCCGGCTAGCACACTCCTTATCTCGCTAAGCCAGTAATAAGACTGAAAATGAGGGAAGGTGGGTCATCAGACTAGCAACTTCATCTTGTAAAAATAAACACCACTGCTACTGAAACTTCAAGCCTTTAGCTTGAAGCCCTGTGTTTAACTGGGAACGTGAAGGAACAAAGGACAAATTATAGTTATGTGAAAACATGTATTATTGTCTAAGTACAAGGTGGAATAATAGTCAGTTACCTTTGATTATCACTTAAATGAATATAAAATGTAAGGTCAATAAGAATATGAGATAAAATGAGATCTTAGACGGGGTCATGGGTTCGAAACCTTAAAGTGTCCTAGACTAAGACAGAAAGCTACTCATGTTTTTCAAACTGATATCAGCTCATGAAATAAATTGGTGGATGGCAACTAGCAGTGGAGTCCAGGGTGTTCATTTTGTCCCATTCGGGACTCGTCATCCAGATGTACCTGCATTCACCAGTCAGTGAGTGATGGTGTTCCCACTGAGGCTCAAACCCACTACCATCATTTCGAGCGTCTAGGCGTTATCCACTAGACCACTTGGGCAATGAAAGCCACCTCTTTCTTGTACAACAGGTGTATCAGTAATTGATTGACTGGACCGAAGTGCCTGGCCTCAGGTTAACATGTCGTTCAAATAGGACGACATGAGCATCCTGGATTACACTGCTAGTCACCATCCACCAAATTACTTAAAGTTAAATAATCAGACATTGTTGAAGTATCTGCACAAGAAGCTTATATGTCAATCTGAGACCAAGCACTTCGATCGAATCAATCAACTGGAAGGTGCAAATTGAATTAAATAATTACTGATATCAGCTCAGTGAGATTAGACAACTGAATGATACGTTTGTGTACCTACAGTCGGATTCCCAATCCATTTGTCTTCCTCCCTCCTTCCTTTGTTTCATTAATAAACTTTTATTTCAGATCGTTTGTAGTTTCATGACCTTTCTTATTATGTCTGTTAACCTTGGTTTTATGCATTACTTTACACATATTTTGTTTATGTTAGATTTGATAATGTGAAATATTCCCATATCATGAATTAAAAGTCAATCTAAACGAAGAATATTCTTTTCGATAATTTCTCCTTTTCAGGTTCTTACAGTTGTAAAATATATTTGTTGTCGTTACAATAATGGCCAGTTATGCGGCGGATACATCTTTTAAAGTAGAATAACAGATTAGTGTTATGGGGTGTCAAAATAAATAGTCGTATTTGTGTGACAAACGTGCTAGGCTGAAATCGATTACAAAATATTGTAAAACGGGAGACAACGGTGGTGATTAATCATAATAGATTTGTAGAGTGTGGGGTAGGAAAACTGACAAGTCAGTTCAAGGTTGTAGAAGGTGTCAGGTGAGTGGCTAATACAAAGTGGTCTGTTTTAAACAGGAGATAGTAAGACTGCAATGAGAGGTTCATAATGAAATAACGAATGTGTGAAATGAAACAGGTGGAGGCACACATTGAGAAAAGAGATAATATCACTAATAATAAGTCCGCATAGTATAAACGAAAAATTCGATAGTATTGAGAGAATTTTTGAATGAAGGGTATAAATTATGACAAATAATAGTAATAATTGTAATAATAAGCAAAGAAAGAAAAAACAGGAGGGTTAAGGGGAAGAAGCACGCTTGGTGGGAAGAGGAATCATCAATCGAAGTTTGGCCACGGTAGGAACAGCGTCTGGAGGTGTTCTTTTTGGATACAAAGCTCCAGTTTAATCGATCTTATTGCAACAGCTTCGGCTATGTGTAGGAGAAGTAAGCGAACTGTACGTGATAACGATTTCGGAATTTGGTATATAACCCTGAAATCTGTGTTGACGTCGATGCGATGTCCAGTATCAACCAAGTGGGAGAGGAAAAAGCTTTTCACGCACTTAACTTCCCCTCTGCTGAACCAAGCTGGTAAATGTTCTCGAACCCGTAGACGAACCTGCCTAATCGTGCGCCCTATATAACTTGAACCATAGGAACAGTTGAAATAGTATATGCATGAAGAAGAGCTAAGGTTAGATAAGACACCTTTCAGTTGATGCGTGGACATTCGATGGCTACTGAAGGATAGGAACAGACGTGCAAAGTGTCACAAAAATACTATTTATTTTGACACCCCATAACTAATCTGTTAATCTACGTTAAAAGATGTATCCACAGCATAACTGTCCATTATTGTAACGACAACAAATATATTATATTTTATAATTGTAAGGGCCTGAAGAGGAGAAATTATTGAAAAGAATATTCTTCTTTCAGATATGACTTTTTGTTAATGCATCCAGACAAGCTTTTTCTCTTCGCTTTATTCAATTCTTAATTACTTGATAATCGCTCACTAATAGTACTTTTGTGTTTTCATATAACATGAATAAATTATTCTCTCATTCTTATTGTTATTTATCATCTAGTTTGACCCATTTATATTTGTATGCTTTTCTGTGGTATTCATATTGTCTCCCACACCATTCACATCTTGAAATCTATACTTTTGTTGGTGATAAATACACAAACAAGTCACAATACCCTTTGTGATTTACTATTACTGAAAAGTACTCTTTGTTTAGCCATTCCTTTGTTTTACGAGTGGAACACTGTGGATTCAAGCTATGAAGTTTCAGAGGTGGGGGCGTTTTGCTTACAAGGTAGGGTTGCTAGCCTCTAGCTCAACCTTCTCTCTTTCCCAAGCTTACTATCCGCTATAGTAAAGACGGGAAGGTTTAGGAGTGCGTCGGGGAGAGGGTTATCGAACCCTGACAACATGCATGGCTAGTGAACCACTGACTTACTAACTGACCGGCATTGGGAGCTAGGAATAATGGAGCTTGAAGGAAGGACTGACTGAAAACAAATGTCCACTCTAATTATCCTTATTCCAAAGAATAAATATCAAGAAATCAACAGCGAAAAAAAGTTAATGAGGATAAAGCGCATATCACATTTTACGACAAAAAGAAACAAGGACAGCAATCTAACTGGTTATGCAGAATACTACGAAAAATGTTTACCAGTGCAAAAAACAATTAATCACCCGATATAACTGTGTCTTGAAATCAAGTCATATGTTTTAACATATTTCGACATATATTCATTCATTTTCTAGCTTGACCTTTAAGCGGAATTATTACTATTACTATAGTGAGTTTTAGAAAGAATCTAATTAGGTAAAAATTATTGTTAAATGTATTCTATAATCTAGTTTCTTACAGATCACTGTCAAAATTTACGTTTTCTTATAACATGAATTCTGATATTGCGGAAATATTCATTCAGACATCTATAGAACACAAAATAACTGAGCAAAGAATATCCGTTTCGATAATTTTCTCTTCTAACTCTACATTTATATATATATATATATACATGTATATATACATAGAATATTCTAGAATATTCGTCATTAACAATATTGGTGTATTTTAAGTAATATCGATTTTTTAAGTAAGACCAATGGAATTACAGTTTATTAAAGATGCTTAAATTATAACAGTATTAAAAATATAATAGCAAATAGAATATCAAATAAAACTAAGTGAATTTCCACAAGAAATCGAGGATCACTCAAACCTTGATGGTCAAGGTAAGGACAGTGTCTGAACTAGCGTCTTTTGGACACATAAATTAGACTTATTAATGCGGATCCCAGCGGCCTCAGCAATATTTAGTAAACGAACTCTTAAGGTAAAGTTAAAATTAGTTGGTATGCGGTAGATGAATTTGAAAGCCTCGTCAACATCAATCTTGTGTTCTGTACCCACAAGATGAGATAGAATAGCGCTGCGAATAGATTTTGTTTGTCTTTTACTTAACCACTATGCAGGGTGATGTTCGGAAATCCGACTAGAAACACGCCTAATTGTACAGCCTATATAACTGGCTCCACAGGAGCATTTAAATTGGTAGATACACATAGAAGAAGCAAAATTAGGTAGTTTATCTTTTACTCCAGAACGCAAAAGAGGAGTGGTTTTAAAGATACAGCGTAATTCGGCAGTAGGGAATGTTCTTTTTGCCACATTTCTAAGGCGTTGTGTTAGTATCACGCTGATGCTGTCTCCGAGGATATTATCGTTATTCCCTTAGATTCCAAGTGGAACTTAGGGGTTTAAAAACACATCTCCATTTCACTCAGTTCTTCGAATTTCTCTTTAGCTGCCTATACAATTCCACATAAGTCCTCATCTCCGTCTCACACAGTCTCCTGCATGTTACTCTTGGAACCATATCCAACTTGTCATTTATCATTCAGGTTCTACTTTAGGTGTGACTTACCGTATGATGTCACTCTGAATGGTCTCCTCAGAGTATGTGGGCAATAGATTCTCAATTGGTTCATAACACTGCCAGAATTTATTGTTGCTTATCCTTTTTGAACAATAAAGAAGAACTGACTTGTCACTAGTTTGCTGAAGATCTGAGCTCGAGGGATTCCCAGACTCATTACATACTCTTATATTACCAATACACTGTCACTGGTCTACTCATAGGATATTGGGTTAGACAGTTTTATTTATGAAATTTATGATGAGTGTTTATTGTATTTCAGGTACTGAAATAAAAGCTCGTACTTACCGTTCACCAGAAGTACTTGAAGCTGAGAAAATGTTGGATCAACTTGCTTCAAATCTAAGAAAATCAGAAGTTAAACGAGTCAGTTTAAAAAATTTTTTTCCGTTTTCGTAATTATTCATGTTTTTATTTCTTCATTTTTTATGCAAAGAAAGAATGTTAGTGAAGAAGGCAAATGATCATAAGCATTTCAAACAATAATTGAAGTGATTACTAATTTACCGTATTTAATCTAAAATAAAAGCTTCATTCAAACTAATTAGAAAATACCTTCACTGAAATTGTGCATAAATTTGCTTATTGGATATGTTACAAAGTGAAATGAAACAGACAGAAGAGACGTTGGTATTAAAATAACTATCCTATAAAATTCATTAGGAATATCAAAAAAGGTTAAAAGTAAAATAAAAATAATGGTGAAACTAATAATGATAACATAAATAAGAAAGAATTTAAGGCATCTACAGTTATACCATGTAAGGAGGGGCCATCTGAGACCCTACATAGGATTCTTAAAAAAAGCCCTATAAACTCACTCAGGTAGGACAAGCTCTGTAGGCTAAAAGACCCGGTGGACCCAATTAGACAAAATAATATAATTTACAAAATACCCTGAAATGACCGTGAGTTGAGTCAACTACATAGGTCAGACTAGTAGGTCGGGGGTAGTCAGACTGTCGGGACATGAGAATTTAGCTAGGTTAAGAATCGTTGACCCGGAGAAATTAAGTAATGTAGAAAAAAGCTCAGCAATTGCACTGCATGCATAATCTATGTAGGTGGAGAGAAAGGTTGATTACTGAATTCTGCCTGGTTCATTGAGTCTACACCCAACACATGTAACAGAAATGACTCAATGCAAATACCAGAGATATGGAAGATGTTATTACCACCAGTCAAATCAGAGGAGGATAATGAATAATCTTAAAATTCTATTTCAATTCAAGCAAATCACAACATTCTAACAAGTTACTTATTTTGACTATAAAAACACTCGTCTTATTTCCCATCTGATTGTACTTGATCAATAACATTATCTCATTGATTTTAATTCAAATATCTAGTCAATATATATATATATAAATGAAGGAAGAAAGTTGTGTGAGTAACTTGATATGATTATGAGTAGCAACAATTTGTGCTCGGAACGTGGTCATCAGTTAATATTACTGTATAACACTGTGTGATTTATCAGAATAAAATCTTATCCATCATGGAGTTATACTCTACCACAGTGCCCGAGTTTTATGTCTATATCATTTAACAAGTCATATCTTGTTTCATTTAACGAAAGTTATATGAGCTTACTGATGATCACTCGTAGGATATTGAAGATTGTAAGTTAAACTAATGTTATATCTGGGAAACTTGGACATTAAATTATTTGTTCTTCTGAGGGATAACGATAATTAAATTGTCTAGTAGGAATGCCAACACAGTAAATTACGTCATCTGAAAAATCAAATGTCAGCAGTAACATCAAAATAAATGAGAAGATACTATTTCTCCAGAGCATTCCAAACATTATTACGGTGAAACTTTCTTTCCCAGTTTCACTGACATACATTTCGAGATAATAGGCAGGATTTGTAGCTCAGGCGATTATCCTTAATTTGATCGATTGATTAATTGCGATGCTTTCAATGTCCTTTTAGACAACATCTTCAGCGCTTACTGCAGTGTGAAATGGAGTTTTATAAACTGTCCATGAATGATACAACTATCTCTCTTGATGACCTTGGTTGTAACTGGTTGTCTTCGGAAGTTTTATTATCCTCGTGTTAAACTGCATTCCTATTGGTTGTTTCATGGACGTAGAGTCTGATCTTTTCACCAATATGATTTGTTCTTTAATAGTTGATAAATTTGATCCACATTATTAAGCCTGTTGACTGAAGATTGATCTGAGTACTAGACTTCAACGAATTTTCCTAGTCAAACTAGTGTTCATAATTACCTGCTCGTCGTATCTTTTGACGGCTAGCTTTCTCTTTTTCTACTTGAAACCAAAGGAGACGTCCACTTTGACTGATATAATGCTCTTTACAATTTGATGTAATTTATTTCCATGGATGGTAGTGATCTTGCCTTCTCTTCCTGCTGAGTTCTTTGGTCTGCGTACCACTCAATGATATGATTGTGTTGGTTTGTGTGCAACATCCCTTCCAAATGGTTTCAGTATTCTGGTCATTATTCCAGAAGTATTCTTCAGACATTATTATTATTGTTTCCTTTAATTCCTAGAGAAACATAGGGCTTCAGCCAAACGTCTCCATTGCATTCGGTTCTCTTGCAACGTTTTCACATGGCTCGAAGTCTGCCCACACGTTTTCATCTCCTCTTCACATGACCTCCTCCAAGTCACCCTCACACTGACGACCAACTCGCCGCTTCCCTTTCGGGTTCCACTCTAGCGATGGCTTGTCTAGTGATGTCACTTGATGGTTTCTTAAGAGTATGGCCAATCCATCTCCATTTCTTCCTGCTTATTTGTTTCACAGTTGGTCCCTGGTCGGTTCGCTCATTGCCAGAGATACCTCCCTGTTGCTGATCTTTTCTGGCCATCTGATCTTGAGCGAAGTATTGAGCGAAGACAACTGTTAATGAAGGTCTGTAGTTTGTTTGAGATGCTCTTTATGACGCACCAAGTCTTCAAATATACCGCAGAATAAGTTTCCATGTGGTTTATGCTGCTAAAAACGTAAACTTCCTGTTCACATTTGAAATTGGTACTTTTTTTGAAAACTCTGTTTTCATTCTTTTCAGCCTCCAGTAAACTATAACAATCAAGATGGTGTCGCATAAATTCAGTAATACAAACAGATAAACAAAACATCGTTTATTCAAACACAAACACACACTCACACACACACTAGACTGCCATTGACAAACTTCCACAAACAATGAATGACACAACAGCATCAACATTTACATTTAATATCAAGTTATCAATTAAATTATTCTATTTACAACAACAACAAAAAAAAAGAAACATATTTACTCAAAAATTAAAAATCATAAAATCTTGGAATGTGAATGATTCATTCTTTCATTCTACATATAAAATGAAACATTTCACGCGGAAACTATGAAATCACAATTATTTGTCTATATTTATGTTTTTCTCCTTCTCTTGTGTCTTATCTTCTCTTCTTACTTTTTTGTCTCACTCCTATTCAAAATCTCCACTTTTATTTAAATAAACGCGCGCGCTACTTCAAGGCCAACGATTGAAAATTGAATATTGACAAATGTAACTTATTTCAAATGCTTGTTATTTGAACGAATTGATATACCGGATTATTATTGTTATTATTATATTATTCTTATAATATTATAGTTAGTTAACTGAGAACTCAATCACATTGAGTTTTACACACATATTTTGTGAACATTTATCTGCTTTATTTTGCCAAAAAATTATTATTTTTCACAATTTATCGATTAGCATGTGAATGACATTTGCTAAACATCTGTTGAATGGTTATATGGCTGATGACAACATTATAATGACTGTCAGTTACGAGTTTATGCCGAAAAAATCTTTTTGTGAATAACTCAGCATATTTTGATGATGATAATGATTTTGAAACATCTTTTTAAACAACGAAATGCTTATTTAATGTGTTCACTTTATTCTGTTATATGGATTATTTAAACAATTTATCTTGAAGAAAACTTTTCTCATTCATGAAACCAAAAAGAACGAAGAATAAAATGTCATGAATATAAAAAGCAAAATTGTTTTCCAAGTGTTGGTTACCAGGGATTTGACTTGATTGGTCGCAGGATTTCATCATGAACTGACATCAGTTAGAGAACCATTGGGAAACTAGCTAGGAATACTGGATAGCTACTTCGTCCTAGTTTGGGACTCTTCATCAGTACGCAGCATCGGGCCGAGCTCATAGACCATTAAGTCAGTAGGACCTGGTCCAACGGCCCATGAATTTCAACTTTTGCCAATTTGCGATATAGAGCGACTACTAGTTAGCGTCATCAGTGAGTATTCATTCTCACACCCGACTTGCTGTACCCCGCTGGTCACGACTTCCAACTAGAACCCAGGTAACTAACTACCTGAATTTAAATGAAGATTTCCTGAGGAACCAACATCAGTTAGAAAATCACCGATAATACAGGAATGCTGTACAGATCTTCAAAAGCGTACGCCTATGACTTTAAAGAGGCTCAACCGAAGCCTCGAGGAATTCAGTGACTCGTTATTTCGTACTGATACCAACTATTTTTAGCGATAAGCATCCCATTCACTCTGATATTTTGGGCAAAAGAAAAACTTTCAAGACAACAAAGCAATCAGTAGTAATACAAGCGGACAAGACGGTGAGCAAATTCCGAGAAACAGGCAATCATGTTAAAGATTACCAAGAAAGATAGCTGATAAAATCGTGAAGGATTCTAAAAGTTCATTTCAAACTGAAGTATGCGTTGAAGATTTTGTCTAGAAAGATAATCCAGGCTTCCCAACTAAACCGTCTAGCTTGGACAACACAACTACTCCAACACATTATAAGCTGGCTTGAAATACACATTCCGATGTTGATTATCCCCAGTAATCATTATTATATAAATTTTACTGTCAAACGCAGCATAGTGTAATATCAAAATAACTCATATCAAATGGTAGTGTTTGCTCGTCAGACTGATGTGATCTAAATATCGGACGATGGTTTCATTCTTTTTAGACCTACCTAATCAGTAGTGTACCCAGTTCCAATCCACTCAGGTGACCAACTAAGTTCACGCCAACCGAATTCCGCCCAGCTACTTTTCAGAAATAATAGCCGGAATTCGGGTGGTCTGAAATGATTCGGCTCTATGAGTTTAGTGGAAGCAGTTATACTACAGGCTAGATCGCTTCGATCTGGCTGACAAGAACTACTGTTTGAGGTTCGTATCAACCAATCGGTAGTAGCTAATATCAAAGTCTTTCATTTCATTTGAGGATTGGCATTTATGACACTAAACAGACAACATATTTCCAGCTGAACACTTTCGGCTGTGATGTTCCACATCGAATTGTGCAATTTGCAAATGAAGAATTTGTTTTCAACGATAAATTCTCTGGAGGTTACATGACTGATCATCAGTGTTTGGTAAGACTTCTGCAACTGTTGCATAGTGAATTGCTAAAGCATAGTGTGAAGAATAGTTTGAATTTGCTGAGGAGATTAGGGCGCTGAATGTGAATGATAATTCCATGGTATCATTTAATGAATATTCCTTATTCATTAACTTATCGATGATAGGGTCAGTGGATTTTATATGTGACGAGCTTAAAAAATTAAAGTTGACGTTAGTATTCTAGTATCTTTTGTTTGAAAGCAAAATGATTTAATTTTTATTATATATGAATTGTATATAGTGAACCATTCTCACGGTTTTCACAGTTAAGGATAATGATAGGCTCGAACAAACAACCGAACAATCTGAATAAAACAAGCTAATTAAAGTATGACTGTTGTACATTCAAGGGAAAAGTGTTTGCGGGAGTGTACTAATGCTGAGGAAGCTCTCTCCTTTAAAATGCTACAATTATAACTCTGAGTTTCTCATAGGAGTGTAGGTATTCACTCAAATGATTTTTGTTCATTTAGGTTCAGGATGTAGAATTACAAGATATGCTTTAGGATTAAGGATAAGAGTTACGACTTGGATTAAGGTACTTGCCTAGATGGAATCTACTCCACAAATCTTAAATAGTATTCGTTAGCAATACTAGCCTTACAATTCTTGGTTATGGTTCCACTATTATCTATGTAAACTACGGTTGATCACTATCCTTTAACTTGGGTATTATGTAGATATTCATGATGCTTTTGATTTATTCAACAAATTTACGGTTTATATTCTTCATTGATTTGAATCTTAGTTTTGATTTCATAGAATAAAATCCAGTCTGTGGGTTTTTTTCATTACTTTGACTGGACATTAGTAGCTAGTGCGATGTGTTTAGTCCTTTCTTTGGGGGCAAACTGAATTCTATCAGTCAAGTTTACAATGTGGCCACCATTCTAGGTAGCTCACCATCACGGTGCACATTGATTTGATGATATTAGATGGTTGAAAGCAATCGGCAGGAAGCCTACAACCTGGCTTTTGTGCTAGTTGGCACTCACCAGTCGGCAAGGCATATCTGCAACCCTGAAGGGACTCATGTCCCTTCTGGACTAGACACATCGCACTAGTCAGTAGTGTCCAGTCAAAGTATCCAATACAGTCCTACAGGAGGTCAGTCACAAGCTTGAATAGTTCAGTGGTAAAGTCTCTAACTGCAGTACTGAGAGACGCTGGTTTGAATCTCAGAAGGGAGATGAGTTCCTTCAAGGTCGCAGATACGCCTTGCTGACTGATGAGTGCCAACTAGCACGAGACCTGGGTCAGGCAAGGGTTCCTGCCGATCGCCTCAACCATCTAAATTCTTTAATTAGTTACATCAAAAGTTGGAGGAATTTCCACAATGCGTCAACTCGTTTAACTGGAGTTCTTGCCCATATACGTTTTCACGTATTGATTCAAATAAAACAGAAAGCAGTGACAATTTTGAAATCATATTTTTGGCCATCTGTATAGCTTGGTCTGTTCACTGTCATTAAAAGGCTGTTGGAAAGACTCAAACAGTAATCACGTAGGATCTATGAGTGAAAGGTGACTTTCACTAACTTTCACAATAAAAGATAAACTAATCACGCATCCAAAATTAGGATTTTTTGTAATTTATAGTGTTTCATATTTTAACTACAGTGTAACTTCAAGACTAATTACAGACTGACTTGAGTTGGAGAATCACTAAAAATCACAGATTAGTGAATGAACGTTTCATCCCCTTTCTTAGGATTCTTTGGTAGGAGGCATCCATTTCCTAACCTGTATTGATCGAACTGAGGAGGCTCACGTTACTAGGCGAGTTGATAGACTATTGAGCTGCTTGTAGTGGATGCATTGGCCCATCAATTCTAACTTTTGCCAATTCATCATTTAGCGCGACTGCTAGCAGATGTCATCTATGAGTATCTGTCCTCACATCCAACTTGTAATCTGAAGGTTTAGGGTTCATGATGGAGTCATGAGTGGGCATCAGTAGAGAGCCCCAAACAACGACGAAGTGGCTGTCTACTACTCCCTGGTTATTAGTGGTTCTTTGAATGAAGTCATTTCGCTGTAAAAAATAGGTAGATATGTGAACAACAGTAATAATCAAATGAAAATCACTAAATATGTCCCACATGCACTGTTCATTTTCAAGCGTGTTTTAATGCATTGCTTTGTGTCATAGAAAATGAAAGATACTTTAGTTATTTTAGTGTACATTTTGTCACAGACTAACATTCAGATCTCTACAAAATTATTATTATTCCCTTGGGTTCCCAGTGGAACACAGGGCTTTAACAACACATCTTCACTTTTTTCCGTTTTCTCCTCTCCTCTTTAGTTGGGTCCTCTATTACCCATATTCTCTCAGCTCTTCCTCCTCGCCACACGATCTCCTCCATGTTACCCTCGCACTGACACCCACTCGTTGCTTCCCACTGGGATTCCATTCGAGCAATGGCCTGCATTGCGCGCAATGTCATTCGATGGCCTCCTCTAAGTGTGCCAGATCCATCTTCATTTTCTCCTACATATTTGTTGAGCAATCGGTTCTTGGTTGGTTTGTTCTCAAGCAGAGTTTCCTGTTGTTAAATCGTTCTGGCCAGCCTGCCATTTGATTTTCAATATGCAGCCAGCCAGTCAAGGCAGCTGTTGATAAAAGTTTGTAGACACCTGTTGGAAATCCTTTTCGTGATACGCAGTGCAAGTTTCTCACCAGCATAGAAGAACTGACTGACTAACTGACTTCACATTTGTGTTGAAAATCTGAGTCTTGTTGTTTATGCCGGCTGAGTGCAGTGCAGAGGATCTCCAAACTGATTTCGGGTTGATGAAGGCTATCTTGTCCTTCCGGTTCTGGCCTGTTCTGACATCTTCATGCGTTCCAACAGCCTGTGGTTAAAACCACGCTTCCTGGCCAGACAAGTGAAGGAGGTAACCTCTGTCAAATGTCTCCCGTCGATGGTGATTTTCCTCACAAATTACATAGCCTGAATACCAGTCTCCAGGTTATTAGCAGTTACTAGATGGGTGTTCTGAAGTTGTAGTGAAAACTGGTGTCCAACGAAGTTCACCATCCCAGAGTGAGGCGAATTCTTATCGATGGCATTGGTTGGTTACAGAAGTTAGAATTCATGTGTCATTTAAATCCAACCCCATGGCTAAATGTTTAACGTGCTAGGCTCGTCACGTGAAGATCGTGGGTATCGACTGCTGAAGATTCTTAAACTAGAACAAAAAATCTGTTCAGTGATTTATGGTTTTCATTTAGGAAATCTGCAATGAATATCATCCAAATCCCTACTAAAGTATAATCGATTTCAGTTATTGTTTAAATTATTTCGACAGACTGGTTATCATCAACAAGTTAGTCAGAGTAAACAGCAAAAGTAAATAAGACTTGAAAGCACAAAGTTTAACATTTATTAGGTGAAAATACAATGAACAGTAATAAAATCACATAAACCTTACATTGATTTCAAAGTATACTACTTATATCTACGTATTTATAAGTAGTATATGTCACGATGACATAATCTACTGTATATTTTGAATCTGTCAAATAATACAACACAAATGGCACATATTGTAATAACAAATGAAATGAAACATGACTGGTTTTAAACGAAATCAGCAATACATTATTTCCTAAAACTAATTAACTAACGCAATCACTTGAAATGGACATCTCTCTATGGATATTCTAGATTGAGAAATAAGAAAAAGGGTGTAGACACATGCATAAGACAAGAAGAAATGTGGTCTAATTTATTTCATTATGACATGAAGAAGGTAAACTGAATCATATAACATATATGAATGAATTTTTGTAAACTGGACATAAAGTTTAGTATATATACTACAAATAATATATGTATATTATATTCACACGGTAAATCTGAAGTAACTTTCATCTCTCCCCCACATATTTTCGATACGACACATGAAAAATGTTGATCCATTCAGTGACATAGAAGAGTCCAGTTTGATTGTCTGACTTTCAATAGGATTACATTCGTTCATATGCTCACATTGAAACCATTCAACAGATCCTTTAGGTAAGCCTTCACTGATTGGTGAACAAGTTAGTGAATGCTGTGAAGATGAGTCAGGCGAATTAAGTTCTCCTTTTGGTAGTTCTGGGGGATAACCAATAATCAGATTGAATTCGTATAGTTCAATAAATTTATCATTATTTTCAATTCCACAGATCCATAGTCCTGAATGCAGTTTACTATTTGCTTTTTCAATTATTAGATATTCAGAGCTGGCTTGAGTGATATATTTGTTGACTTGATGACTACTGTTTGAAATGCTAAATGTTAAAAGAAATTCAAAAGGTTATAAAATAGCGTTTTTAAAAGAGGATTTCTAAATGACAAGGACAATCATCCAGACTGTTTATTTACACTGATGGAGAGATAAATAATCAGGTTAACACTGCGAGCTTTTTATTTGTCTGGTTACAGGATTTCATCATGAGCTGACATTAGTTAGAGAACCATTGCAAAAACCACCTGGGAGTACTGGACAGCTGTTTCGTCCTAGTTTGGGAATCTTCATCAGTACGCACTCACCGGGGTTCGAACCGAGGACCTTCTGGTTACAAGGCGAGTTCGTATACCATCAAGCCTATGGGACCCGATCCAACGACCCATTAATTCTAACTTCTGCCAATTCACGATGTAGCGCAACCGCTAGCCAGTGTCTTCGGCGAGTATTTGTCCTCACACCCGACCTGCTGCACCCTGCTTGTCACGATTTATTTGTCTGTCGGTAGTTTCATGGTGGGATACTCACAAGCCATGTGAGAGACCCCTCTTCGATATTCAACTGACGCGGTCAGACACTTCACGTAGTTAGCTAGCCATTGGTAATCCCTGAAAAGATGGAAGGTTTGGGAATAAGGCTAGGAACCACACCGCATACAAATAACACTACCTGTACGTAGATGTCAAGAAGACTTAAAGCCCTACGTAACAATGTAAACACAGGATTTCAATGTGCCGCTGAACTATTTATAATAAATACGGTCTTACCTCTTCCGCTTTTCTCTTACTACGGAATTTATACTGCTGACTTTATTTTAAGGTGCTCTAAGAGAGTTCAGTAATTGTTCTGGGGTAGAATGCTGACTAGCTACTCAAGTCATCCAGGTTCGATGCTTCGCAAACCTACTTGAAGCTTAGTACCTAAAGCCCTATGTTTTACACAGAACGCAAAGACATGACAAAAGGTTATCCCAGAATAATGGACTTTCATTTTTCTTAGGTGTTTAATATTCTTCTTGAACATATGTATATACATGTATAGAGAGAAAGAGTCTGTAATGCATTGCTTTTTAATCCAGCATCATCAGAAAGTTGCATAACTGAAAGAAATTAATTCGTTGTTGTCAAAGAAACTTTATTAATTGTCATATTTTTCAACAGTATTAATTAGAGGCATAATTTCAAGCCAAAAAGGCAATCTTACTATCATGAGCTTTATTACACATCAAATCGAGGATCATAATATTTGATCTTATCATCGCTTAATTCGTAAATGCGTTGAATGCTATTATTATGATTATTCGTCCCTCAGGTTCTGAGTGGGACATAGGGCTTCAGCGGCATATCTCCATTGCACACTGTTCTCTGATATCATTTTCAGCTGGCCCTACAATCGCCTATAAGCTTCCATCCAATTCGTCGTTTTCCACCCGAGTTCCACACTTTTATATGTTTCTTGGGTAACAGACTCTTGGTTGGCTTGTCACCAAAGTTGTTACTTATACTTTCTGCCCATCTGAGTTTTATATCACTTAAAGTTAGCGAGTGGAAGATTCATTTATAGAAACGTTTCCATCTAAATAAGACGATGACTGGATATGAGACTAAGGCTTTAGTATCTGAATCAGAAATCTTTCGAGGACAATTTATTTACCTTTCAGTTTTAATACCTAATACATTATAATAATTATTTTATATTATGAAAAACGACAAGGTTATTTAAGCTAATTTCGAATTATTTGAAACATTAAAATTTTTAACATCTAGGATCTGACCCAATGGCCCATGAATTCCAACTTCTGCCAGTTCATGACACAGCTAGCCTATGTCTTCCTTGAGTATTTGTCCTCACATCTGACCTGCTGTACCCCACTGGTCACGACCTCCCACTAGAACGTGGATTCGAACCCCGTCGCGTGCATAAGGCTGAAGAGTCCCAAACCAGGATGAAACAGCTGTCCAGTACTCCCAGGTTTTCCAATGGTCCTGTAACCGATGTCAGTTTATGATGAAATCCTGGAACAAAGATTTAGTGATTAACTTCCTCCCACTTAACTATATAAGTTCTCTGCCGCTTCTCCCAACATTTTGTACTACAGTAGTCTTAATTTTTACCTAGATTACTTAGCGGGGTCACTTACCTAAAATCCAGCTAAATTTCTGTGTTCTAATGACCTATTTGATCCCGATCTACCAGTGCAACTTATGTAATTGACATCACATCACATTAAATGGTCATTTTATCAGTTACAAGGAGTTTAAAGCCTCACTAAAACAGTCATATATGGAAGGAGCATCACAGGTCCTGCTTATGGCGGCATTTAAACCAACCAAGTCCATCAGATATAAAGTTTGTCTGCTTTAGAATCTGATAGACCAAATTAGGTAAAATATTGTAATTTCAAAAATACCATATAATGATTGTGAGGTCAATTATATAGGTTAAGCTAGTGGATTGGGGTCAGTTAGGTTATCAGAACACAGGAGTTGAGCAAGATTTAGAAAGATTTCATCATCACAAAAATGGGTTGAATTGTTCTCTATCTTTTTGTACACAGGATACGTTTCGTGTGATTTGAATTATGGAGTAGTCTATTAAAACTTGTGCAAAAATTCTTAGCGTATCATAGAGTCATGCTCACTACGTATAATTCAGTAGAGAAATTCCATTCAGTGACCAATCTGAATTGAAGCTTTTCGAAATTAATGTGATAAATTAACCGACCCAAGCAAAAGACAGACATTCTAGCGAGAATCAAAACGATTTCTTAAAGAACACGCTTATTACCAAATACTCACTCGGCTTTTTTCCACATGACATGATTCGAATACGGTGCTGATGGACAACGAAGCAGAACCAAACCATTTTCTGGAATATTCAATGTCGTTTGAGGCATAGCAGTTGATATCAAGTTTTCACCTTTCTGAGTAGAAATTACATGTAGAATAAGTTGAGATTTCGTGTATTCTTTAGTTTCTGGATGAAATGATTCACAAATCCAACCTCCTGTATGCAAATTTGCTTTAACGGCTGTAAGCGATAGATCAGAAATCCAAATATTTGCATGTGATGGATGCTGGTGAACTTCAACTGAATACCTAAAAAAAGAATAAAATAAACCACTTGGATTTTAGAGCATCAGATTTAGATATGATGGAGAAGATTTGTAGCTTGGGTGAATGATTTTGATGTAGTTGTGTTCTACGAGCTGGATGGTTTATTTACGAAGCTTTCATTGCCCTATTAGGCAACATCTTCAGCATATACTTTGTAACAACTGCGAAAAATACTACATTGGCCAAAGTGGACGTCACATTCGTCTTCGTATCCATGTTCATAAACTAGCCATCAAAAGACATGACATCCACTCTCTATTATCGCTGCATACAGACAACTATGGACATAAATTCGACTGTGACAGCGTTCAGATATTAGACAGAGGAAACACCGAGAATGCTACAGAATATTTAGGAGCCTGGTATTCCAGTGAATCGTCAATCAATAAACACATTCATATAGACAAAATTTACCAATCAATAAGAGGGAAATGTTACACACTAAGGGTCAAACTTCAGGTCAAGGAAACAATCAGCACCAATGCAAGTAGCCTAGAAGGTGCGAAAACACACAAAAACAACCAGTCACGTTCAAGGTCACCCACCAGGAGAGATGACTAATAAACTCGTGAAGAAATCTAAAAAGGTCCCTTCAAACTGAAGTGTGAGCTGAAGGTTTTGCCTAGTAGGTCATCTTGGTATAATTGATAAGCACACATTTTCACATTAAGATTGAGACGTGTTTTAAGCCTGAGCTGTATAAATCTCACAATTACCTATACATACACTAGTGTGCTGTTTGCTACTGATAAGAATTTATAAGTAGTAACTTGGTGTCGTCCATTACTACCAAATCTTGGAGCGAAGGATTAATTTGCTACCAAACACACCTCTGAGGTCTACCGTTACAACAGTGATTATACAGAATATGCAATTTTTAAATTTTTTAGAGAATATTGTCAGAGGCATCCATTTTAAGTTTACAAAGCAGAGTTTTTACAACAAAACAAAATGTGAAGAATTAACCTTTTCCTTGATAATAGGTGGGTCCATTGAACTGTTGGTTTGGTGAGAGATAAAATCCGGCAGGGCAGTTCAACTTGTTCATTTTCCATTTTTTCTATCAATAAAGGCTTTTTCATCATATCTGACTGGTTCAGTGAAACTGGGAAAGCTTGAAATATCCCGTCGTGACTGAAAAGAAATGTAAACAGTTCATGAAGAAACATTAAAAATTAGGTTTATTACATGAAATTCATCTTGATAATGTACAAAAGCAGCAATGAACCCTTTGCATACACACATGCTTGAACCAATACGAATTCTGTAACCCCTGATGCTAATCACCTCACTATATTAATCACCACTCAATTATTGTTAGATAGCTTCCAGTATTCGATATAGTAAAGGCAAATAGAAGGAAATAGTGTACATGGATCTCTCAGAAATGTAAGCCGACAGAGTCAACTAACATGTTGACAAGATAATTACGAATGAATACTGAGTCTTGGGAAGCATAAATTACCTTTAACCTTCCCCTATCCAATTACTTCACACAGGAGGAATTGACCTAATAGTTATCTAAATTAATGACTCAAGAGGTTGGTGGACTTCCTTGAAATAAGTAAAAACTCTAAAACGCGAGTAAGACACTTTTCTGGCCAACAGTAAAAATAATATTGCGACTGTTCAGCAAAGTGTCTTTACAATAAACTGGTTAATACTTTGTGTAATTCGATTTCTTTACATAACTCCCTAATAAGGAAACTGATACATTTACCAGTAAATTGTCAATCAGTAAAGGTTTCACTTCAGTCTGGCTAGCGTAGATCTCACAAAAAGTCTTAAACGTTCGCTTTCAATGGATGTGAACATACCTTATGAATAAAGAGTAGTGTGTAACTTAACTTTTTTTAAAAACTTTGTGTGTTTAAAATATCTGAAGTAGAGGAAACTCAGGGATTTGCATAAGGTCATCTAAAAACTGGTTAACTGAACAGAAGCAAAGATAATCTGTAATACGTTTGAAAGGATAAAGGCATGAGAAAGACATCGTGATTGTAGTTTTTATCTAATTAAACTCAAACAAGCTTTAGGTATCAGCGTATTCACAGGAAATTTTGAAAAAGACATGCTCTGATGACATTTCAGACTAAGTGAAAAGATTGAGGAATAAAACTCTCAAGAGTTGGTTTGTAAGGATTAGATTTGTTTATACGAGTTTGACCACTGATTGATATCAGTTAGAGAACCATTGAAAACCAACTAGGAGTACTGGATAGCTGTTTCATCCTAGTTATTGGGAATCATTGGCAGTACGCACCCATTGGAGTTCGAACTCAGGACCTTCCGGTTACTAGGTAAGCTCGTATACCATTCAGCCACCGCTGGTTGGTGATCGCACTAATTCACGAATTGGTAGAAAATAGAATTCATTGGCTGGCCATTGAATCGGGTGGGGTCCCAGTGGCTGAATGGTATACGAGGTAGCTTGACTTGTAACCGGAAGGTCCTGTGTTCGGACCCTGGTGGTGGCTGCGCACTGCCAATGAAACAGCTGTCCAGAACTCCTAGCTGGTTTGCCAGTGGTTCTTTAACTGATATCAGTCCGTGGTCAAACTCATGAAAACAAATAAAACTATCTGAGAACAATTACTTATAAGATGCTTTATGCAGAATCAAATATTGAGATTGAGTGCTAAGATCTGTCACCCACTCTGTCCGGAGAGGGAAGATTCCTCAGATATGATTGGTGATGATCAGGGCTAATGAAAATCAAAATTATTTGCATCAGAAATATGTGAACTATAGTATCACATCCCACTTTAATTACCCTTTATGATTTACTTTTGGTCAAGTATGCCATTCTAATACGGACAACAGATAACATTCTTAAAGAAGGTCAGAATTATGCCTGAATATGTGATTGTACGGTAGTTCGACTGAGACATCCGATTGCTTTAATTTATACAAGTTTAGTTGATGAGGTTCATAAAATTGATGCCTATGCACACTTTATATATTTATGTGGCTACCATAGTATATATACATATATATCTTTTTGCTGTGGTTGTTGACCTCATCTTTTAATCTCACCATTTTACTTTTTTATTTCTACCTCTAGTATGTTCATACTATTTTTTTATAATAAAATGAAATGATTGAGCAAAGAATATCTTTTTTGATAATTTCCTCTTTTAGCTCTACAATTATATATACATATATGTTTGTGTACACAGAATATTCTAGAATTGATGTCAGTAACAATATTAGTGATTTTTTAAATAATATCGATTTGTCAGGCAAGATCGATGGAATTACAGTTCACGAAAGATGCAGAAATTATAAAAAGCATTTAAATGTCATAGGAAATAGAATATCAACTAAAATTAAGGAAATTTCCACAAAAAATCGAGGATCATTAAAACCTTGATGGCCAAGGGGGTAAGGATAGTATCTGAACCAACTTTTTTTGGATACATAAATTAGGCTTCTTAATGTGGATCCCAACAGCCTCAGCAATATTATGTAGTAGACGAACTCTTAAGGCGAAATTGAGATTCGTTGGTATGCAGTAAATGACTCTGAAAGCATGGTTAACATCAATCTTGTGTTCTGTACCCACAAGACGATATAGAATACCGCTATGTGAATGGATTTTGGTTGTCCTTTACTTAACCGCGTAACGTGATGTTCAGAAATCCGACTAGAAACACGCCTAATTGTGCGGCCTTTGTAACTAACTGGTTCCACAGGAGCAGTTGAAATAAATTAAAAGAAACAATCTACAATCCACAAAAGATAATAGAGTAATAAGAATATTAATTTTGCAAATTGGCGAAAGAACAACATTTCTTGAATATAACTTACTGTTCGAGAATCTTTGATTCGTATTCCAACGATGAATCAGTCGTGTCGTTAAAAAGGCCTTGAAAAGAAATAAAAAAAGCCTTAGCATTAATTCAGAGCAAATTCAAAACTCTCCAGGTAGACATCATGACGACCTGAAGTCAATCAAAGGACTAGAGTGCACTGAACAAATATTTTTGTCGTAATTTGTGACTTTTCAACAATACTCACTGATGATCCCGCCAGAGATCGAAATCACAACTTCAGCTTAAGGGGATAGTAGATTACTATTCATTCACTGGGTTTCAATACAGTAGTCAGGGAATTCTAACGTTTGTCAACACACAATAGGAATGAGGTTGATAAAGACTTGAAGTACACCGTATTCAACATACCATATATCAAAATTTTACAAAGAAACTTAGGAATATACAAGATATATTTGGCCAAGTCATATTTCTGATCCCTTAATTCATATCATCTACATTTTTCCAATACCGAGTGGGTGTTTAAAACAGTGGAATGCTTAAAATCAACAATTTTAGCTTTAACTATTCCAAAACAATTTACAACACACATACACGCATTTAAACACACTCGAATAGTGCGCCTATTTTCCTTCGAACAAAATGAATACAAAATATGTGTAATAATAAAAAGAAATTCCAGTTGATTTTGATATTCCTTTCCAGTATACTTTCTATTTATAGCATCAATTAAAACTACATACCATGTGCCACGTTAATGCTTTTACTCTTACGATAATGGAGTACAATAAAATTCAAAACATTTTTCTTTTAATTTAACATTAATTATCAAGGAAAACAAGGAAAAAAACAGCACATGTATTATTTATGAATAAGTTTATTCTTATTATTATTGTTCCCTTGGTTTCCAAGTGGAATATAGGGCTTCAACTACACATCTCCACTTTGTTCTATTTTTTTGCCATCCTCTTCAGCTGGGTCCATGATTGCCCACCATCTCTCATCTCTTTCTCACACGGATTCCTCCATGTCACCCTCGCACCGACGACCCTCTCATCGCTTCCCATTGAGGTTCCACTCAAGCGATGGTCTGAATTGAGCGAGATGTCATTCGACGGCCTCCATCCTCAACGTATGCCCGATCCATCTCCATTATCTTCGAAATATTTGTTGAGCAATAGGGTCTTGGTTGGTATTTTTCCCAGCCAGCCAGAGTTTATTGCTGCTAGTTCTTTCTGGTCGGCTGGCTGGTTATTCGATCTTCAGTATGGATCCAGGCAGCGAAGTTGGCAGCTATCGATAAAAGTCTGCAGCCACCTGTCTGAAATCCTTTTCGTGACGGGTGCGCCAAGTTTCTCACCCGTATAGGAGAACTGACTGACGGACTTGATATCGGTGTTGAAAATGCGAATCTTGTTCCTTATGGTGAGTGTAGAAGATTTCCAAACTGGTTTCATGTTGATGAGGGCGTATCTTACCTTTCCGACTCTGACTTTGACATCTTCATCCGTTCGGTGTGCCTGTGGCTGATACGATGCTTCCTAGATATATTCATAAGTTACTTATATATATATATATATATATATAATTCCTTCACCTTTCCAGTGGAACATAGAGCTACAAGCTAGAGGCTTGTAGTTTCGGTAGCAGTGTTTATTTTTACAGGATAGGGTTGCTAGTCTCATGCACAAGCTTCCCTCTTTACCAGCGTTTTTATTACTAGCTTAGCGAGGTAAAGGAGTGCGTCGGCCGGGGATCGGACCCCGGACCGCGTGCATGGTCGGCGAGCGTCCTAACCGCTGTGCCACCGACGCATCATCAGTTACTTAGTCAATAATATTAATAGTAATCATGGTAGGTATTATTTATTCTAATTATTATTCGTTCCATGAGTTCCCAGTGGGATATTGGGCTTTAGTTGTGTTGTGGTGTGATACAGACAATGTGTTCCAAAGGAATATTATTCTCACATATTCCCACAGTTCAATAGTGCATTAGTAACAGAATACATATTTGAACATTCTATTTCATATCGTTTCATGTAAACCAAAATCACAGGCTCAGTGATTGGTTAAAGAAAAGAAAACTGTATATATATAAATAGAGGTTTGATCACTTGAAAGTAAACCTTGGCATCCGTATCTTGCCTTTTGCTGTTATAGTGGCACACCGCCATTTCATTCAGTTCTCTGCTATCATTTCTAATCAGTTCTACTATTACCCACAATCTTTTATTTTCTTTCCACTTGATCTCCTCCTTGTCACCTATGGACTTACACCCAACCCGTCGCTTCCCAATCGGGTTCGACTTGAGGCCATGACTGACGTGTAATGTTACTACAATGTGTCTTCATAGAATATATGAAATTCGTCTATATTTTTTTGGCATATTCGTTGGGTGATAAGTTCTTGGCTTGTTCGTTGGTAGTGGCGCATGCGCTTATTTTTTCTAATTCCTCACCTTCTGTTTGTCATCTAGTTAAAGGCAGTTGTCGCTGAAACTCTACTGAAGGCTTTCGGAAATGTTTTTTGTCAGTAAAAAGTTTGAGCATCGTAGAATAGTTCAAATAAAGTATAATTAAATTTCAATGATTTACACACACTGATAAGTTTTTGTTTTTTGGTAATATTTCGAGTAAAAGTACTGCCCATGAACACACCAACTGTTGGAATTGTTTTTTTTTTAATTCACACATTTATGATTTGTACTCATACATATATAGTTCATTTTTTGATCATTCATTTTTGTGTATTCAGAATTACACTTCAGGTTGTTGATAGTTGTACTGAGTCATTCTTGTTTCATGTATCCGGTTTAACCTTAATGAATATAAATTCTGTTATAAGTAGTCTCTCTTCCCATTTCTTCATATTAGTTTTCAGAATTCAAACATTGTCCCAATCGATATTTTAGACTTTGTCCCATGCATGTGCAACTATAGACGAATATTTTTCAAAATTGTTGTAAGCTTGTGCTCCTGTTGGTTGACCTCTAGTTAGGCGTTTATGTTCATTCATTCTTAGTTTGAGTGATCTGGACGTTTGACCCACATATTTAGTTGGACAGTCAGCACAAGATATTTTGTAAATCAGATTGTTTTTATCCATCATTTTTATGGGGTCTTTCAGTTGATTTATCTTATTTTTAATTAAATTCGTCAGTTTAAACGTGGTATGAATCCCAATGTTTTTGAGGTTTCTTCGAATTGCCTCTGATGTGCCGTTTTTGTATGGTACTGTGATTGTTCTCCTGGAAGTTAATTATTTGAACCACATAAAAGCGACGACTTGATCCTAGTGTTAAAAAGTCAGATCTTGTTTCTTTTATTGAGTGCTGTGGATCTCCACGCTAACTTCAGACAAGAAGCTGTCCAGCTCTGTTTGTTGGTTGGCTTTCATCATCACCTCTATCTTATCTATATTCATCTGAAGTCATGCGCAATGTGTCTTTTGCCAAACTATTGGTTTCTGCTTGTAAATCTTCAAGTTTGTGATACATAAGGCATAAATCACTCTCAAAATCCAGATCTTCTGGGTCCTTTTTTATCTAACGTATTCCCACTTTCTCACTACCTATGGTCTGCAACATGATACAATCAGCTTTGATCAAAAAGATCATGGGTAATAGCAGGCAGACTTACTTTACTTCTGCCTTCAATTCAAACCCTTTGGGGAGCTTTCTGTCAGGGCACTACAAAACCAAAGTGAATGCAGGTTCAGTATCCAAAAAGGTGACTTTGGCTACTTGCCTACAGGAGTTAAAATGCTTATCAACAACAATTTCACTTAGTTGAGTCCAAGACTCACCACTAATTCTGCTTACAAACTTCAGTTTCCTACGCAATACGGCATAGTCTTTCCTTAGAAGCCGAGGGAAGTATAAGAGGAAAAAATAAGAAAGAATGGATGGAATACATGAATTAATAAATTGTAGGTAGAGAGGTTGAGTTTTACCAGAAAGTCCCGACTTCCTTATGTAGTAAGTTAGGTGAAAGATCTTTCAGGAATCAACAAGATATGTGACGGACATCCATGGTTAAGCGAGAAACTGATACCAAGATAAGTCATATTCGACTTATTCCCTACAACAGGGTCTACACAAGTCTTGATCACGCCTGAAACTAAAATTATTAGTTTGACGTTTAGAGGAATTCTATATTTTGATTGGACACTAGTAACTACTATCCAGTCAAAGTATCCAATATAGTCCCACAGGAGGTCAATCGCGAGCCCGAATAGTTCAGTGGTAACGTCTCCGACTGCAACACTACACTGAGTGACGCAGGTTCCAATCCCAGAAGGGAGATGAGTTCCTTCAAGATTGCAGATACGCCTTGCTGACTGATGAGTGCCAACTAGCACGAAACCTAGGTCAAGCAAGGCTTCCTGTCGACCGCCTCCAACCATCTAATATCATCAAATCAGAGGAATTCTATTTACGACGATTTGATTAAGACCACTGGTTAGCCTAAAACCGGAAACTATTCATGAATTAAGCGGCCGCTTGCATTTATCAATATCATCAATGTGAATTAGTCACCGAATTTACCATCTATTCAATCGATAATTCACCATGACACATGCACACATATACACCACCTAGTATTCCTCTCTAACTGTCTTGGGCATAAACAAAATTACTTGGAATAACTTTCCAAATAGAATTTCAATTTTCTCTCTATCCTCTCTGTTTCTACCCATCTATCTACCTTTCTCTATGATCCACTCTCTTTAGAAAGAATAAACATGCAGAAATAGACGTGTAAACAAACAAAAACAGTCAATTTTAGTCTGAATCATACAAAGTTGTTTATAATTTTATAAACTGGTTCACGCCAAGGACACATTTTTCATAATCAATAGGTATTATGTCCATTAAAAGACTGGAAAAGGAGAATAAAGAATGACATTTTTAATAAATAAAAAAAACTTAAAATAATTTACTAAATCTTCATTTTTCTGAAGATTTATTTGTCTACTAATCGAATTATCTTAAATGACTCATAAATAAGTATTGATGATTAGATATTTTGAAAATTATTGGCTGCTTTCTTTGTCCTAATCCTAGGTACTGGATAACAGGTAAGATTGTAGTCACATTATCAATAACATTTGCACAAACCTTATACAATGATGAACATTTGAATTTCGATGTGTAGTTTTACTTATCCATGACACTATTTGTTAAAATCGTAAATGTCACTCGGACATTCACATTTATTTGTATTTTATAAGTACTTGATTCCATCCGTCAAAGGCATTTTGAACAGCCTATTTCAAACTTTTATCATTAGCTGCCTTTTCTGCATACTGAAGATTAGATGGCCGACCCGAAAAGATTAGCAACAAGAAACTCTGGCAGTGCGATGAACCAACCAATAGCCTATTGCCCAACAAATATGTCAAAAGAAATGTAGATGAATAGGAAACATCATCAGAAGACCATTGAGGGACATTACGTGACGGGCCGTCGCTTGACTGGCAACTGTTTGAGAAACGACGACTTGGGTGTGTGTTAAAGGACGAAGTGTTGAAGACCATGTGAGACAGATATCAAAGTTTATGGGGAATCATGAAGCCAATTAAAGATAACTGCATGAAACAGGACTAAATGGAGGTGTGTTTTTGATGCCATATATCCCACTTGGAACCTAAGGTAATTATCATGATGTAATAATATTATAGTGCGTCGGTGGCACAGCGGTAGAATGCTCGCCAACTATGCATGTGGTCCGAGGTTCGACCCCTGGCCGACGAATTTCTTTACCTCGCTAAGCTATTGATAAGACTGGTAAAGAGGGAAGGCTAAGTATGAGGCTGGCAATCCGATCCCGGAAAAATTAAAACCACTGCTACCGAAACTTCAAGCCTCCAGCATGAAGCCGTATATACCGCTGGGAACTTAAAGGAATACAGAAAAAATAATGTTATAACGAATTGGCAACCTGAAAGTGAAGTCACGAGTGCAAACTACAGAGGAATCTCCAAATGGGACGAAACGGATATCCACCACCCCCTAGTTTTCAATATTTCTCTGGATGACATCAGCTCTTGAGAAAGTCTTTCTGGCAACGACTTGTGCATAAATATGACATTCGCTAGCAGTTCAGTCATATCATTAATTGTAGAAAAGAAAAGGCGTTCAGCAAAGAGTTACTCTTTTCGGCGATATCATTCTCTCATTAATTGGCAGGAGTTGTAATTCATGTACTGCCCAGTTGATTGGGTCCCAGTAACTTAATGGTCTACGAGCCCGTCTTGTAACCAGAAGATCCTGGGTTCGAAATCTGACGGTGGGTGCGTATGTCTGAAAAGTCTCAAAGTGGAACGAAACAGCTGTCCAGTATTCCCTGTTGTTTTTCCAATGGTTCTCTAACTGATGTCAGATCATGATGAAACCCTCTAACTAATATTAAATTACTTAAAACTATTTAAGTGTGTTGCAAAAGCCATGAACTAGATTTTTCCAAACATTTAACACCTTCCTGTAGTGGAAATACTCAAATATTGATGATGTAACCATTAAACGAATAAATCGTCCTATTAGTCTGATAAAGTGTGTTTTTTGAAAAGTATCTTTTAGAACGTCTAAATACTTTTTAAAAAAGTATTATGGTAACTCACCAGTTAACATGTTCTTCTTTTTCAAAATATCCGCGATTAGTTGATGTACATTTCTGGGTAAATTCTGCGATTCTATCTCTTGAATACTTCTTTTAAATCTACTCCTAAGTAGACAAGTTGCTTCACATTGTGCTTCTGTTTTAAAAACACGTCCAATCATTTGACTTTCAAAAACATTAAATTGTCCATAAACACTTTTTGGTTCATTTAAACAAATAGGCACTAGCACTGGTACACAAATACCATCAATTATTTCATTTGTATCACGTATACTAGTTGTTACTTGAAATCTATAACCTAATTCATGAATTATATCTTCAGGATTACAATATGTCTGTTTAGTCATCTCGTCATATTGACTATCCGTTAGAAATGGTAGACATGGAAATTTTGTAGAGTCATTATCTAAAAAATTTGACAAAAGAAGAAAAAGTTTGTTAAACCAAGTTGTTTTAAGTAAAAATGTGTTTATTTGCATGGGGATGTATTTGTGATCGTACTTCTATGAATTATTTAACTTGAAAGGCGTCAGTTATAAATTTTAATTCATAATATCTCTACTAAACTTAAGTGTTTTGTAGTGGGAATAGAAGTCTCGGTGGCAGTCGTGTTTGTTTCTAGGGGGTGGGTTGCTAGCCTCAAGTTCAGTCTTGCCTCTCATCTACGCCTACCGCGGGTTAGCAAAGTAAGCAAAGGCTTAGGAGTACAACGACCAGGAATCAACACACAGATAACAAGGATGAATGATAAATTCGTATTCATTCCTTTGCTTCAGAATAATGATTCGTAATTTTCATCAGAAAATATGTGGGTTAATAAGATTCAAGTCGTATTGAAAGTTTATTTCATGAAGTATTTGTGTTCTAAGGACAGTTAAACACTACATCATGGCATATACTCATGGAATGACTTGTTACCGCCAGGGAATAATCTCGTTGACTTAGAATATACAAGTGGTATTATTCTTCTCGGTGAATACGCTGACAAAATACAGCGGAGTCTTCTGAACACCTTGAGCAGCAACCTTCGATTGTTTGAGATGCAATTCGCTTCCGTCAAATGTAAGATGATGCTGCAGGATTGGACTACATTGACTCCTAGCTTAGAAATAGGGATCGAAGTCGTGGCTGAGCGTGTTGACCACTTCACTTATTCAGGAAGTTACATCATCAAGCACCAGTGGGTTGATCGCTGACGAAATCTCAGAATGGATACAGAAGGCTCGTTTAGCATGTGCCAGTTTAGGCAGTCTCTGTCACAGACGTGATATCCGGCTGACTATCGACCAAAGGACGTGTGTACTGCTTAGCAGTCCACTCCTTCCTCCCTTATGGCTGTGAAACATAGCCATTGGGAGTGGAAGACATGAAAAGGCTGGCTAGCTGTCTTTGATCACAGGTGCGTGCGTTCTATCTCCCGTATGAAGTGGTATAATATGGTGAGCAATATTGAGGTTAGGCATATGTCGAGTGCTAGATAAGGAGGGGAAATCAATCAACGAGGCTGTGAAGTTCCATCGGTTGAGACGATTAGAATATGTGTTACGTATGCCTGCCTAACCATAGCCATCCTCGACCGACGGGAAATGTTAGCTGACATAGGGTCAGGCTGGGAAAGAACCAGTGGTGGTCAAACCAAAACGTGGCTTCATCATTCAATGAAATCCATAACAGTTAGTTTAAGCCACGTAGGAAGATGTAGACTTCCTGATTGGTTGGGGTCCTCGGAACAGTAAAATCCAATGGCTGGAGGTAATTAGTGAAATTGCTCAAAATCGTTCTCAATGGCTGGTGCAGATGCATCCACTCCTTGTGACGTATAATACCTAATGAAACTATATTGTTCTTCGTTATTACTATTCTTTTTGCCTCATTTCCCTGTCTACTGTCTCTATTTTGCATTTCCTTTTACTTTCTTCTCTTGCTTTGTGTGCTAAAAGGAGGGAGTGTGGCCACTCGAACTGCTGCACATCTGTGCAAAGTTCTATGGTGAAACCAGTCAGTCTCAGTCATGGCATTTACTATTGATTGATATGAATAGCTGGAACACGCTTACGTCAACCAGTAGTCCTTACTGATCAGATCAAAATGATGTAAACACCCGGCATCCGTTTCACTCGTCTAGAACTGAGTCCTTCACCAGTGCGTATATGTTTGTTAGTTACCAAGGTCGCTGCGGTAAATTTTCACTTTAAACTTGGTAATTTCCATTTTGAGAATCTGATTCAGTAGCTAAATATATATTCGAAGTAACCTAGCTTAGATTTTCAATGATGAGGGTTTTGTAAAAGAAAATTTAAATGCTGATATATTAAGACAGTGGGAGGGTGTGAGATTAACAGCCATACTCTTTCATTTATTGTTATAGTTATAAAGATTTCCGAAGGTGAAAGTCTAAACTGTATGGATTTCGATGAATTAAATTGTGGATTTCATCACGAATGGAAATTATGTCGATAGTCATTTGAAACCAAGGAGCGCACTGGATAACCGTTTCGTTTTACTCTGAACCCATGAGGTGCATTCATGGACTGTCCAGCTACTGGGATGAAGTTCTATGATCTATGAATTCGAACTTCTGTCTGTTTGCTATATAGCTCTATGGTTAATCAGTGCCATCTATGGGCATCCTTTTCACACCCAGCATCACAGAACCAACCAGTTATGACTTCTGATTTGGATTTCTGAATATTCACCTTAGAACCACTAATTAACAAAAGATTGATATTCAGACTTCGCAATAGACCAAAAATCGGAATGTTATAGAAAAAAATTCACGTTGGAATCTTCACATTATTTCTTCCTGTTTAATCTTGATATCTGACTTTTAATTCTAGGTTTCCATAAACTAAAAGACATGATATCAGCGGAAAATTAAGACCTCCACTGAAAGATATTCGAATATAATCTGCAGTACTTTTATCCAATGAACAAATACTGCTCTAACACACTTCAGCGACTCAGGGATTGACTTGCTACCAGGGAATAATCTCGTCGACTTAGAATATGCGGACGATATAGTCCTTCAAGGCGAGGACTCTGACAAAATGCAGAGTATACTGAACACCTTGAGCAACAATCTTCGTATGCTTGGCATGCGATTCGCCCCTGTAAAATGTAAGATGATGCTGCAGGATTGGACTTCACCGACCCCTAGATTAGAAATAGGAAGTGAAGTGGTAGAGCACGTTGACCGCTTCAATTACTTGGGAAGTACCATCAGCCCCAACGGGTTGATCTCAGACGAAATTTCAGCACGAATACAGAGGGCTAGGTTCGCATACGCCAGTTTTCGCCGTCTCTGGCGTAGACGCGATATCCGACTATCGACCAAAGGGCGTGTGTACTGCTCAACAGTCCGCTCCGTCCTCCTTTATGGCTGTGAGACCTGGCCATTGAGAGCAGAAGACATGAAAAGATTAGCTGTGTTCGATCATGGGTGTTTGCGTTCTATCTCCCGCGTGAAGTGACATAATAAGGTGAGCAATACTGAGGTTAGGCGTCGAGTGCTAGGTAAGGCGGGGAAATCAATCGACGAGACTGTGAAATTACATCGACTGAGATGGTTAGGACATGTGCTACGTATGCCTAGTCATCGCCTTCCTCGACGGGCAATGTTAGCTGATATAGGTCCAGGCTGGAAAAGAGCTAGCGGCGGTCAAACGAAAGCATGGCACCAGTCAATGAAATCCACAACAGTTAGTCTAAGCCACGTAGGAAGATGCAGACTTCCTGGTTGGGGTCCTCGGGACGGTAAAAACCAATGGTTGGAAACAACTGGTGACATCGCTCAAAATCGTTCTCAATGGCTGGCGCAGATGCATCCACTCCTTGTGACTTATGATTTCCGATGAAACTGTTTTGTTCTCCGTTATTACTATTCCTTTGTCTCACACCTCTGTTTACTGTCTGTATTATGCATTTCTTCTCTTGCTTTGTGTGCTACATGGAGTGTGGTGACTTGAACTGCCGCACATATGTGCAAAGTTCTATGTCGAAAACCGACCGACCGACCAACCTTTGATGACTAATTAAATGTTTTCAGTCCTTTATGTGAGCTCTAGCCAAGCTTTTCACATATAGTTTTTGTTTCTGAAAGATCAAAATCATCTGAATTAGAAAAATAAACTTAAGGAACTCCGACTGTATTAACTACTGTTCATCTTCAGTCACTTGGAAAGTGTTAAATGAGATATTTGTCTCAGCTAGTTATTATTATTATTATTATTTGGACACGAATAATAATAACCAGCATAGCCGCCTTTCTATGAGGAAAACGGATAAAAAAATTCACAGTTTTAGTGCAAATAAATAAACAAACGATCTCTGTATTCATCCGCCAGATTCAGTTGTTTCAAATTCGTATATGCATAAAACTATATACTACTGATTGGTTAAAATGAGTAGCTGTGTACCGCTTACGTCAGACATTAGTATAAGCTAGCTATATCGAAGTGATTTAGACACCAGATCGTCATTTTACTCGTTTGGGGTTGAGTTTATCAGCGGTCCACTTGGTCTGAACCAGCTGAGGAATTCGAATCAATTCTAACAACTCGATTTCTGGCTAGCTATATGGGCGACCTGTTGATACCAAAAACTAAATTTGCAGTTTGAAAATTAGTTCACAATTTACATAGCTTGAGGTGTAAATTCAACCCATTTTCCTATGAAAACCTGAATTACTCAGATCACTCACTCACTCATCTGCTTGATACCATAAGGGCTAAGAAGAAAGCAAGTATATTTGCGGCAAACTATATATTACTGATTGTCTCAAATGAGTAGTCCTGTATCACTCACATCAACGCTTAGTGTCTGTCAGACAAATCTGCGTGATCTAAGCACCATACTGTCGTTTGGCTCGTTTGCGACTGAGCTTATCAGTAGTGTATCCGGTGTATATTGCTAATTTGTGAATTTGATTTATTGGTGAAGAGAGATTATATCAGAACTGTTGGTACTTCGTTATTTGCAGGAGTTCTTACCTAATTTCCTATGCATATTCGATGCTATTACTGGATTTATGTGCACATTAATCCAGTTTTCTACAAGTTAAGGAAAATGTTAAGCAACTTCAATGATCGAACTAGTTTTCCAGTGGGTAATAACAGCACACATTAAACATCTGTTTGCTACTTTCACCATATCAAGAGTATAACTTGAAAATACATGCAGATGGCTATGATGATGATGATGATATGATTATGATTTTGTTCATTATTCAACTGTTATTGACCAGATGGTTATCATTATTACGAATCTCTTTACTAACCTTCATTAACTATTTTCTAAATATAATATGACTTTATCGCTTTCAAACAGTTGCTAACAGTTGCATATATATATGTTTGTGAATGTAAACTGTTTGCATGCATTCTCATTTGCCTTACTTTTTAATTTCTGACCCCTGAAAGCATGATTTTACTAATCAGTAAGCCGATGCTGAGACCCAAGAGAGACCCTAGAATGTATAAAACATTTATATAAGAATAAAACTTGTGCACTGTGGTAGACTATAATTCAACTGTGGGTAAAATTTATTTTGATAAAGTCTCACAGTGTTATACAGTAATGTTTACTGATGACCACGTTTCGAGCACAATTTATTGCTGCTCGTAATCATATCAAGGAACTCACACAACTTTCTAACTTCGTTTATATAATTCCATTATTTTTCATCGCTTCACTTGATTGGTAGTAGTATTTTCCATATTTCCGGTATGATTGATGAATCATTCCTATTGGACGTGTTGTGTTGGGTGTAGACTCGATGATCCAGGATTCAATAACCAACCTCTCTCTCTCCAAATACCTTTATTACTTCTTAGAAGTTTATATTATTTTGTTTAATTGGTTCCACCAGGTCTTTTAGCCTACACAGCTTGTCATACCTGAGTGAGTTTGTAGGTTTGAATGCGACTCTAATTCCTGCTTTATTGAGAATCAGATGTCCCCTCCTTATATGGTGTAACAGTAGATGCTTTATATTCTCTCTTATTTATGTTATCATAACTAGTTTCACCATTAGTTTTATTTTGCTTTTGGTCTTTTCTGATCTTCCTAATGAATTTTATAGGATAGCTATTTAACACCAACGCTTTTTCTATCTTTTTCACTTCATCATTTAGGTTTTTTGTTGTACTACTTAGTGATGTTGGTGCTTGGTTTGTTAGACACTTAACTATGCCTGCCTTTACAGATAACGGATGAGATGAATTAAAGTCTAAATATCTATTAGAATGTGTTGGTTTTTTTAATAAACGCTAGTGTGCAGTTTACCTTCTTCTATTCGTTTTATTTTACAATCTAACATCATGGCTAATTCTCCTTGTTCATTTTCCGATTCAAATGTGAATTTTATTCCCTTCACTAGTGAATTTAAATTTATCAAAAAGCTAGAGATATGTTCTGTTTTTAACACCGTGAGTGAAAGTGTCATCCACATATCTCCACCATATTTTTGGAGTAGGATTAAATGTATTAAGAGCCCTAATTAGAGCTAGTCTTTCCGATGTTGTTAAGCTTGATTTTGCTTTCTTTTGATTTTTCACGGTTAATGCACATTGTGCTAGAACCTCTTTTGCTGTCGTCTTATCTATTGAACTTATTGCTATAATTAGATAAGACGACAGCAGAAGAAGTTCGAGCACAATGTGCATTAACCCTGAAAAATCAAAATCATTTTTCATCTAACTTTGTAAACATTATCCTTTTTTCTCCAAGACTGTATATCACTGTCGTGACACCCGCATGTCATATGTTGACTTGGTCCCTATTATTTGTTTTTGCTCCTGTTTAATCTCTAATTTTAATGCTGCTCTTCGTGGTTGCGTCATACACTGATAATGTGTTGTTTTACTGTGTGAGTTTATTTGAATGAATGAAAGTGGTTCTGATCTTGGACTGTCTTTACGAATTGTTGGTTTGTGATTCTTGCTGATAGAATTTTGGTTCCACCTTTTTGGTAACATTCTAGGTGATTCCAGTGTACTTCCTCAAGTTGAATTTCGGTTAACTAATTTCGGCCTACAGTACTTGTTTTGAATTTAGAAAATTAACGGGACTGTATAGCTGCTTAGGGACAATGTTGAAGTAATTCTGAGTTTTCGATGCTATTATTATTGAATAGAACTACAGATTCCAGTGACAAGCAGTCTTCTTTTTTCTGTCCTTGGGGCGTTTTGTGACTATGAGTGTCTCAAGGAATCTTGTCAGCTATACAGGAAAACTCAGAGATGGGTTCCTACGTTCAGACCACAAAGAGCTGGCTTTATTCGTAACAATCGATAATTTGATTTCATTTTCTAAATCAAAGTAATTTAGTGCCTAATATTACTGATTGACTGATATAAGCAATTGGGAACCACTCATATCAAGAAGTAATACCCAGAGATGACGTATCTGATTCTACAGATTACCACATAGGCTAAATAGCTATCCAAAATTCAAGTGATTTTAACTGATTAGGCTATTTAAATTGAGTTGAACCGGGTACAATACTAATCAGCTCAACATCAAAGTGGTGAAACGCTCGTCCGGTGTTCAGATCACCGGACACCAATCCATTTCAATAAAATGTATTCTTTCAGACATCTATAAAACACAAAATAATCGAGCAAAGAATATTCTTTTCGATAAACTCCTCTTCCAGGCTCTACAATTATATATATGTTTATATACACAGAATATTTTAAATTAGTAGTTAATAACAATATTAGCGTCTTTTTAAATAATATCGATATGTAAAGTAAGATCACGATGGAATTACAGTTCATTAAAGATGCTTAAATTATAATAATAATAATAAAGATATAACAGCGAATAGAATATCAACTAAAATTAGGGAAATTTCACAAAATTCTGGATTATTCAAACCTGGATGGCCAAGGTAATGATAATGACTGAACTAAATTCTTTTGGGTGCATAAATTAGGCCTATTAATATGAATCCCCACAGCCTCAGCAATATTTAGAAGTCGAACTCTTAAAGCGAAATTGCTCCTGTGGAGCCAGTTACATAGGCCGTACAATTTGGGCGTGTTTCTCGTCGAATTTCCGAACATCATCCTGCCTGGTTAAGCAAAGGTCAAACAAAATCTATTCGCAGCGCTATTCTGGCTCATCTTGTGGAGACAGAACACAAGATTGACGTTAATCATGCTTCCAGGGTCATTTAACGCATACCTACAAATCTTAACTTCGCTTTAAGAGTTCGACTTCTAAATATTGCTGAGGCTGTGGGGATTCATATTAATAGGCCTAATTTATGCACCCAAAAGAATTTAGTTCAGTCATTATCATTACCTTGGCCATCCAGGTTTGAATAATCCAGAATTTTGTGAAATTTCCCTAATTTTAGTTGATATTCTATTCGCTGTTATATCTTTATTATTATTATTATAATTTAAGCATCTTTAATGAACTGTAATTCCATCGTGATCTTACTTTACATATCGATATTATTTAAAAAGACGCTAATATTGTTATTAACTACTAATTTAAAATATTCTGTGTATATAAACATATATATAATTGTAGAGCCTGGAAGAGGAGTTTATCGAAAAGAATATTCTTTGCTCGATTATTTTGTGTTTTAAAAATGTATTCTCCTGAATCATGAATGTCTAATCGTACTTGTGTGAAGTTTCTGTATCTAGAAATTAAATCTTATCATTCAACTCTGCATAAATTCAGTTTATCCACCAACCTAAGTGTACTCATCCATCAACATTTTTTCAAATAATGCCTGCCTAATGATAATTTAGCTTCGAAAGTTACTACAAGTAGGTTCATCCAAGTTAAAAAGCTTCTCAATGGATTAACTTTGATTCAAAATGATTGTAAACTACGAAAATAAATATGGTAGCTGTTTAACATTGGGTAAAAAAGGCATCTGTCTTAACAAAATAGCTGTAAATTTATCCCTAATATGATGTTCATCAGACGAATTTTACAGTCATCATTAAAGAAGTCTTTCTGGACAGCTAGTTTCAGTTCTTTTCTTCTATAAACCAAGATTTTGCCTCATTTGGACTATTTCATAAGTAGGTTACGTTCCATTGTATTGTTTAATCGGGACCAGAAGGATTTACAACGTCAGGTAAGACGACAGTTACTCGCCAATTTCATTGGCTGGCCATCTTGAGTTCAAACCACATGCCTACTGCTGGGGAATCCCAAATTAGAATAAAACAGATGTCCGCTGCTCTCTGGTTTTACAGTAGTCTGCTAACTAATGTCAGCTTGTGATTGAACCTGTAGCCAATCAAGTCCCTTCAAAACAACACATTAAAATTAAATACCACTTGTTCGTATTAGATGGTTGGAGGCAATCGGCAGGAAGCTTTTGACCTAGGTTTCGTGCTAGCTGGCACTCATCAGCAAGGTGTGATGGCGAGCAACCTAGCATGGTGGCCAAATTGCAAGCTTGACTGATAGAATTCAGTCTGCACTGAAGATAGGACTAGACAGATTACACTAGTTACTGACTAGTGTCCAATCAAAATAATACCATCTGTTCTCTAGTTGGTGGTTGTCATTGCAGTGTATGGTAACCTGACCTTTAAAGGTAGTTACTCAATAAATAAAATTTAGAATTAATAATATAATCACAAATATTCAGAATGGATGGCTTTTCAGGTGGAAACATTTTACATAATGTATAAAATTCAACAAATTTGTACATACCAGTGTCTGAAGTTTTTATGTGAACATTATTCACATCATCATTTTCTGTCGGCTTCTCAATCACTATTGAATCTTTCAGTTGAGATTCTTTGCCAAGTGTTTTACTGGTTTTGTCTATTGCTTTGTCAACAGTCAAGTTATAATTGGCCACATTTCTTTCTGCAATCACTTCTATGTCAGGTACATAAATACACGTGGCATTACATATAGATAAGGATGGGAAATTATTTCCATGCGCTAGTAAACCAGTGAAACGGAATGGGAGACATTGTTTCTTCGACTGATCATAATAAAATCTTTCTGGATAACTTGGATCAGTGGAATTTTTCTAAATTAAAATAAAAGATGAAGAACATATTTTTTATGATTATAGATCTTTATTTCATGTTTGATCACGGAGTGATATCAATTAGAGAACCATTGAAACCCGGGGATATTGGTTGTTACTTCGTCCTAACTGAAGTTCTGGAAGAAGTCACGACCAATGGGGCCCACCTGGTCGGATTGTTGCCGATTGCACTAATATCACGAATTGGTAGAAGTTAGAATTCATGAACCAGTCACTGGATTGGGTCCCCCCTCCCCAGTCGATGAATGCTCTACTCTCAGTCTGTATTCAACTCTTCTCTGACTGATATCAATCCGTGATCAAGTTTGAAACAAATCAAATTCCCACAAACCAACTCTTGAACATTTGTTGATCGCTTGTATTTCAAATACAAAATGTTTGCGAGGATTTCAGGATCTTAAAGTTACATCACTAATTGATATCTGTTACAGAACCTGAAAGTCCCTAGTTCGATTCACAAGGGTCATGGTTGCTTACTGATGAGAAGTCCAGAAGCAGGACAAAACAGATGTTCATTACGCCTTGGTTTTCAGCGGTTCTCTAATCGATTTCAGCTTGTCATTTGATCTGAAATACAAAATCTTCACTCATGCAGAAGAATTGGCCAGCTTTTGACATGATACAACAACTAATCAACTTAGAAATAAATATATATACATAATAAAATTTGTTATAAGATTGTGATTCACAGTGTGCTTTGACTGGACACTAGTAACTAGTGTGATGTGTCTAGTCCTTTCTTCGGTGCAGACTGAATTCTATCAGTCAGGTTTGCAATGTGGCCACCATTCTAGGTAGCTCTCCATCACGGTGCACATTGATTTGATGATATTAGATGGTTTGAGGTAACCTAGGTCCAAGGCTTCCAGCCGATTGCCTCGAACCATCTAATATCATCAGAATAACTGATGTTTTCTCAGATTAATCTTCTCTATCCCTTAATGGGTGAAAAATATACAATAATTCTGTTGTGCCTTTACGATCATTTAAAGCGTATCGGGATTAAAATGCACATAAGTTTATTTGGTAACTAGTAAATGCATTAAAACACTCGTCACTAGTCACATTGCTGGTCACTGTTCAAAGTGATTTATATGAGTCTAATGATTATTGCTTAGAATTAGTAAATGCATCGATATGAAAGCTTTTTTTTAATTAAAATGCAGAACTTTTTAAAAAGACATTAATTCTATCAAAATGTACACAAAGACTGTAAACTATTCTATATTTATCCGGTGATTTTTGAAGACATTAACGGAACACTCGAGTTTTGTATATTCATTAGCTGGACAAAAGAAATGAAAAGGGATTAGTTTCAGTTCTGTGATTTTCCACAGAATCAACAATCTGAGTAAAACGCTCTGCACTGGAAACACTTCATAGTTTTCTCTCTAAAACATTTTGTAAAATGGTCGTCCACTTATTTTTGCTACTGTCATCGGACTTGCTGCTTTGGAAATTCGATTGAATAAAATTTCTTTAAAACTATAACTCGTATTCTTTATTTCTACCCTTAAAATCCTGGTTTGTATAAGTGTACGTAAGAAAAAAGCGTGTAGAAAGTGTCTGAGTGATACATTTCAACCTGATTTTAAGGCACTAGGTCGACTGGTTAATGGGGACTAGTGATGTGATTCACCTTTTTGTTTGTTATGATGTATCCACAGTCACTCATACAGTGAGCGTCAGAGGGTGGGTTATTTCAACCATTTATGTTAGACATATAGCCATTTAACCCCTACCACAATTGCTCTTTGTCGTCTTTCAAGAATCAGAACGTTTCCACGGCTTCTTCAGTTGGTTACAGACAGCATGAGCAATACAGACATCCTAAAATGCTTCTGTACGCATGATCCCATTACCAAACCAGTATTCATATACATGGTTTCACTGCAATAGCCCTTGTAGGACGATTCGTATGCCTTTATGAGTACCCCGTTAGGATTACTGAGTCCATTAGAGCCTCAACAATGGCCGTGGAACACACAGCATTCATACTGTGACCCTCGACTCCTACCCTCATTAACTATTCAAGGTACTTCAGGGTCCCCCTCACCACACGAAGCTGTCCCAAATTAGGGTTAGATTGTCGGAACACTCTGGTTGAACTAGGGAATTATAATGACCAAAATGTATCCATCCCTGTAGATAGGACCTATGAAGTTGTACATATCCAATCGAATTACACAGTCTAATACAAAATGATAAAAAGTGAAAAGGGGATAATATACTCCATAAGTTTTAAATTAACCGAAAAGAAACCTACCTGTAAGGGTAGTCTACAAATATCTTTTCCCATACAAAATCCTTCACATTCAGCTTTAGTTAGAAAGCGATTTGAATTACCAAAACATCCACCATATGTAAATGGCATGCACATACGTTTATCCATGTCATAATACCATCGTTTTTCAAAGTTTGAACAACCACCATGATCGTGTGGAAGACGACAAACATCTAAAAATTTAACAGATAATACTTGCAAGTTAATGTCAGATTTATCAAGGCAGTTGAATTTGATGTGTAAAAATAATACAGCCTTTCAAAGTACTCCATTGATTGTGGCTCTTACTTTGGTGCTATTGCCGAATTCATAGTATATCTGACTGCGGTAACTGCTACACTTTCACTACGAATGTGGTGTGTGCTACTAACAGTAGAGCATGGAGAGATAGGAAACGGAACAGAAGTGAGCAATTAGAAATGTGAAGCATAAACAGATGGTTGATACTGCGAAATTCCAAAAGAAAGAAAAGGAGAAATGTATAAAGTTTGAAGCCGGAAATCAGGAAAAGGGATAATAAAGAAAATACACTGTTAGGGTTGGTTCAGGAAGACTATTTCTAGAGTGGAAAGGTTCATACATTGTCACTGAAGGACGATATCCTTCCTGTTTATACCATCAGAAGAGGAAACAAACAGAAACGTGTTAACGCCAGCCAACTTCGAAGATGGATACTATGAGATAAAAAAAGTCAGCATCAAGAGACAACAAAGCAGGTAGCATCAAGATGATCGGGAAAACTCAGCTCGAGACTCTTCGAAGGAGGATGAATGTGATACTGACAAGAATTCGTGTTATATTTGCAACGTCTTCCTCAAGAATCATAAGTAGCAGAGCAGTGGATTAAGTTATAAGAGGGAGAAATTTATTGTGAAACAATACAGAAATGATGACTACCGCTACTGTAGTGAGAGCTGTCTGCAAGTCAAAATTGTAGACAAAAATTGACGTCAGTGTTACGTCCCGAATCGGGGTCATGAGAAAAAACAATAACAAAGCATAACCTTGAGGAACTCACCAACCAATCACAGCAGACTTAACGTGTGCAAATACGATTCGCAAATATATGGCTTAACTTTCTAAGAAACGGCCACAAGCAGTACAGAATAACCTTCAGCAAGAAAACAACCAATCAGAAGACGTTGCTTCTCCGCTAATAATAATGTACATAAAAATCTATAAATATCTCTTGATTTTCTCAATAAATGATCTGTTGCCTGGCCCTTGTCTTCTGTCGTTACACGACTACTGCTACTACTACCACTAGACTTAAACCACTTATTTTGTGTTTCTGACCTGACTTCCAAGAACCCAGGTTTATGTATTAACAGTTTCAAAGTGCTTTCTTTTATTTCAGGTAAGTTAAAATAGCATAGTGAGGATAATAAACTATCGACGATTTATAAACAAATAGACACTGCCAACAAGGATTACAACTATTTTAGTTCTACGAATGAATTAATAAAACTCTTCAAGCTTTCAAACTTCACTTTCCTGAGATTTTTTAATCATTGACATCAAGATTTTTGACGATATCTAGTTTATAAAAGTAGTAAAACTAAAGTAGAACACTAGAGTATGTCATCAGACTTCCTCATTAGATTAGCCTCAGTTAAAATATGATTTACTGAATTCAGATTATGAATTCATTAAGACAGTTAACTCCTACTAGTACTTCCATGAAATTTCGATTATCAGACCTTCGACATGGTCCTGCTTTAGAAAAAAGTCAAAGTCACTGATCTCATTTAGATCTAGTAGTTTTATGATTTTTAAATTTTTTAAGCCAAGACGTAAATTCTCCAGGTCACTCAGATTTTATGTAGTAATCTAAATTTTCAGTATCTGTGAACAAAATATTTCGCTATCTTGTACTACTTGAATTTCATGTACATCATATTCTTCGTTTTCTTATTCGAGTTATTCATACTAGTAATATGGGCTGGAATAAGTGTCCTTATGTTTATTATTCGATTTAATTCTGGACTACTTCAAGTAGGTCGTTCCACTACGATAAGGATTCGCTACTATTTTCTTGTTTAATTGTTAATTTCCGGTGAAATTTACTTTTCGTGAGTTTGTCTGTTGGGATTTGATTTACTTCAGACTTGATCATGGGTTGATATCAGTCACAGAATTGTTGAAAACTAACTGAGATTACTGGATAGGTATTTCGTCCTAGTTTGCGACCTATCGGCAGTACTCACCCATCACCAGGGTTCGAGCTCAGGACCCTCCAATTACAAGTCAAGCTCGTAGACCATTCAGCCACTGGGGGAACCCAATCCAATGTCCAGTTCATGAATTCTAACTTCTACAAATTCGTGATTTCAGTGTGATTGACACCAGCCAATGTCATTGGTGAGTATTTGTCCTCACTCCCGATAGCCTTCTAAATGATATCAATCCGTGATGAAACTTGAAGTTTATTTTATCACATGTGCAGTTGCGAAGACCTCCTGAAAACTTGGTTGGTTATATTGACTGTATGTAAGTAAATTTCTTATCGCTTTCCGGTTAAACTATTTGAACTTGGATATCATGATCAATGTGATCTTAAAGCATTTGTTCTTCAAGGCATGTCTTTCAGTAATAGCTAAGTTATCATCTTGAATGCAGTTTATGAGTGAATGAATAAAAATTGAGTCAAGATAAGTTAATAACACAAATTAGGATAAATCATACCTATCGGATGTCCTGGTGTACAAACATCTTGACAAGCTTTATGACTAGGGAAATTATTTCCATATTGAGGACAAGTTATATAACTTCTGCACTGCGTTTCTCTTGGTTCAAAATACCATCTAGTAACCATTGCATTACAACCATATGGAACAGTTACAATCGGGTTCATATGACATACATCTGAAATAAGAAACGGAACAAATCATTACAAAACGATAAAACGACTTGTGTTGTTCATTTCCCCCACCTTACCAATCAAACAACACTGATTTCAAGTTCCATCGCGAAGCGTCATCTATTAGAGGACCACTAAAGGCTGGGGACTAGTGGGCAAACGTTTTACCCTGGTTTGCAACTCTTCAGCGGTACACACCTAGGGCCGCAACGTCGGTAGAATTCTAGACCTTTTCGGTTACTAGGTGAGCCCATCGACCATTCAAGCAGTGGGACAAATCCACTGGATCATATATTCTGTCTTCTGCTGTTCTGCGATATATATATCACAACAATATGGGGATATGGGGTCGTATTGCTTAAGAATCCCAAACTACGATGAAATAGCAAGCCAGTACGACCTGGTTTTCGATGGTTCTCTAACGGAAGCTAGTTTGTGATCAAACATGAAATCAGTGAAATCCCTGAGGAGTAACGCTTGAAAACGATGAAATGTTATTTCTAAAATTCTTTTTTAACGTAATGATGGATTATAAAATGTCTCTGGACTTCATTAAATGTGAAAAAGAATACGTTTAAGTCGAATTGCATACTAGTTAATTATAAAGACGTATGATCTGAAACCGACAAAATGCCAGCTTGATCATATCTATCGTCAGAAACAAACGTAAATCCATTCTGGTGTCACAAAGGAAGAGAATCCAATAGAGATCATAATACGTGCAGGCTGTTTTAAAACTGATCAAATCAATACGAATCAAGTGGGATATATTTTTAATATCATATTTAAGTATTTTAGGGAGTGTTCAGGAAACCAAATCAATCACAGTTGTACATTCCTTATAAATGTATTTTGTAGGACGTTACTTGTTTGCTGGTGACTAGTACGGGAGTCCAGGATGTGCATTTCATCGCACTTGAGGATCGTAAGCTAAATGTACCTGCTCTCCACTCAGATACTCCAACGCAGCACCAATCGTTTCAAACAAGAGCACTTAGTTTAAAATGTATCGAAAAGCTGAATTCACGCAGTTAAAAATAAAATTACTGCATGACAACATCAAAAGCATCCGCCTGAGCTACGAAGCTTCTCCATTATCTGAGGAGTTAAATCCAGTCTTAAAATAGCTTAAGGTAAGCTTGGTTCAAATTCCTCAAAACGTCTTCCTCAATAGGAAGAATTCTGATAAGCGTTCTTGGTCCGTAAGTAACAGTAAGTCGCCACTATTCGCCGAAATGCCTCGTTCGATAAATGTTTTTGGTATACCAAGTGCTTATAGTTTGAAAGCACTTCCCCTCTTAATTTAGTAAGTCATAATTTATAATGCATACAGTTAAAGATTTATTAGAATTCGGATGAAAAGTACTCAACAACGAGTCTCTCTTACTTTGTGTATCTGTCCCTTTAGGCGGTTTCGGTAAACAATGATACTGGCAAGCACTACGAGTTGCATATATTCCTTCAGGTAGGCTTCCAGTTCTAGCTTGCCAAATACCAAGCCATTGACTTGTTCTTCTCAAACGGAAGGAGAATTTTTTCTCAGCTACCGGTAATTCAATTGGTTTGTCATCTGGTTCACACATTTCAAAAAAGTAACAATCACCGATAGAATGATTATAAGCCCATGCTTGAATTCCACTGCCAGGACATCGTTTAATTGACTGATTGAAATGACATCGGGCGAATTCTTTCAGTGAAATCGATAAATAAGAAGCAGGGATATTAAATAGTATAAGTAGAACCAAAATTTGAATTTACACAGTAGACAGTAATTACAATTAACAAACAATACTCAAGTTACAATATGTAGTTTTCAATATTAAGAGACTGGCAATACTGACAGTAGTAGTTTTTGCAATGCCTCCCCTTTGACATCTTTTACCTTCTGAAAAGATTATGTGAATGTTAGATTTCATTTGGTTCATTGAATTCTAACAATAATAGACCTATTGTTTTTTATGATGTCCTCTGATCTGTGATGTGTAGAGGCGTGTTATAGCTTCCATTTAATATTTTAGAGAGAATTCCCCGAAGATTTTCCTTTAAATGATTACCTCCTGTACAAAACTGTCGAAAATTGTAATTATCACCAAGAAAAAGTGTTCTAACTTACTATGAATAACCCTCACTACTTTCCGCTATCGACTCAACTGAGACTGAGATAGAAACTGTTCTTATTTTTTGCTTATCGTAAGGACATTTTGTGTCACAACTGTAAGTCAGCATTATTTACCATCATCCGATGACTGAATGAAGCCCCTACTACAATGAATTTAACTTACTTTGAAAGTACATTCCAGTAGCTCCATCTGTACTGTTGTGTTGAAGTAGATACAGGTTAAGGTGCAGAATGACTGCCAGCCATCCATGTAGTCCACTTCGATTTCCAGCCAACACTGTCCTAAACCTCAGCTAGTTTACTAGTCTGAAGTAATCTCAGAAAGGAAGAAAGGACGGGTACCATGCTAGCAACCCCACACCGTAGAAAACAAAATCACTGCTACTGAGACTTCAAAGATGAAGCTTGAAGCCTTATATTCCACTTGGAACACAAAGGGACGATATATATATATATATATTTACGCAAGACAGGAATGCTAACATGTTTCCTAAACATACGTCCTCATACACATAAGATATATTTTATATCGAGTGGTTTTGGTAAGCTAAAATGTGACACTGACTCTTTCGTGTTTTACTCAAATTCATCTCATAAGTATCCCACTGAAATACTTAAAATTATCTCCATTAAAGATTAACTGATTTTGGGTCAGGTCCCTACCAAACCAGTGGAAAGTCATTCTAATTCTCACTAGCAACCAAATACAGGACCAAGTGCCTGAAGTTCTAGTGATAAGACCTGGTCACTAGGGTACACCAAGACAAGTGTGAGAACAGATACTCTCTGATGACACTGTCTGCCTGTAACACTATATTTACCAATTCAGCAGAGGTTAGAATTCATGAGCGATTGATTTCCAACTCAGCGACTGAATAGTTAATGAACTGGTCTTGCAACCAGAACGTCCTCCGTTCGATCTCGGATAGGGTCATAAATGCACGCGGCTGAAGAGTCCAATACTAGGACTAAATAGCTATCCAGTGCAACTTGGTCTTCAGGTGTTCTCCAGCGGATGTCAATCGGTTATCTGACTTCAAAAAATAGAGAACATACAGATGTCTATTTTGTTCCACTGAAAGAAAAGTTAACCATTCGAAGTTAAGGCATCATATCTTTCCCCAAAAAATACATTTTTAAACTACTAATGTTAGTTCATGATCTCATTTAAGTGGAAAGTATTTTAGGATAGCAAAATTTCAGCTATTTCTCCATTTGTTAAGTGCATTACTCGTTCACACATATACAATACATATATTACTGCTATGTTGAAGTATAAAAACTTTCCGAGTGAAAAGTGGTACACACACTCTACAAAGCACTTTGTTTTACCTCATCCGAAATGATTTCTCGATGACTTACGCTTTACATTAAAAGTATCAAAAGTAGAATGAATAAGTGTAAGTAATATATAGTATTCACCACAAAAGAAAGTTATTTCAACAATTAAATAACACATTTTAACTAGAAATTTCTATTTGTATTAAAGAAAAATTAGCATGTGATATATATATATGTACGTGTGTATTTGTATTTATCAAAATTCTACTCTCTAATGTAAAAATTAACAGTGTACTGTAAAAGTACATCGAAATATCATAAATAAATTAATAAAAAACAAATTAGATAGATATTGCTTTTAATGTAACAAAACAAAAACCTTAAAACAAATTCCTTATTCTATTGTGCACTTGAATAGTATTTGAAATAGTAGTAATTGTTGTTGTTGGTGGTGTAGTAAGTTGTTTTAATGTGTTACCGAATTCGGAAATCAGTGAAATTATGATTACTATATAATCATTGTTCCCTTAGGTTTCAACGGTACATCTTTACTGCATCCCATTCTCTGAGGTCCTCCTCAGCCAGCCTTATGATTGTTCATGGTCCCTCATTTCCTTCTCTCACGAACTCCTCCATCCCATCCACAGACCTGCGCCAAATTCACCTTTTTCCAGTTGGATTTCACTTGAGAGTTCACCTGTAGCTCAGTGTCCCCCGCTGTTTTCCTTAGTGTGTATCCAATCCATCTCCATTTCCTTCAGAATTATTGTTGAGCAATAGGTTCTTGATTGGTTCGTTCTTGTTGGTAATTCTTTCTGGCCTATCATCTAATCTTCAATGTGCAGTCACCGAAATCAGCTGCTGATAAAAGTCTGCAGGAGGCTGTTAGAAGTGCTTTTCATGACGTGTTCGCAAAGTTACTGACCTATATAGAAGGACTGAACGATTTAAAACTATTAGTGAATTTGAAGCTTTCAGTATTTTGTTACAAAAAAGTCTTATTATTATTATTGTTTCCTTTAATTCCTAGAGGAACATAAGGCTTCAGCCGTGTGTCTCCATTGCGTTCGGTTCTCTGCTAGAGTCTTCACCTGGCTCCATGTCTGCCCACACGTTTTCATCTCCTCTTCACATGACCTCCTCCAAGTCACCCTTGCACGACCAACTCGCCGTTTCCCTTTCGGGTTCCACTCGAGCAATGGCTTGTCTAGTAATGTCACTTGATGGTTTCCTCAGAGTATGGCCAATCCATCTCCATTTCTTCCTGTATATTTGTTTCACAATCGGTTCCTGGTTGGTTTGCTCCCAGAGATCTCTGTTGCTCATCTTTTCTGGCCATCTGAACAGAAATCTCGGGGTAAATTGAAGTACTAATAATCTGTTTTGATAGAACAAAGTCCACTTAACTTTAGGCCTGCATCCTTTGGCTAAGTACTTGTTAACTAAGTAACAATGTATCTCTCTCTATTGGCTTATTTCGCAACTCCTCTGTAGTAACGAACTCGTAATGTTGAGATCATGACATGACCATTTTCTTAGTCATCAGATTGGAATTCAATGTTCGATAAGTCATAACTTCTGTTAATTTGTGACATAACTCTAAAACAGTTCACTGTCACTGGTTAGTATTCGTATTTGGTGGATTACACTGGTCAATACATCTCGTTAGGACTCCAGAAAATTCCTTTTATAGCCAGTTATTAAAGAATATATTGATATTGACATAATGAGCAATTGCGTGGGTAATAAAGTGCTTTCCTCGCAACCTAAATACCCCACTAAAGTCTTAAACTATGAGCAAACAGTTATCAAATGTTACTTGGAATGTAACGCTTCCCAGACAAGCCAACAGCGCGTCAACAGTTAATTGGTACGACGCTTAGCAGACATGAAAGAGATTACAGAGGTACTCTTTTACCTCAGTGCACTCCTAAACCTAGTCTAGCAGGAAAAGAGAGAAGGTTGGACTCCAGGCTAGCAACCCTACCCAGTAGAAATAAAACCACAACTACTTAGACTTCAAAGGTTAAAGCCCTATGTTCCACTTAGACAGGAAAGAATGAAAACAAAAGAATAATGGTTCCTATATTGATGTCGTCTTGTGACAGAATGTTCTGTAAAATCATTCTGACTCCCCATAAATGCAACTTTATGCAGTCACTGCTTGGTTTCTTGATTGTCATTTATTGTATCAGTCAGGTCATATTTCGTGGTGATCTGAATAATTCCGGTTTCCAAAGGAAACTGTGGTGAAATATCCATATTAGTTTGTTTATTAGATATATCACACAGTGAAACAGTATTATTTACTGGATGACGAGGTTACGAACAAAATTTATTGTTCATAGTCATATCAATTATAATCACACGACTTCGAAACTTGAGTTTTATAGTTTTATTTGTCCTCTGCTATTTGTCGTCGTAGGGGTAGTAGAATTTTCCAGATATCCAACAGGACATTATGGGTAAATTTTATTTTGATAGAGTCTCACAGTGTTATACAGTAAATATTACTGTATAACACTGTGAGACTCTATCAAAATAAAATTTACCCATAATGGAATTACACTCTACCACAGTGCCCAAGTTTTATTCTTATATCAATCCAACAGGACAGATTTTGAATCATTCCTATTGCACGTGTTCGCAGTCGATTCGATAAACAAAGCTTCCGTTACCAATCTCTCCCTATACCCTGTGACATTAGATTTTAAAACTGTCATCTTATCCTATCCATTCTATTGTATGGTTGTGTGTAATTGCACGCAGTCAGTGGTATAGCTGAACCACTCTCCAAACTTCTTATCTTATTCAGGTCAACTAATCTAGATTTTGCTGGGATTTTATGCTCTTCTAGTTTTACTGACCCTGTTCTACTACTCTCACTGATGTATTTGACCTGACAATCATTACAGGCAGGGTATTAGATAAACTTAATTGTTTTGTTTAACTAGCTCCATAGGAGGGATCGTTTAACCGACAAAGCATGTTTGTAAAGAAGTTTATGGGTTTGAATGCCACTTTTATTCCTGCCTTGATAAGAATTCTTCGTAAAGTGGTTTTCGAGGTTCCTTCCTTGTATGGAATTACTACTGATGATTTAGATTCCTAATTGTTGGTGTTGTCATTATCTTGCACATGTTTGACATGCATATCGTCATCAATATTACCATTATTATTATCATCACTATTGTTACTATCATTATTTATTTTATTTTTACATTTCCCTACATACTTTCTGACTAATTTATTAGGGTAATTATTAAGTTTCAAAGCCTTGAAACGTCATCCAGTAAATAATACTGTTTCACTGTGTGATATATCTAATAAACAATCTAATATGGAATTACTTACTACCACAGTGCCCATGTTTTACACATATATTAATGTGGAGAAATATCACCTCTTTGAACTGTGTTAATACCAAATAACGAATTAATCTACAAATCGCCAATTTTTTGCAACATCTAAATTAATTGGATCAAAGTAGAATGTTTCAAATAGCTTTAAAAAGAACATATCTGGACTAAACATAAGCTACTTTAAAGATCAGAGACTAAAGGATCCTTTCACAGAAATGTATTCTGCACAAATTTATTCGTTACTTTATGGAAGTGAACATTTTATACAAACTGTACAATGACGTATTAAATACAAAATAGAAACAAGTAGAAGGAAGCAATAATTCTTATAGACGCCAGAATGACATATAGGTGTGTAGGTGTGTGGAGTAACCATAAAAGGCACTTCTGTCTACATTATAAAAAATGGCAGACTATCTATTTTTGTTTCTTAGAGAGTGAAATGTTCTCCAGTCTAGCAATTAAGTTAACTCTCTTTATAGTTAAATCATTTTCGAGTTAGTAAAGCAAGTAAGCAAAAGGTGTCTACTAAATTGTCAAATTCTTTCTTAAGAATTCTAATGAATATAATACCTGTTCATAATAACATTTTGGATCTTTTACGACTCCTAAATTGTTGAAAAAGATAGTATTTGATAAAGTGACACATAGGGCTTCATCAATAAACCTCTGCCTCACTCTGTTCTCTGTAGTCCCTTTCAGCTGGCTTTACAGTTGGCCAAAAGCTTTCATTTCCTTCTCACACGATCTTCTCTATGGCACTCTTGGACGCTAGACTCACCATTTCCTATTCGGATTCCACACTCTAGGGTATGACGCTTGTATGTCCAATCCACCTCCATTTAATTCTGCATAATACATGGGAGATAGATTCTTGATTGTTTCTTCATCAGAATTTTTTTTATTTTTTATTTTTATTTTTATTTACAGCTTGATTCCACACCGTATTTTCAGTACGTGTGGAATTTCTCTAGGTTTATCCTTTCTGGGCATCTGATCTTTAGTATCGAGCCAGCGAAGGCAACTGTTGATAAAAGTCTCCAGTAGCAGTTTAGAATTCCTTTTCGTGACGCACCAAGTCCCCAAACGATATAAAAGCATTGACTTGACACTAGTGTTGTACATTCGGATTTGTTCCTAATACTGAGCTCAGTAGACTTTCACATTGACTTCAGGTGAATGAAGGCCTTTTTCGCTTTTCCGATCCTACCTTTTATATCCTGATCCGCGCCGCTAGTACTTGAAACGAGGTTGTCTAAATAAGTGAAAAAAGTGACTTCTATTAGATTTTTCCCGTTGATTATAATTGATGCCTGTTGTATTTGCTGCTGTTAGTTGGATATCTTTACACCTCTGTCGTCTCTATCACCACATGAAGTCCTGTTCGTCTTACCTCTTCTGCTAGTCAACTGTAAAGAGGGATTAAACTGTGAGTTTCATACAACCGGTTCCCTTTGTTAGTTTGAAGAGAGAAAGAACGAACATGTCTGCAGGATAATACGAGCTCGTTTCATTTCGTGGATACTCATCAACTGCATACATCCTAAACAAAATCAAATTATAAGTTTCAAAAAAGTTTTGGAACATACTTTTTCATAATTACTTTAAGTTATAGATAGAAGGTATAAGGAATATAATTCCAGAATTTTATGTAGGTAGACAGATTATTCAGTGTCAAAAAACAACTAATTATATATAGTGGAATTAGATAAGAGGGGTTAGAGTTCAGATTATTCACTATTCACCCCCACCCTCTTAAACTCTCCACCACAAGATGTGTAAATTTACTATGATCTCTGACCCTGACCCTGTATTATTCCTCTAACCAATCTGTGTTTTCCAATAGAAATCTGAACTCTAACCCCTCTTATCTAATTCCACTATATATAATTAGTTGTTTTTTGACACTGAATAATCTGTCTACCTACATCAAATTCTGGAATTAGGTTCCTTATACCTTCTATCTATAACTCCAAGTAATGTTCCAAAACTTTTTTGAAACTTGTAATTTGATTTTGTTTAGGATGTATGCAGTTGATAAGAATCCACAAAATGAAACGAGCTCGTATTATCCTGCAGACATGTTCGTTCTTTCTCTCTTCAAACTGTGAGTTGTTTGGAATCAGTTTCCATGAACACAATGTTCATATATGCTAAGCAGTTGCCTAGACTCAAATAGATAGACAGGGATTCGAATCCGAGACCCATTGATTGAAAGCCTAGTGTTTAGGCCAATGAACCACAGATGATGTTATTACACAAACACACACACGCACACACACAGAAAAGTTAACTGTTACTACTCACTTGGATTTCTTAGTCGATTTTCACAAACTCTTTGACAACTTGTTAGTGTATCGAAATGATTCCCACGGGCTCCACAACCAGTATAAGTGTAAGGCTGACATTGGCCTAATCGACGATCATAATAGTAACGAGTCAGCGGGACGTATGGATATTCACTTGTTGTTTGATATTGACCACCAGATAATGAACAGGTTCCATAACTGTGACTATCCAAACAAATATCCCAAGCTGAAATTATATTTATATTTTGAAAATATGAGGTTTAAAAGAAGAATATCAAGACGCAAAATATTGATAAATGTGTCATATTCAGAGTATGGAATCACTCTGCATCATTGAAATCTTACAGGAAATTGATATCTCAAAATAGCTACAAACTCAACTCTTGTTAGATGGTTGGAGAAAATCGGCGAAAAGCTTTGAACACAGGTCTCGTGCTTGTTGGCACTCATCAGTAAGGCGTATCTACAATCTTAAAGAAAATTTTATCGCTTCTGAGACTCGAATCCGGTTTAACCAGTGCTGCAGTCAGAGACACTGTCACTGAGCTATTCAGGTTCGCAGTAAACATTCTATAGGACTGTAATGGACACTTTAATCAGACACTAGATTGTAACTAATGTCCAAGGGTTCAGTCTTAGTAAATCATTTTTCTAGGGTGAATAGTATTGTCGCTTAGTGGTAAGTTCAAACTGTACGAAGTAAACCTATTTTCTTACTGAAAGATATATATCTAATGAATTTTAAACATAAACAAGTAGCTATCATCGGTGTTACTTCCTTTCAGTTAGTGCAGTGCCTTTATTTTAACGCAAATCGTTAGTGGCAGAACTGATAGACTGCCATAATTCGAGGCATAACCAAAGTCGGTCGAAGAAGCATTGTAAGCCAGGGAGCAACCATAAACGCGAAAGGGAACAAACCCGTCACCTTCAGGTTGCAGTCAGAGCCAATTCTAATTCAGCAACTGAGTTGGAACCAAGTAGCCTGTGAATCCTAACTTCCGCCAACTTGTGATATATTTGCAACACCATGGCAAGTACCTCACCGAATCGGTGGAGCATTTTATAACTCAAGGAATTCCATTCGAATGCCAGTCACTAATGAAACGTGAATTAGTTTTAAACAGTTGCTTCTGTAAGGATAGTGTGAAACTGACGGAAGTTAGAATTCATGAGTTATTAGATCTCATTGAGGATATCATTATGAGCTGACATTTGTTAGAGAACCAGTGGAAAGGAGTACTGGACAGCTGTTTCGTCCTATTTTGTGACTCTTCATCAGTACGCACCCACCACTAGGGTTAGAACCCAGGACCTTCTGGTTACAAGGCTAGCGAGCTCGTAGACCATTGAGCCACTGGGACCTGATCCAATGGTCCTTGAATTCTAACTTCTGCCAATTCACGACATAGCGCGACCATTTCGCAATGTCTTCTTCGATGAGTTACTGCCTCACCTTCAACCTCCTTTACCCTACTGAACACGGCTTCCTACTAGGACCCCAGGTTAACTGCCTGAATAGGGCCAGTCGCTAGTGAGCATCAGGTTAATTTTCAAGTATTGGTTTTGTAAAGATTTTGTATGATTGCATGGAGGATTTCATCATGAGCTGACATCAGTTAGAGAACCATTGGAAAACCTGGGAGTGCTGGACTCAACTTGGATACCTAATGGTAAAGTGCTCGGGTTACCAACTGAAGATTATGATTTTGAAAGCCAATAGGATCATAGGTGTGTAGTTCTGCATTAGTTGAAAACTAAGATTTAGCTTACTCAAACTATTATCTATAATCAAATGTTTCTTTCCAGTTAGTATGAACATTCAATGGAGCTTTATGTGAATGGAAATAACACAACCAAGATAACAATAACTTTAAATGATAATATTTATCCAGTAGCTTATCGTTAATCAAACTTACGATAACGATCAGTATGATGCCGAGTAGTTTGTTTCATTTTCTCAAACACTTGTGCACTTAACAATGGTGGCTCATCATGATTCAATAGTTTCTCCTCTTGTAAAGTTTCTGAAGATTTAGTTTGATTATTTGTACTCAGAAGATGCGTTGAATACTGCGAACAGGCCAGCTCACATTCCTTTCTTGATAAAAATCTATTAAAATTGCCCAAACAACCTCCGTATAAAAACACCCGACATTTTGATGCACTACTATCGTAGAAATAACGAGTTTGAAAACTTGTACACGGACCAGGATCTTTTGGAAGTTGACATACTTCTGTATAAATGAATGAATATATATTAATCATTACCAAACTGCTAATATTTCTACACTACTCATTGGTATTTATTAAAACACTTGAGAGAATAATTTATTTTAGTGTATAGTACTGACTGGTATGAATAGTTGAAACCTACTCACAGCATCTAATACTGCTGGTGAAACAGACGGAGGTAATGTAAGCACTGACAGTCGAATTCCAGTTGAATACCAGGACACACAATCGAATTAAGTGTTCGATGTTCTCGTGGTACATAGTGTAGGTAGTTTCATTCTACTGATACTACGGTGAGATCTGTCTGCAAGCCAAAATTATAGGCAACAATTAACATCAGTGTTTGCGTCCCGAATTGGGGTCATAAGAAAAAGCAATAACAAAGCTTAACCTTGAGAAACTCAACAACCAATCATAGCAGACTTAACGTGTGCAAATACGATTCGCAAGTATATAGCTTAACTTCCTAAGAAATGGTCACATGCAGTACAGAATAACCTTTAGCATGAAAACGACCAATCAGAAGAGGTTGCTTCTTCGCTAACAATAACGAATAATAATGTACATAAAAATCTATAAATATCTCTTGATTTTCTCAACAAAGGATCAGTTGCCTGACCCTTGTCTGGATTTCGTGAACCTTCGAAATTTCAATTCTCCATAAAATGAAATTCACACAGGTTAGGATGTGTGGTAATATCTCACAAAACCTCAAATATTTTACATGCCTTCAATAACTGGATTCAGTATTTTATCTAAAATTCTTAATTTCTGATATGTGTATACGTATGTTTCTTGTTCATTTAACAATATGTTTTTCAGTAAATTGACTAACCTTCAAAACTTGTTGCCATACATGTGGTTTCACATTCACTTCTTGAGGCGAAATTATTTCCAGGTTGTTCCATATTTTGATCTGGATCTGTACACTCTGAGAAACGTACACATTGGTTGATTTCAGGTAGATATGACCAACGATAGGCTTTAGTACTATGATCTGTACAATTCCATGACATATGAGTCTTTCGAGCAAAACAACGGTCTTAAAGAGACAGACAGCACACATGTTGATTAGATTAAAATAGTGTTTCTGAATTGTTATAATGAAGACTATTATATTAATAAAGAAATAATATTCATGACAAGTTACAGGATTTCATTATGAGCTAACACTGCCTTGTAACTAGAAGGTCCTGGCTACTTACTACCACAGTGCCCAAGTTTTACACATATATTAGTAGGTCCTGGGTTCGAACCCTGGCGGTGGGTGCCTACTGATGAAGAGTCTCAAACTAGGACGAGACAGCTGTCCAGTACTTCCAAGTTTTTAATTGGTTCTCTAACCGATGTCAGCTCATGATGAAAATCCTGTAACCAATCAAATCCCTACAAACCAACACTTGAAAATTCATGAAAAGTATTTGACATTATATGGAAAATACTATACTTGGTCAGAAAAATTCAACTCTATAAGAACTTACGTCTCCAAGTTGTGAAATAGTCTTTTAAGTTACATGAACATTGAGACAGAAAAGTTGTTGACCTTTAATGTTACTTACTGGGTTTCAGCTGAAGGTAGTCTTCTCGTCACGCGATCATCTTTGTGATCTTAAATTATTGTGTAATCGTATGATCTTTGTGATTGACTTAGTATTGTATTATTGATGTGTTTGGTAAGTCCGTTATCCTACACTCTTTGTCTGTTATATTCTGCTTATTTGGTGAATATTCAAGTATCAGTTGGTCATTACTGGGTTGAAGCTCCACGTTTCTGGGAATTTTCTTTCAGTTTATAACCCTGTTTATTCTATTATTTCCATTTAAACGTTTTTGACGAAAATACAGAAGCAGTCACTTATTTTCGATGTGTTTATGTCCTCTGAGTCGGTTTGCTGAACTTGGAAGCTCTCATTGTCCTTATCGGCAAAATATTCAGTATTTAGTTTTGTCTGAAGTGAAGATCTTGTCTAGAAGGTGAATGGATGGTCAGCAGTTAATTTACCCAGTTCAAAGAACTCAATCTCATAAAAAAACACCGATCTCAGATACAAATCTTCATTGTTTCAAACGTTGTCAGTTAGCATAATGAACTGAAACTCCGGTTTCACTACAACAATTCTGTTAAAGACCAAACAGTCCTCCATTTTCTGCTGAAGGCCTAGTACAGGATAAGAGTAACTTTTGACTTTGGCTTCCTAGATACGATCACTCTCCCACAATTAACTCTTAGGATTCACGCAGCTGTTCTTTAACAGTACTTCGAACTTTGAATTTTAAGTTGCAGTGATATTGTCTTTACGGGGCGGGGTTGATAGCCTCACGCCTATCCTTCCCTCATTTTCAGGCTTACTACCAGTCAATAGCCTAGGCGAAGTATAGGAGTACATCAGGCGAAAGTCCATTTCGGACATCCTGCATATCTGGCCAGAATTTCGCACTAAAATTTTATTATCGCAGTGCTTTTTGTTGTGTACTTCAAGTAATTAACTATTATACACAGAAAAATATCACTCCTGTTCAACATTATTCAAAGTCTCATTCTAAATAGTACACTAATAAAACAATTTTATAAATTGGTTAGGATAAATTATTCAGCATAATAAATACGAAGTAAAACGACGTCGTATTTACCGCTAATTCTGCCTTCCTTGTTTCATCAAGATATATCAGAGGAACCTCTCGTATGAAATATGAGACACTTGGTTTCATACTCCTTGCTTATTTATGAATGCTAAAACCTCATTAAATTATCTTCTTTTAATTCAAAGACTAGCATCAGGCAAACTAAGAAGGAAAACAGATAAAGAAGATTCGAGCTCCTCAGAATATCTGAAATGCCCATGACTGCTGCTAGCCAGTTTAAATGTTTTCTGCTGTCTAACAAAATGAAATGGACTTTTTCCTTAGTATAAAAATAGTTCTTAATTTATCTGTTTTTAAGAGTTTGCCCACGGATTGATATCAGTCAGAGAACCATTGAAAAGCAGCTGGGAGTACTGGACAGTTGTTTCATCCTAGTTTGAGAATCATATGTAGTACGCACCTACTGTCAGGGTTCAAACCCAGGACCTTACGGTTACAAGTCAAGCTAGCTCGTATACCATTCAGCCACTGGGATCCTATTCGATGGCCAGCTATGAATTCTAACTTCTACGTATTCGTGCCGTAGCGCGACCACCCTCTGATGCTCGTTAGTGACTTGCTACAGGACGGAGTCTCCCAGAGTTCTAGTGAGAAGTCGTGACCAGTGAGGTCCAGCCAGTCAAGTGTGATGACGGATGTCCTACCGATGACATCGGTTTGTGTCAGTAGCGCTAAATCACTAATTAGTAGAAGTTAGAATTTATGGCTGGCCATCGAATAGGATCCCAGTGGCTGAATGGTATATGAGCTAGCTTGCCTTGTAACTGGAAGGTCCTGAGTTTGAATCCTGGTGGTGGGTGCGTACTGCAAATGATTCCCAAACTAGGCTGATGAAACAGCTGTCCAGTACTCCAGTGTTGGTTTTCAATGGTTCTCTAACTGATATCAATCCGTGGGCAAACTCGTAAAAACAAATTTAATCCTTACAAACCAACTCTTGGAAACTTAATTTATCTATTATTTCATACTTCAGATAAATGTCTGTTGAACGGTGCACAGCTTTGTGGAGTTTTAACAAACACCAGTTATTTATAGTCTTTATTCTGCATTGTCTAAATCGTAGAAGTCCCATCATATATTATGCCGAATCATTTTGTTTGTTTTATATTCCACAACGTTCGCACTAGTAAAACAAATTACTCACCTTCATCAACCCATCATTTGAAGTGTATTTCAAACCAAATCCCATTAAATCCCGCTTTAACTTCATTAAAAACCAGTGAAGTAGTAACAGATAGATAACTTACTTTGTAAATGTTTTTCAGTTGGTGAAGATTTTACACAAGCACGTAGACAATCATAACCATTAGGAAAGTAATGCTCCATACTACAACCAGATCTTTGTGTATTTAAATGAAAAGCTTTACACGTTGCACTAACAATACTGAAGTGGAATGCGATGACATTGCTTTCTGTAGACTCATCATCTTGTTGATTACCACTAACAGAAAGTTTATAACACTTTTTAGAATGTGGATTTGAATCACAACGTTGATCTCCTAAACATGGTTAGCAGAAATAGTAAAGCTTGATTTTAACATTATGAAGAGGTATAATATGATGAATGTTAAGTGGTATAATATGGTAAGTAAAATTGAGATCAGGGTTTAGGTAAAGAGGGTTAGTCAGTAGATGGTGTAGTAATGCTACATCGACTGACATGGTTAGGACACGTGTCTCCCATTCCAGGCTATCGCCTTCTTCTGCGGGCAGTGTTAGTTGACATAGGATTAGGCTGAAAGAGATTTAGAGGCGGCCAAACCAAAATACGACATCAATCCATGAAATCCTTGACAGCTAGTTTGAACGACGTAGGGAGGTATAGGCTGCCTAGTTGGAGTCCTCTGGAGACTAATGGCAATAAGGCTCAAAACTGTTCTCAGTGGAGCAGAAGTAAACACTCTTTGTAATCTCCCATATCCACTAAACTGTCATGCTTTTCAGCTTATTAAAGTTCTCTGAATCTCTTTTTTCCTCTCTTTTGTCCACCTTTGTATGCTATATGGAGTGTGGAAAATTGACCTCCTGCACTTCTGTGCAAAGTTCTGTGTTGAAACTCAGTTAGTCAATCAGTCTTGGTGTTTCGTTTGGCATCATGTTAGTACTAAAGTCAGGACAAACTTTTCTCCTTCTTCGAAATAGCATAATGAAATAGCTAGTCTTCAGATTAACAGCGTATGGTATGATCACTTTAAATGCCTTACACGCTTGTCACATAATAACCATAGATGTTGAGGTCCTTTAAGTGAATACCACATAATATTATCCCTTTGCATCCTTTAAATAATTCTTGCACAAAGCAATTAGTGCGCTTTATGAATTTCAACAAAACAATAAGATGTGGTTTATCTGAGACGTGTAATGTATTTGCGCAACACATTTCGAACATTCTGATCACACTCAGTGCGGCAATTAATAGAACTTGTTTTGCAGCGAAACTTTTCTTCACATACAAAACGAGATCTTTGCTGTCTTGTAAACCCTAACAGCTTCCGAACGATAGTGTCACTTCCCATTGTGTTTGCTAATTTATATGTATGTGTAGAAACATGTGCATAGGGAGGTCCTCCGTATCAGTCTCTGAAGGTAAGGGCTGCAGAACATATTCCAAAGTGTGTGTGACAACAAATAAAATCACCGGATACAAGTGATCCCGGAAATAGATGTCCAACATCATCTATAGCGAAGCACACCATACAAAAGGGTTACAAGGTTGATTTCAATAGTACCTTTAAACCGATATGCTGAAGCCTTGATCATGAAAAGGCTTAAACCTGACTTATGTGTCCGGAAATTATTTGTTATTACTTTAAACCTGCCTTGGTAATCCAATTTAGAACCCAGATAAAATTTACTTAATGATACCCTGACCCCTTCCTTCTTTTTTCTTACCCCACACACCGACGTTGTCTTCCTCCCCCTTATTTGTGACCTTGACCTGTATTGTAATAATTCATACTGTCTTGCCCCCTATACAAATGTGTATAACAAGTCCGTGTGTGATCAGAATGTCCAAAATGCGTTGTGCGAATACACTACACGTCTCAGATAAACTACGTCTCCTTATTGTGTTGTCGAAATTTTTGTATAAACGTATGTGTGAAATGATGCCAATTTATGAAGATACTTACAACTAATTATGAATACGGTTAGGAAAGTACTGTAAAGATTTCGAGTGTTAAGTTCAGTGTAAGTGTAGGAGTTGGGAATTGTGAAGGAATGTGATTCCATAGTGGACAATTTTATCTGAAATAACACACATTCATGCAGTGTAATAAACCGGATGACGTTTCCAGCACAAATTACTGCTCATAATCATATCAATTTAGGCACACAGTTTCATAATTTGTCTATTTCTCCTATCTTTGCCCTCTCTCCGTCCCTCTCTTCCCCTTGTTGTTTGCTGCCACTTTCCATACCTTCGGTATAGGCGTTGCGTGTGTGCGGTGTTGAACGGATAAATAAAGCTTCAGCGATTAACCTCTCTCCATTTAACTATATTACTTTTTAATGCCCTCACCCTGTCCCATCCTATTTTGTGATTGCACGCAAATGAATGCAGTGTAATGACAGTCTTTTTCTAGGTTATTTGACTTTTCAGGGACAATCATACTATGTCTAGCTAAATTTCTATGTTCCAATAATCTAGTTGACCCCGATCTACTAGTTTGACCCATACAACTGACTTCACGGTTAATATGTGCCATTTGGTAAATTATGTTATACTGGATCTATGCGGTCCTTAATCAGACAAAATTTGTCTCTGAGAGATTTCGACGGTTTAAATACCACCCTAATTCCAGCCTCAATGAGAATCCTAAGTAAGGCCTCTAATGTTTCTCTTTTCTAAATCAGTTCTACAGAGGCTTCGAATTCTATATTATTATTATTTTCGGCATTTCCAATACTAATCTTATTTTTTTTTCTGTGGGTTTTCATACATTTCCGAACGAATTCTGGTGGATAGTTATTCATTTACTTCTTCTAGCTTACTAGTTAGGCTCTTGGCCCGATTATAGAGACATTTAACTAAGCCTATCTTCACCGATTCTGGATGGGGTGAGTTAAAGTCTAAGTATTTATTAGAGTTTGCCAGTTTCTTATCCAATATGGAATGTTACCTTTAGTTTAATTGTACCATTACTTCTTTTTTACGCATTACTAATGCTGAGCGTCTTTACACGTTAGCAATGCCTTCATTATGAATACATAAGTCATTAGATTTCATTTGTATTTGGGAGTCTCATGGATTTGCGAATCACTGTTAAGAAGAGATCTTACAGAAATGTTCTATAAAAGGACAACTCATAGTTTCATAAGAATTTACAGACAGCAAGATAAGTGGCTCTCCATACAAATTAGAGTGTTAAAAGTATTCACTACCACACAATTTGTATAAAACTCTGTATGTACCTATTGGAAAGAAAAGACAGATACTTACGATTTAACCTGAGCCACGTCAAAATATAATCGAATGCAGTTATTCTAATAGAAACCAAACTAAACTAGGTGGAACACATAACTTCGGCTTCTCCAGACATATGACCACTGCTTCTGTAGTGCTAAGAAAGTCTGAAGCACACTATCTTCCATAGATTTCTGTTTTCGCTTTGTAAATAGCTCTGAATGATGAGTCAGCTGGGACATACACCGACGTGGCTTTCAACTATAGCACTTTTAACTGAATCAGTGTCATCTCTTTGTGTCCATCCTAGATGAAGTTCTCTAAATCATTTTGAAAGGATGTATATAAGACCATCTATATACCTAGCTCCATGGGAGCAATCGTAATGAATAGACGCTAGTTAGAGAATTTATGAACACCAAGGAGTACTGTATAGCTGTTTTGCTTTAGTTTGGGACTGTCCAGCAGTAAGAAACCATGACCCCTCCCCAAAGGTCAAACCTAGGACATTCAAATTACCAGGTGACCCGTTAATCAGTGACCCGGGAATTTGAAATTCTGTTAGTTTACGATATTGGACCATTACTATCTGTGAGCATTTACAGGTCATCAAATACCAACGTAGTAGTTGAATGGTCAGCAGGCTGGTCTTATAATCTGAAGGTCCCTTGTTCGATCCCTGGCAAGGTTATAGGTGCACAGTACTGAAGATTCCCAGACCAAGACGAAACACCTGTACACTGCCCCTTGGTTTTCAGTGATGCTCTAATTGATGTTAACTCGCGACAAAATAATTTTGCATAGTTGTAGTATAGACGAATAAATTCACTTAGACTAATCATAAACTTACTATCCGGTCTAACAATTCTAGCTTTACATGCCGCCTGACAAGCTTGAGCATCATCAAATGAATTTTCAGACGCTCCACATCCACTGTAACTATAAGCTTCACAATTACTTGTATGAGCATTGAAAAACCATCTTTGAAAATTTAAAAATTGACAGGTTTGATTACGCTTTTGTTCTTCTGAGCAGTTCAATGGTCGACAAAAACCGAATACAGGATGTCGTCGACAAGGTTCAAGATCTAGTTGGGAAAAAAATAACAGAGACTGGTCATTTTAGCCTGACGAGCAGTCAACATTCATACTGTGTTGTATGTTTACGACCATTAATACCCTAAACTAGTTGGTTTAAACAAAAAATCAGGAATTAGTGTGTTCCATCACGTCTTCTCCAGTAAAAGATACGATTAAAGCTCCATAGGCTATTAAAATAAAAGTCATTCAATTGCAACGCGTTAGCCATGTTTAATTATGTACAAAATATAGGGCCTCAGTGGCACTTCTTCATCCCACTCCATCCTCTGCTGTCCCTTTCAGCAGACCCCATGACCGCCCAAAAGCTTTATATCCCTCCTTACATGATCCCCTTCATGTCCACCATCAAAACTTTGACTGGTTCACCACTTTCCAGTCCATCTGCGCTTAGTGGTTTGTCTAGAGTGTGATGTCACTTGGATTACTGTCTCCACAAGCGGATATCGAATCCACTTCCATTTTCTTTTGAATATTTGTTGACCTAGTCGTAGAGTGTTGTCTGGTTCACTGACATCTAAAGGCTTCTTGTTGCTTACCCTTCTTAGCTGGTTATCTAATATTCAGCATCGAATCAGCCTGTTAAGTATAACCATACTTAAAAGAATGTAAATCTGCATTCAAAAAGAAAGAGGAGCATCGAAAGGCTTACCAATATTCATCAAAGTTAGCTTAGTTGTTTTTCTGTTCAAGTTACTTTGTGTTGTTTTATTTGTTTCACTTGTAGACACTGATGGTGGATCACTGGATACATCATCACCATCATCATCGAGATCATTTTGTCCTGTTACATTGGAAGCTTCTTCTGATGAATCCATATCTATTTGTAGTTCAATTTTTGTATTAAATTGACACATCATTTCACATGAAGCTTGAGTTGGAAAACGATTACTATTTCCACCACAACCGGAGTAATTAAATTGTCTACAACCGCCAATCATCTGATGATCTTGTCCATCAACACTTGTCGACCAGTTAGGATCATAATACCACATAGTTTTGTAATCTGTACATTCTCCAGGTGAAGGATTTAACTTGCAAATCGCTGTAAAGTAGAAACAATTTAAACATATATATATAAGCATTCTCTATTCCTTTTTTTGTCTGACTTTTGTCGTCACTAATTCACGAATCAGCTTCAATTAGAGAATTATTAAGAATCAGGAAGCCCTGGATAATCGTTTCGTCCTAGCCTGGGACTCTTCAGAAGAGAGCATCCCTGACCTCATAAGGGATAGAACCTAAGATCTCTGGGTAATGGGTTGAGCTCATTGACTATCTAGCTACTGGGTTGGAATTCTATGATCAGCGATACCTAACTTCTGTCTATCCACGATAGAGTGGTGCCTCCATTCAATACCGTCTGTGAGCATTCACATACACCCATGACTCCTCCAGGGACCTAACTCGGAGCCTCCAGGTTACAAGACCGAACTCGTTGGCCATTCAGACACTTGGGCAGGAATTCTGCCTCTGCCAACTGGTGATATAGCGCTACCTTGTCTGACTTAATTTACTCAGATCACTCAGATTAACTGTATTGAAAATCTTAATATAGCAGACTTTCTAAAGAAACTTTCAGGAAGAAATCATGAAGTGACTAGGAATACTGTTTAGGATTCTATTTACGAAAATCATTTCAACACTTCAATAGGAAACTAATGTGCATTCCTCTATCTTTTATCCAAAAAATTGATCTACATATATCTCCAAGTAGCAAAAAACAATATTTTGATAAGCTTACTTAATGCATCAGGTTTTGCAGCACCACAGAATTGTTCACAATCAGCACGAGTTAAAAAATTATTTGATGATCCACCACAATGTGAGTAAGCGAATTCTTGACATTGATTTGTTTCAACATCCAAGTACCAACGTGATTCTTGTTGACCCATATTTGCACATTCCGGTTCAATACGCATTGCATCAATATAGGTAAGATTGTCAAATAGAATTGGTTCAGATGTTTCTTTCGTGTAGAATTGATCCTCTTGATTGATAAGACTCCATGTATCTATATCGATTCTAGACCACTGGGGAAATAGTCGGGTAGTTGGAGCCACTTGACAGAGTTGATTAGCCACTAAAAAGAGAAGGGGTGACATTTTTAAACCAAATACTGTCTTAACTATTTCACTTGATAAAAGTATACAAATATCGTCAGTTATTCAAGTATTGGTTTGTTGGGATTTTATTGATTGGTTACAGGATTTCATCATGAGCTGATATCGGTTCGAGAACGATTAGAAAACCTTCAAGGAGTACTGGGCAATCAACTGTTTCGTCTTTGTTTGGAAATCTTCGACAGTACGCACCCACCCCACTGAATTTAGAACCCAGGAGCTCATGGTTACAAAGCGAACTATCTCGTAGACCATCAAGCCACTGGGATCTGTCTGGGAATAGAGAGGTTTTGCGTGCTCTTCGGGTTGTGAGGGCGATTGTTACTTCCCGGCTGCCCACACCGTGGAAGTTGGTTGCGTGACCGCAGAGCCCAGGGGACAACTGCTTGAGGCCGGTCACACACGGCCTGTTTTTGTTTGTTCTTTTTTATCTGGTGTGTCTCAGTAGCGTATTTATCACTTCTGCCCTGTGACACGGCAGCAGAAAGCGCGGTCGTTGTTAACCCGGGCCCCGACCGATCCGGCATGATATTTTGTGATTTGTTTGAAGTCATTGGATTGGATTGGGTAACTGCTTTTAGTCTAACCGTTATCCAAACAACCTTTCTGGCATGGTAAGACCTGCAGGAACATAAGTTCCAGCCAGTATAGCTTGTTGAGTCATTGCGGTGTTCAAGCCCGACCACCACGTCAAGGTAGCAGCTTTCGGTCGGGACTAGGATCCGATCCAATGGCCCATGAATTGGTAGAAGTTAGGATTCATGTACTGGCCATTGAATCGGGTCCCAGCGGCTTAATGGTCTACAATCTCGCCTTGTAACCAGAAGGTCCTGGGTTAGAACCCTGGCGGTGGGTGCGTGCTTATGAAGAGTCCCAAACCGATACGAAACAGCTGCCTAAGCAGTAATCCCTGAAAGGTTTTCTTATCGTTCTCGAACTGATATCAGCTCATGATGAAATCCTATAGGCAATCGTCAGTGATCTTTACTAAATGACTGACGAATTATTATACAAGAATTTCTCTGTGAATCGAAGGTGGAAATTAAATACTTCAGTCCAATGTTTATCAAGAAGGCTGTCAAAATTTCACGCTTTCCAGAAATTGATTAGATATGATTTTAAGCGCTAAAGTATATTTCTTTTCTGCTGTTAGAAAACGTCACCAGTTACTCTTCTGTGTACTCATTAACACATAAAGTTGAATAAGAAATTTCCAGCATTACGCCGTATCAGAAGTCAAAATGTGGTGAATTACAAGATAAAGCCATATCACACAAATAGAGATTTAAAAAGAAAGATAATAACTATGATTCCGTGGTAGTGATTTCCTTAGAAAATAGAATCTTTATGATAGCCATTAGCAAAAACAAAGACTGAGTATACTTCGCTTTGATGTAAAAAGAGACCGTTTGAACTTTTGGATAGCCAATGATTCAGTCATGCCGAAATTTCTTGTTCACACTTCTATTGAAAGTTTTAATTGGAACTTATATTAGGCTTTGAAAGATTTCTCAAACAAAGATGAGTCTCCTCAATTCACAAGGTGTTCTGTTGATGAAATAAAGGTACTTCCATTCTTCTTGGATCGATAGTGTTCTCCAGAGCATTGCGAGAAATCCCCCAAAGTGCAACAAAAGGTCCTATCACATATGTTAAAGGGCGTGAGAAGAAAAAATATCGGTAGAGCTGCAGCATTAGCGATCCAAACATTCAAGCCAGTGTTATGCATCCAGTCGTGGCAATAATAGGTAGTCTATTTTCCAGGTAAACCACTATTATGTAATAGTATTTACTATCCAAACTTCTCAGATGTTTTCTTATTTTTAAATCAATATTTGTATTTCGCAAATTCATCCTGTTATTGGTTATGTTTTGACCTCTGATTAAAAGCAGTTCTAGGACTTTTTCATCCCATATTTATGAATTTATAAATGTACAGCCAAGTACATGACTTCGTCAAAAAAGTAGGATTTTTATTCATTTCAACTGGCTTTTTGTCTTTTTTATGAAATATATTAGGTCGGCGTTATTAGAAGGTGATGTTTAAGCGAAGAAATGCGATGTTCTAAGGCATCGCCCTTCAAACAGTCTGGTAAAACATGCCAATTTGAAAAGAAGTCAATACATTAGGCGGTTAATTCAAATAGATAAGATGATAGCCAGAGATTTAAGCGTGGATAGAATGGTAATGGAAAAAGTATGAGTAGGTTGCAGTACTAATATTAGCATAAATTAACCATATATACGATGTCAAGCAGTCTGCATAATAAGATATGAGCATTCTATATTTTACGAACCCATTTTATGCTAACAACCTTTTCGAGTGTGATTAGAAATTGACATCGATTAGAGAAACATTGTCCTTACACCTGACTAGGCAGATCTCCGTGAAACTCTAAGGAGCAGCAGATGAACTTCTAGTGTTTCTTCAAAGATATGATTGGTTTAAGGTTAGATCACAAAATCTCTGAAGGTAGAAATTATAAGCCATCGGATTCTGTCGGATTCTGCAACCTGAAGGTCCTGGCTTCGATCGCCTGTGAGTAGTGGGTGCATACTGCTATGCAAATAGTATTCGTCACTTATTTGTCAAGTATGTTTAGCACTACCGAGATTACTCGTTGCTTAGCATACTCTAGCGCCCACAACTTTGTGCGTATGCAAACTAGCTGATAACACCAGATATTGTGTACCATAATTATTTATTCTATATGCCTAAGTATTAACGAAATAGTGAGTAATTGTGCAGAAAATCACTTCTGCATTCTATTTTGCCTAAGGGAAAGATTGGATAATTTCTAAACTGTATATATTTTATTTTCGAATTATCTCACCAAGTTCATCAAGAGATCTTAAGCAGCAATATAAGGTGTGGGACTAGAAGCCCAATCCCTTAAAGAAATAACACCGTGGCTACTGGAACTTCAAAGCACAGACCGAAATAAACTTAATCTCCACTGGAATCCAATGATTCCTCAATTCGAAAGGAGATGACTACGATTGGTGAAAGCCGTCAGAAAGCCAGTTAGCTCACGTGCATTCTTTCGATGAAAGCAAAAGTAAATATTACTATTTTATTATTATTATTCTAATGGGTTTCGAGTGGAACACTTCATCCAGTCCTCCAAAGTCATCTTTAGCTGGCTCTGAGGCTGCCCATCACCTCTTATCTCCTCCTCACACAATTTCCCCTATGTCAACAACAGACTAGGACCTAACTCGCCGTTTTTCATTCAGCTTCCACTCGAGTGCCTGATGTGCGATGTTCCTCAATGGTCTTCTCAATGTGTGTCCGATTAAAAATAATCCTAAGGGCAAGGAATGTCCCCATGACGTCTGCAACTGAAAAGGCTGTCCAGACTCAAGAGGAAATGGTACAAAAGTGTTAGGAATTTGTAAAACAAGATGGAGTACATATTTCGGCACATTATAATCTTACCAAGTAGAATTTTATATGCAACTAGACTTCCACAGGTATTTTCACATTCTATAATAGATGTGAAACGATTTGCACTGCCACCACATCCATAGTATGTGAACCAACGACATTTTCCAGATACTTTATCAAAATAAACCATTAAAATTGGTCGAACTGTTCTTTCTGTATTAACAGCAGAACACCGAAAATGACCAGCTTGTGGAGGTGCTAAACAACGTGCAGTACCTGAAATTAACAACAAAAGACAAAGTTTACACCCACTATTTTGATATTGCTTTCATTCTGTTGACTGCATTTTAAACAAGATTATTGTTAAGTTAGTGGAAACATTATTCGTCTCATCAGTCATAAAAAGTTGAATGAATATCCGGTTTGTAATTACATTGATAACTTGAATATCTGAATGAGTTTTCAGTGCTAAACTTTACACAAAACCGAACCAGTTCAAGTTGACAAACTCCATAAAGAACGGAAATGTACGGAGAGAAGAATAAGTATATTCGGGACAACGAGGATTTGATGAATCTAGGAGTTCATTTTAGTAGATGCATCGGCACCACACAAAGTAACTTTGAACCGTTTGGCAAACAGTATTTAGCAATCTGTTCTTAGCATCTCTAGCATCCCAAACAGACAATGTGCACTTCCATACGTTTCTGACTCAAACAGACAGTCAACGACTTCATGGATTGATGCCAGGTTTTGACTTGGCCACCACTAACACTTCTCTAACATAATCTAATGTCAAGTAGTATTTTTCGATAAGCAAGGCGATAGCTTGACGAGGTAGCACGTGCTATAGTCATTTCACCTGATGCAGTTTCACAACCTCATTGATTGACTTACCCTCTTCACCTAAAACTTAACGAGTAGCCTCACTATCACTCACCATATTGTACCAATTAACTCGGAAGATAGAAAGCAAACGTCCGTTGTAAAAGGTATTTAGTCTCTTCATATCTCTCACTTTCAGTGGTCACATATCACAGTGAAAAGGAATAATAGAGCAAACTGCTGCTTAGTATTCACATCACTTGAATGGTAGCCGAATACTGTATCTACACCAGAGTAGTACTCGAAAGAACTCGAAAGATAAATGCTCTTCAAATCAAATTTACAATCTGGAAATTAGTTAGCAATTTGCAGTGTACACAGTTCATGGGATGAAATTTTCACTACAGTCGTCTTTCAAGATTATCTGCAAAGTAAGACCAAGTGGTACAAAGGACGTCAGGTTTCAGCGGCGGCGGCGCTGTCACTTCGTCAATATAACCCCGAAATCTGTATACAGAAAAGTTTGTCCAGTCTCTTATTCTACCATGGTCTTAATCTCTTTACTAGTCATTCCCTGTAAAAATCTTATTCTTTATTTTCAATTTTACTTTAAGTTTACTTTTACTTTAATAATTAATTCACTATTATGTTTCTCACATGTTCCTTTCGTAAGTTTTCTCACCATCTTCACACTTGTTAAATGGAAACTCAAGTACCTTTTGTTTCTCACTCAATAAAAATTTTAACCTTATCAAATTTTTCAAGTATTGGTTTGTAGGGATTTGATTGGTTGGTTATAGGATTTCATTTTGAGCTGACACCAGTGGTTGCGTACTGTGAAGAGACACAAAATAGGTCGAAGTGGCTGTATAGTATTTCCAGGTTCTGTAACCGATGTCAGCTCATGATGAAATCCTGTAACCTTATCAAATTTCTAATGCTTTCTTCCTTTGTGCCGTTGAGTACTACGTAATTTACAACTTTAATTTTTACTTATAAAGCCAATTCTGAGTAGTTGGTACTAGGTGGTTGGAGGCAACCGGCAGGAAGCCTTGTATACCTAGGTTTCGTGCTAGTTGGCACTCATCATCAAGGCGTATCTGCAATCTTGAAGGAACTGTTGGCCCTTCTGAGATTCGAACCCGCGTCACCCAGTGCTGCAGTCAGAGATGTTACCACTGAGCTATTCCGGCTCGCGACTGACCTCCTGTAGGACTGTATTGGATATTTTTGATTGCACATTAGTTACTGACTAGTGTGCAATCAAAAAAATACCACTTATGAGTAATTATATCAATTATGTCACCCCCTCTTACTCAATAATAGACTACTATACATTTTTGGTACATGTGAATACGACTGTACAGCCTCGGAAGATGGTTTCTTCAATAAAGAAAATCTTCTTCGCTAAATTGTCTTTTATTTTCTTAACTACAGTTTCCGTTGGAAACTAAACTACTCGGATCACAGCCTGTGATCTGCTTGATAGCATAAATGTTAATCAGGAAATAATTAAACTCTCTGAACTCAGTGAAACCGGGTACACAGTTGATGAGGTCGGCCCTAAAGGAGCGAAACGGCCATCGAATGCTTAAATCACTTAGATCTGCTGGGCAGGCACGTCTGGTTGAATCAGTTTGTATCATATAGTTTTATGCGTAACTGCTCCTTGCTAAAGACCTGTAAACATGACGGATAAATACTACCTTTTCAGAATAACTTATAAATGTATTTAAATACAAAAGTGGTGTGAATAAGTAAAGTTTGAAGTTTGATCGGCTGATAGTTATACGTCTTCCTTTCAGATTAAGATGGACATATCCATCATCAAAAGCTGTAATAATCTATAAATGCACGTTTTTTCCGAATTTTCAAGCATTCACTCTACAAAAGTAATCAGATTAACTAGATGTCCAACTAGACTTTACCTTCCTGACTAATTTCCTCATTCAAGACGACTTGAAAACATTTGAACTTCTACAATTCTACATATACTTGATGTGAAAAATACACATATAGTAGAGATTTTACGTAATTAAAAAGGGGAGCATGATCGCAGCATATCATACCTCTCCAATATTCACAGGTTTCAGAACATTCCTCTTTGGTTTTGAAGACATTATCATTTACAATACAATCAGATGTATATTGACATTGCATCTCTGTTGGATTAAAATACCAACCACCGCGTGATTTCATATCAACTCCTAATTGACTACATGCCTTGATTTTGGGATATTGATAACATTTCTCTGAAAAGTTTAGAAAGAGAAAAGAAGACGGAAATTATATCTTTTCAAAATCCATTTAATGAGGATTAATTCAAGTTAAACATTCGACACTACTGATAATTTTGAAAGTAAGCAGATTTAAAGTGAAGATTTACGTTGTTTGTTCTTAAGTTTAGATATTATGAATTCGGTTATTTCAGCCTACATGCGACAGAGTCATTTCCACTGAGAAATAACTTTGAACCGCTTAGCGTTTCTAAATAAAGTTAGTTGTCGAATGCTTCATTTGTGAATTACAATGTAGCATAAGAGCTGCATTTGAAGTTATTTATTCCAAATTGTTCCCAAATATGAAGCTCACATCCTAAGAATCCCATTTCCTTACATCTCCAGCAGTCTTGACTCCTGAACCTATAACTCAAGGATGAAATCCCATGGACTCTACTTCATACTGCATCTATTACTTCACCTGCATCTTAGGTGGCATTTGCATAGAAAGAACAAATAAAATGATTCAGTGTCATCGGAAATGGTTGTTAAGTGACAGAAAATTCAAATTTTCTTAAAATGAAAAAATATGCAACGTCATCGATTGCAAAGCACTTGTTAATATCCGGTCACAGAATGAATGTTAATGACTGCTTCTCAATTATTTCATACAACTTTAATCCAAAGTTATTAAAAGTGATGAGAGCTTTGGAATAATAACATAAATCCCCGACTGTGAGTACAGACAGACTTTAACATTTGCACAAAATGAACTAATTGATAACTAAAACAAGATAAGTAATTAGTATTTATCTTCCGTCATACAACTTAGTAATTCTTCATATATTCTATCATGCTATTGCGGACTACGATAATTCTAAACCGACCGTCAAGAAAATAAGAAATAATCTCATCATCTGGCGATATTTCCCTCATCAATAACTTATTTAAAAATGTAATTTAAGCAACATGAAACCGAATTTTGACAAACAGTGATTATGAATCCATACATTTTAACAAATCCAATTAACATTTACACCAGACAATTTAAATGACACAGTTTCACAGTCTGCCAATAAGCCTATTAGAACAAGAGGAGATATATTACACCCCATTGCTTACTCCACCTATTAACCAAATACCTCAAACTAAATGCAGATTATGAGTTAAGTCAATCGATTCTTACTAATGAAAGCTAACCAATCAAAACATGGCCCTTATAACTTAAACTGGTAATCAGTTGGTAATGTGAAACAACGAATATAAATAAAATCCATTTCCATTAAGATTCGCTCCAACATGGAGAAATAAATATTTGCATTCCCAGCCAGTTCAATTTCTATACCTCCTCAATGAGGAAACAATATTCAGGTGATCACATGTGTATTACAGCATAGTAAATACAGTACTATCCATATTACAACACAAATACAACTCCAAACCTCAATACAACAATGGAGAGTAAACTATAACTCGGAACGTTAGGCAGTCGACGGTGCTATCCCTATGTGCATGTGTGCATGTGTGTTTCTTACGCCTAATAACAAAAAAACTGAATGTGAATTTCTACTCCTCTATTATCTCTCAAAGATTTATTTGAGAGAATATAATTCGAGTATTGTCCACAAGCCCCATATCTACTTCCTTCTATAGAAATAAAGACATTCGGAAATTACTTCAGTTGTTATCATTGGTGATCCTTCGTCATAACGAATAAAATCCACTGTAAAACACTGATGTGATGTCGACATGCCTACACATGATTTACCTAACTAATACGACATAATAACAACAATAATAATGACGCAACATTAGCTTAATTAACTAACAGTAATAACAATCATAATGATAATAATGAACGGATCAGATGCCAAGATTACAAGTGAAATCTGGCTAGCATAATATGCACATATTCATCCACACATGTGACTACTTTTGAAAAAATAACCCTCTATACTGTATACACACACTTGACATGGTTCAATAATTTAATAACAACGAAGCGTAATTTATTTCATGATAGAATCAGATTTAAAATAAAGGAATTATTAAATACAACTATGATTGTGTTTATTAGTTTGATTATTACAATGACTATAAATAAACCACTGTGAACACAGCTAGTGGACTAAATAGTTTTATTTTTCAATAAAATAAATATAAAGTTGAGTTATCGAGTTAAGAGTCGAAATATTACATTACATTTTCACGTCATATTTCCTTGTACTTACTATATCAGGCGGACAAATAATATTCTTTTCGATAAATGTTTCGTCTTATTCTACAGTTACATGATCATAATAATAAGTGAATTATTGTATCTATCTATTCAACTGCTACGGTGGAGTCAGTTGTAATGACCGTTGCTTTAAAAACTTAATTTAGACTACTCTGGAACATCTACCAGTGTGGCTAAATAAGGGTTCTGTATTACTTCACCTCATGCAAACATATATCAACTCTAGCATTCACAAGACTTCAGTCATTAATCGGGTACCACATAAACTACCACAGGTCACTAGATACCGAACACTCTAAACAGCCAAAGCCATTGAAACTCGCGTATAACGACTGGAGTTCTGTGTGCAAAAGAGAAACCTCCAACCAAGATTGCTAGTCTGACCTGCTGTCACAACTGTAAATTCATAAATTCTGTATTACACCATTCAATTTATCTAGCATTCAGTGTAATCCTACAAAATAAGACTATTTAGTCCACTAGCTTGTCCACAGTGGTTTATTTATAGTCATTGTATTAATCAAACTAATAAACACAACCATAGTCGTATTTAATTATTCCTTTATTTTAAATTCTGATTCTATCATGAAATAAATTACGTTTCGTTGTTATTAAATTATTGAACTATGTCAAGTGTATGTATACAGTATAGTGGGTTATATTATTATTTATTTTTATTTATTATAGCTTGATTCCACACCGTATTTTTGGTACAAGTATGGAATTTTCAGTATGTGATATCGGTAGCCCAATTTTGCAGGCCAACCATAGATATCGGGTGTGTGCCGGCAGGGGATCGAACCCCGGACCATGTGCATGGTCGGCGAGAGTCCTAACCACTGTGCCACCGACGCACATGTGTGGATGAATGAATGTTTATTGAGCAATAAATTGTGCTCGAAACGTCATCAATAAATATTACTGTATAACACTGTGAGATTCTATCAAAATAACATTATTATTATCATTATTATTACTGTTAGTTAATTAGGTAGATGTTGCGTCATTATTATTGTTGTTATGATGTCATATTAGTTATGTAAATCATGTGTTGGCAACTCGACATCACATCAGTGTTTTACAGTGGATTTTATCCGTTATGACGGAGGATCACCAATGATAACAACTGAAGTAATTTCCGAATGTCTTTATTTTTGATAGAAGGAAGTAGATATGGGGCCTGTGGACAATACTTAAATTATATATTTTCTCAAATAAATCTTTGAGAGATAATAGAGGAGTAGAAATTCACATTCAGTTTATCATTATGTGTGGTGAACACATACACACATAGGGACAGCCCCGTCGACTGCCTAACGTTGCGAGTTATAGTTTCTTGTCCACTGTTATGTGGAGGTTTTTAGGTGTATTTGTGTTGTAATGTCAATGGTTCTGTGTTTAATACTGTGTGATACATATTTGATCGCTTGAATACTTTGTTCACATTGAGAAGGTACAGAAATTGAACTGTCTGGGAATGCAAATATTTATTTCTCCATGTTGGAGTGAATCTTAATACAAATGGATTTTATTTATATTCGTAGTTTCATATTACCAATTGATTACCATTTTAAGATTTAAGGGCGACGTTTTGATTGGTTAGTATTTATTACTAAGTGTCAGTTGTCTTAAATCATAATCTGCGTGAGTGTTAGATGTTTGGTTCACAAGTGAAGTAGGGAATACGGTATGATATATCTCCTCCCGTCCTAATAACTCCACTGGAATAGGCGATGAGTTTGCAACCATTGAGTGTTGAGTTTGAACCTCACTCCACCTATTCCAGTCTGGTAGGCTAGAGAGTGTCATTCGTTCTCCTATAGTCGGTATGATTCATAGCCTGGCTCATGAAACTTGTGTTTCGAGTAAACGAGGTCGAGTGAAATTGAGAGAAATCGAATCAATTGCATAAACTGAAAAATCTTCTCTAGCTGGTTCAAACCATATATGCGGGTTTCTTGTGAGAAGTTTTGGGGTTATCGAGGAGTGTGCAAGAATTATTGAATCTTCGATTGTGTCCCAGTTTTAGTTAGTTTTTATTGTTTCTTTAAATTATGCTAGCTGATATTGAGAAGTAACTTTAAGAAACTGTGTCATTTAAACTGTCGTGTGCGAATGTTAATTGTGTTTGTTTAAATGTTTGGATTTCTAATTTTTTTTAGCAGAATTCAGTTTCATGAATCTTATGATACATTTTTACATGACTTATTAAGAAAACTAATATGGTGAGATGATACTACTTTGTATTTCTTTATAATTGTTTGATTATTTTGATCATGTAACTCTAGAACCCAATGAACTTATCGAAACTCATATTCCCTGTTCATTATTTGTCCTTGAAAACCTTTCAATGGGCGTGTTCGATCAATTTTTGTTAATTTAATCCTCATTTCTTCTTAGCTGATTATATATGACCGGAATGATTGGTCTTAATTGGTAAGTTAGCTTTTAGTACGATGACTTTGATGATGTCTAAATAATAATTCAATATCACATGGTTTATGGTGGTTGGCGGTAAAGTCCTTATTGTGCATTTTGTCCCACCTGAAATCCGTTAACTGTATGTGCCTGCTCCTTTGTAACTGATAACTACCCTACAGAGATCGGAAACCAGCACCCATCATACCAAACCTTACATAATATCATGTTAATCGCTAGACAGCTTTGAATGGTCCGCACCAAAAGACCACATGTCAACAGAGATCGAGTATAATCAATCAAAGGAAAGTATAAATTAACTTAAATAGTAATGGTCTACGAGCTCGCCTTGTAGCCAGAATGTTCTGCTTCAAAC